CAACTTTTAGTTCTGTGATTTAGGTACATATCAGAACAGATTTTTGGTACAATTTTCTATACTCACTTGCCTATGATAAATTACTGTTAGCATTCCGGGCATTACAGATATGGGGATAACTGATGATAAATATCCATAGTGGCCTATTTTTAGTTTCATTCTATACTGTCTGTTAATTATTACACCTCCTATTGCACTACAGGCTCCAAGTATGACGGGGCCATAACGAAGTGCCCATCTAAAGGAAGAATGAAACTGTTAAAAAACTTTAGTTTTAACTGGCTGTCTTGAAATAAAGCGTTTTTTAAATTTCATAATTATATATATATACAGCAAACTTTCAGACCAATGCATTTTGAATCGCGTTATTATGTTTTTATTATAATAAGAAATGTAAATATTTCGGGATTTTAAGATACTCACATATCTAATTTATTGTTCCAATTGTTAACAATATCCCATGCATAATTGGTGGCTTCTAACTCGTCCAACGTTACTGCATCTTTCGGGATTGTTTTGGCTTTCATTAATGCCATGATGGAGAAATTTCATATCACTATTTGATTTCAATAAGTACAAATTTGATTCATATTTAAAAACATAGGTAGAAGTAACCTAAAATTGTACTGTACCTATTTTTGACATTTGTGTACTTCTTTTTTTATTTAATTCGTCCATTAGTCTGACAAAGGTGACCAAACCCGTACAGCTGAGACTATTGTAATTCTCAATTGAATAATAATTGACTTTTCACAAAGATATTTTTTGTTGACTTTATTTTATTACTTTTAATATTGTTTAGTTATTGGTTTCCGGTTGCTTATTGTAAAGTGGCAGTGAATGGTGGTAAGTACTTCATGTGGGCTCATAGTACTACCAAGGGTCAGTGAAATTTAAATGTAACTAAATAACTTAAATAGTTTTGAATAGGAATTTATTCTTAATTTTTTTAGGACGGCGGAATCTGTGGTGCTGATTTCAGGCGTTTTCTGGTTTAGAGGCTTAGATCGTCGCGAAGATCGACGCTCTTCAGAAAATACGACGCTTCGTTGGCGAACGTCAGTTCGCCTAAGTTTTTTTTTATTGTTTAGATGGGTGGACGAGCTCACAGCCCACCTGGTGTTAAGTGGTTACTGGAGCCCATAGACATCTACAACGTAAATGTGCCACCCACCTTGAGATATAAGTCCTAAGGTCTCAAGTATAGTTACAACGGCTGCCCCACCCTTCAAACCGAAACGCAATACTGCTTCACGGCAGAAATAGACAGGGTGGTGGTACCTACCCGTGCGGACTCACAAAAGGTCCTACCACCAGTAACATGTCACTATGACGTACATTTTTTAAAGGGTCACTTTATTACGAATGGACAGTTTACTCCACTTGCAGATTATGGGGTAAAGTCTGCGAGAATAAGTGCGGCGCGGTGACGAACACATTTTATGTGACGACAAAAAGTCAGGACTCCCAGATATTGTTCCAAAGCCGAACGTGATCGAGCGAAAGAGGGTGATAAATAAATAAATAAATAAATCAAGAGATTAAGCCTACTATGATAAGCACAACATTTCTACATTTCGTTTAGCATAAAAATGCCCTTTGACCACAGGCGGCTGTATCCATGGTGCAGGGTGTACGATACCAAAAAAAAAAGGTTGAGGTTACATTGCTGACAGGCGAAACGGTATTAGGGAGTGCCGGCTTCGACACGCTTTTGTCGTTGTCCAATAAAAAAAACGGTACCCTAATCAACTCTGAATAAATGAAACCAGATTACAAACAGTGAATAAAATTTAATATTAATGTAGTTGTATGTAATGTCGTGCCGCATATTTTTATAAAGTACCTATTTTAAAACTATCATAAACTTTCTTACCGAATAACAAACACTTTTTACAAAAAAAAATACCTTGTTCGTTTGGTTCAATGCACACACATTAATAATCATTAATAGTCTTAGTTCTTTAAATAAATTACTGTAAAAATTTAAACACAATCGACAGTACCTTCAAGCCGCGCCAATAAAGAAACAAATCTAATGGCAGCGGCGATCATGCGCTCTCACTCCAAACTATTTCTACCTTTAGTCGCACACGGCGCGTACTGCATGCAAAAAAATATCAGTTCTGACCTTAAAGTAAGATTCTAAATAACCTAAGTTCTGACTTTGTTCTCACACTGTCTCGACGCGCTCTGTTTTCTCTCAAATTCTGTTGTTATTTGTTGTATTTGTTCGTTATTTCGTTGTTATTTTATATTTTGTTGTTTTTGTTAGGGCACCAAAGTAAAGTAAAGTACATTCTTATTTGTTTTTTATATTTTTTTACAATAAACAACTTTTTCTTTCTATCTTTCTATTTATTTGTTGACCCTACCATCTGTTAGTCAGTGCAGGTACATAGACGCCGTTTTCTGTTCGTTTCTTTATTGGCGCGGCTTACAACTATCATCAGAACTATCGAAATGTATGAAACAAAGAACAATTTCACCTTCTTTTTTTATGATCATCTTATTAATCTAAGCCCCATATGTTTCAACACCAGAATATTTTTCTAAGCACCGCTCTTATCAGTTTTACTATAATATTAGGTAAAAGTCTAGATATTGATTTAGGTGAAGACATCGCCTAACGTGATATTTTATTTAATAAAAAATTATTATATAAGCGTGCATGACGCAACTTGTAGATCCTTCAAGGAAAAATATTTCCTTGAGAAACACGCAATTTAAACAAATAAACATATTATTTCAATAATACACTTATTTTATTTTCTCTGTGCGTTAAGAACGTGCTTAAAATCATGTCACTCTAAAATGAGGTTTAGGGAAATTTCTGATTTTATAATAGAGCGCTAAATCAATTAAAATTAGAATTTTTTTACTGCTTCCTATTTTTGTTTTAATATCTTCGATAGTCGAAGATGGTTTGTATTTATCCATTGAAATGCAATAAGCTTGGCAATGTCAATTATAAACGAGAAAATTAACAAGTTAGTACCTACATATCCTGCGAAATATTATGAACAAGCCTAATTAAACAAAACAGGAGTCGTAAATCAGAATCGGATTAATCCGAACGCAGACGGATCGAAGTAAAAGCCTTTGACAATGAATGTTCAATTAAGTGTTCAAAAATAGTTTTTGTCACTTTTAAGATCATTTCAACATGTATTTCTTATATAGTGGACGTATTCTTCCACTGCACTAGATAAAAGCCCACTGTTTCTCGTCGGATCTTCTCAGTGGGTCACGATTTCGATCCGGTGGTAGATTCTGCGAAGCACTGGTCTTACTAGAGCTAGTGTTAGCAAATTCTCTCAGATCGAGTCCGTGAGCTCACCTACCATTCCGGGCGTAGCTGGAATAGCCTCTTACGCTACCAGCGAATAGGTAGGAGAAAAAAGTAGATTAAGCTATGTTTTTTATATTCATTTCATTTACTACAACGTTGTTCTTTTTGGTGTTTCTTGATGGATTCGAGGTTTAGATCAGCCTTTCCCAAAGTGGGCGATAACGCCCCCTTGTGGGCGCTGCAGGCCTAAAGGGGGGCTGTAAGAGACCCAGAAAAAAGTGGGGGCGGTGTGCCTCTATACATATATGGGATTTATATATATGGGAGACGATTTGTAATTTTATCTAGGAGGACTCTTAGACACCGAGAGCTCTGGCTATAGTGGTTTTTAAGTACGTGAAAAAATAGGGGCGATATAAAATAATTTATTCTCAAAGTGGGCAGTAGACAGAATAAGTTTGGGAGCCCCTGGTTTAGATCGTTGTGGAGATCGACGCTTCGACGCCGAACACAATTTTTTTTTTCTCCTACTAATGCTGATAGCCTTGAGAGGCTATTTCAGCTTCACTCTAACGTTTGTAGGTGAGTTCACGAGGCTCAAACCGGAGAGTTGCTAACACTGACCCTAGCAAGAGCAGTGCTTCGCAGAATCTACCACCGGATCGGAAACGCGACCCACTGAGAAGATCCGGCGAGAAACTCAGTGGGTTGTGTCTATGGGTTAATTCACTCGTCAAGCCCTTCGTCGCAAGCGACGGGTTCGACGAGGACGGTGACCGGTGCTTGTGGTGCCTAAAAGCACCGTTAATGGATCAGGAGGATCCGTAATGACGTGCTTAGGGCGACGTCGATGGTTTACCATTCGGTTTACAGGGTCGGGTATGTAGTTTCCAGCGGCCACGACAAGAGGGTTCTTAAGTCGTGCCGCCTTCTCAAAGTGGCTGCGAACACCAAGCTCAACTGCGAGCTTATATATAGTTGTACATCATGTACTGGATAATCATTTATTAATAATTCAAAATGTTAGGTACCTAACGAGTGCAAAAATGATAATCTTGTCATTAATATCATTGTATTTATAAACTAGACGCTTTGTACCTTTATACCTACACTAAATGTTCGTGAATTCAATTCCGAATTCCCTGGCATACTGGTATTTAGCTTCATTGAATATAAGAAATTGGGCAAAAAATTTGACTGCGGTTATGAAATGTTTATAGGTATTTATAAGTTCCGTAAATCTGCTTAAAGAAAAAACAGCTGTTTGTTGGAAAATTATCCTTATGCTGTTCCCCAATTTTAAAAACAGTATGGTTGCCCGTCTATCTGTGACAACTACAAAAACCTTGACATTAGGCTGAATTTCGGTGTGCTAAAGAATAAAATTTGCCAAATGGGTATTGGTCAGGTATGATATTAGACTAGGTATATTTATTAGGTATTCTATATGCACTTACTTATACATAACCTTAAATTACATAAATTGATCTACTTTAACTTTAGTTTCTTAACACAAATACTATTCACAACCTTTATTCATTATTATCTTTCGATTTGGCCATCACAACTTGCTACCTCGCACAAAAGTTTCTAGGTGGTAAAATAATGAATTTAATGTGCTGCTTACATTATATTTAAATTAATAGTAACTTTATCACAAAAATTATCCTCGCTTGTTCCTTTAAGGCTCCTCAAAAGCGTTTTTTTGAAACTGTTTTGAAATAGTTTGTAACACTGGTCACACTGATTTGAGTCACGTTGAATGCAGGGCCGCACTCGGTGGCGCGGCGGTGGCGCTAGAGCCTGGTGGAGAGGGCGGCGGGAGGCGCGCGGGTGGGGGGCGCGTGGCGGGGGCGGCCCCCGCGGTCCGACGCGAGCCGCACGCAGTAGTCCGGCACTAGCGTCGCGATCACAACCACCAAGTTTAGAAATGCGAACGCAGGAGATGTTAGTAAACGAATGTACGTCCCTAGCACGTCACCGTCGATTTGTCTGTAAAAATATTTATTGGATTAGTTTTTTAATCTGTATTGAAAAATCAACATAATGGTCTTGCTTTTATGTACATATTTCTTCAAACGATTATTTACAGTAATTGTAGGAGCTATATACCTGTATCGACGATGGACTTGCTCAAAGCTTAAACTTTAAATTACTTTTTATTGGTCGCAGTAAAGTACAAACATTGCAGTAAAATCGTATAATGTCAACGCGTTACCTGCTATAAAGTTAATAGATTTTTAGCTAGAATGAAGAGCACAAATAAAACTTAAACACAGTACGGTCAGGCCTTTTCCGTCTCAAAACCGGTCACCGTCATTTAACAGTAAATTACATTAAATAACAGTAAATTAATCCATAGACACAGCCCATTGAGTTTCTCGGCGGATCTTCTCAGTGGGTCGCGTTTCCGATCCGGTGGTAGATTCTGCGAAGCACTGCTCTTGCTAGGGCCAGTGTTAGCAACACCTCCGATTTGAGCCCCGAGAGCTCACCTATACGCTAGAGCAACGTTAATATAGCCTCTCCAGGCTATCAGAATAGGTAGGAAAAAGTCTCAAACTGAAATGTATTAGCTTAACCGGGTAAATAGCTTCTGTGCTGGAGCGAAAACATAAATTTTGCGTTCTTAACTAACGTATAGATACAGCATAGTACAGTGTGATTACTGCGAGTTTTTTAACGTTCTCAAGATTCTCAAAATGTATGATTCTCTCTTCTCTCTCTCAAGATTTTAAAGTTCTCAAGATTTTCTCTTCAAAAGTAATTTAAATTTGTATGCAGTTGGAACAGCGCCCCTAGCGGAAAATGTAGGCAAACGTTCCAACTCTATACAAATTTGATTTAACTTTTACGCTATCGAGAACGTTAAAAAACTCGCACTAAGCACACAGTTAACAACAACAACTTACAGATAGACGAGCGAGTAGATCGTGTTGAAGACGAGGTAGCTGAATAAGGAGAGCAGGGTGGAGGCGACGAACACGAGCGTGTGGTAGCGCGCCTGCAGCCACAGCTTGAGACTCACGGTGACCATCGTGAGGTGGAATAGCGCAGCGCCGTACGACCTGACGACCACACGTCTTAGAAACATATCTATATGATAGAGATTTTGATAACTGCCTAAAATCACTTTTGTTTTTATTGTTTAGTTGGGTAGACGGCTCATGTTAAGTAGTTACCAGAGCCCATAGACATCTATAAAGTAAATGCCGCTACCTACCCTCAAACATGAGTTACAAGGTCTCAGTTTTAACAGTACAACGGCTGCCCCACCCTTCGAACCGAAACGCATTACTGCTTCACGGCAGAAATAGGCAGGGTGGTGGTACCTACCAGTCAAATCTTTATGCCACGTAAAGCTCATAACCAATTCTAAAACTAGATTCCTTCTTAAAATTATACCCGGAGCTTGAATCATGTAAATTTTTAACAAAACTAATATAATACAGAAGAAAGTTTGGTATTTATGATATCCCGTATGAGAGGCGCGCACGGACCCATTAGGCCAAGAGTGGGATAATTTAGGCAACCTTTATTTTGTTACGCCACGCTCCGGATCTATTCCTGTGTCGCACTAGAATCTGATCAATAGCTCACCACAAGTCGACAGTGTTCCCGTCGAGATTAATGACGGGCACGACGAATATCAGATACGTGAACATGTAAATGACAACAGAGTGGTACACGGCCGAGAGGCACCACACCCCGAAGTTAGACCACGTCATCAGCTTGTTCTTCGTGATGCTTCTGTACAGTGTCGGGTTTCTGAAACAAAACGTTGCATATTAGCCGGCTCGAATGTCGGGGGTTTTAAACGAAAGCTTAGTTAGGAATACATTTTAAGAGCCTGTTGTACTTCCATAGGTTTCCGTGACTTCCGAGCCCACGGAAACTGTAAGGTATTCGAAACGTTAGTAATAATATATACCCGATCCTGTAGACCGAATGGTAAACAGTCGACTCCGCCTTAAATTCGTCATTACAGATCCTCCCGATCCCGATTTTAGGTACCACAAGTACCGGTCACCGTCCTCGTCGACGAGTGAATTAGCCCATAGACACAACCCACTGAGTTTGGCGCCGGATCTTCTCAGTGGGTCGCGTTTCCGATCCGGTGGTAGATTCTGCGAAGCACTGCTCTTGCTAGGGCCAGTACAACACTCCCGGTTTGAGCTCCGTGAGCTCACCCACACGTCAAGGAGAAGCTGAAATAGCCTCTCAAGGCTATCAGCATAGGTAGGGAAAAAAAGTAATAGTATAATGACAGTAACAAAACTTAAAAAGTAGTTTTAAATATAAGAACCCGTGTTATTCCACAACTTTTTATTGTGCTATTATTATCAAGCAAATGCCGGAGTCCTCACATATGCCAACGTGAAAGCCGCCACCCATCTTGAGATATAGAAGTCTTAATTGTGCGAGTATAGCGCAATGTCTGTCCCACTGTATAAAAACAGAACGCATGACTGTTTGGCGGGAATAGACTGCGTTGTAGTACCAGCCCATCTCTCTCTTCTTCAGCCTTTGTTCACCCAAAGCTAAGTCTAGGTTCTATGCGTTCCATTATTTCGGTCTCTTGCTTTTCGAATCCAGTCCTTACCTAACATAAGTCCCTAGGCCTTAAATACCCCTGAAACAACTGGACTCCCCAACCGGAAATGACAAGTATAGCGTTGTGACGGTAGTCATCAGAGTAAACAAGATATTTGACAGGTGTCTGAATCTCGCTTGCGACCTTTTTAAGATAATCTTGCATATATACGAGTATACAAGTTCCGAACAACAACATTCGGACCGTCGGTCTACCGAGCAATATCAACCGCTCGGTGGAAGAGTGGAAGATCTTTCCTTTCGTCGTCTACTCCCACAGCGTTTTAATCTCAATAACCTTCACGCACAGGCCCATGCGGACTTACAAAGCACTACCATGCACTCACGATTATCACGTACAAAATAGCCATTTTAATTTTTATTCATTTATGAGTATTCCATAATCGTGGAAGTCGTTTGTGAACACGTGTTAGAGAGTTATATTTGGAGAAATAGAAGTTCGCAGGTTTTGATTTCTATATTACTCGACACAAGTGCAGCGGGCCTCTCACTCATTAGATCACACATTTTTAGTGTGGTAGAGATTCGCCAGAGATCGCATACACACTTATTTCTTAAAATCTTGTCTTGAGAGGTTATTTCAGTGTAACCTTAATAAGTAGATGAGCTCACGGGGCTCAACCGGAGTGTTGCTAACACTGGCCCTAGCAAGAGCAGTGCTCCGCAGAATCTACCACCGAATCGGAAACGCAACCCACTGAGAAGGTCCGGCGAGAAACTCAGTGGCCTGTGTCTAAGGGCTAATTTACTCGCCGAGCCCTTCGTCGCAAGCGACGGGTTCGACTAGAACGATGACCGGTGCTTGTAGTGCCTAAAATCACCGTTAGTGGATCTGTTTTCCATTCTGTCCACAGAATCGGGATGTTCTCTACTCGTTAATGCTATTAACCATGAACCACAGCCAATGTCGTTCCTATAAAGACGCACTAACTTGAGCAGCATGTCGGCCGGCCAGCGCTGCTCCGTCACCGACAGGATGAGGCAGGGCAGCGACGTGAACAGCAGGTTGAACAGCGTCAGGTACATCGAGTCGTATACCGATTGTGTCGAAAAGGCCGTTTGGATTTGAAACGCGAACTGTAACCGAAAAAAACGTAACGTGAACGTAAAGTATTTACTACCCAACGTCAGTGTGCTTAGTGCGAGTTTTTTAACGTGCTCGATAGCGTAAAGCTCGCGTTAGCTCATATTTGTATGGAATGGGATCGTTTGCGTACGTTTGCCGCTAGGGGCGCTGTTCCAACTGCATACAAAATTGGGTTAACTTTAACGCTATCGAGAACGTTAAGAAACTCGCACAAAGCACACAGAGCTAAAGCGTCATCTCATTGCGTTGCCTGTTTCTGCCGTGAAGCAGTAAAGCGTTTCGGTTTGAAGGGTGGGGCAGCCGTTGTAACTATACTGAGACCTTAGAACTTATATCTCAAGGTGGGTGGCGGCATTTACGTTGTAGATGTCTATGGGCTCCAGTAACCACTTAGCACCAAGTGGGCTATGAGCACCTAAGCACCTAATTAAGCAAGAAAAAGAAATCATTGATTGTTTAAAAATTCAATAGCAAGCATCGAATATATTCTTAAAGTGGTTTTTAAGTTAAATAAAAAAATAACTTTTATTTTATAATACCATAGGTTCATAATGTGTTAATATTACAAATAACATTTGAACTGTGTTATTTTAATTTAATTAAATCAAATCCGGCCCTGGCAGCCCCATCAAGCAGCATATAGAACAGGCAACTTGATTAACCTACCCAAGGTCAATCCATCAAACTTTTTTGCTAATCCCATCTAATAATGTAATCTTTTAACTATTGTTTCTTCTTTTATTTATTGTTCAAATCAAGTAATCAGGGATTCCTAAATAAGTGAATTTTGTTTATTTTACACAACAAGGCCACTTATCCATATTACATTTATGTTGTACTTTCTGCGAGTTCTCGAGTTAATATATCATCACGATGAACTTAATAACAACGACAACATTCCATATAATGTAATTATTTAATTTAATGTTTTACCACTACAATTTAATCCAAAAGATAGCACTTACCATTATATTACCTAAGACTAGATTTTTGTAGAAGAAGTAGTGTATGAGCGTCGCCAGCCGCTGATAGTACCAATGTCCCAACACGAGTAAAAACTTTTTTATCATTGAAAATTTTGTTATGGCGAAATCTGCGGATCTGTGAACGAACCAAAATCTTCGATTGTAGATTTTTTATTTATCTTATATCAGCTTTCAACGAGCAATTCTTATATAATATATATATATATATATATAAATGAATTGCTGTTCATTAGTCTCGCTAAAACTCGAGAACGGCTGGACCGATTTGGCTAATTTTGGTCTTGAATTATTTGTGGAGGTCCAGAGAAGGTTTAAAAGGTTAAATAAATATGAAAATGTTCGGAATTAAATAAAAATAACCATTTTGTTTTTCCTTTGATGTGTCTCCCGTCGGACGGATTCCTTTTGTTTATTTTAAGTGTATTTTATACAAAAGTTTAGGTCTTTTGTTTATCGATTGAGGCACTACGAAGTCTGCCGAGTCAGCTAGTATATATATATAATCTGAATCTCGGAAACGGCTCCAACGATTTTCATAAAATTTAGTATACAGGAGATTTCGAGGGCGATAAATCGAGCTATATAGCTACGTTATATTTTCAGAAAATGTAGTTTTATTCATGTTTTCAATAATCAACTTTATCGATAATTTGGTTTTTTTTTTTTAAATAGGTAACCAGTTCATATTTTTTTATTATTCTGTCAGTAAGATTGAAAAATAATATTCATATTTCATCATTTTATCAATATGGAATTCTTATTTAAACATAATTTCTAAAAAACACAATTTCTCAAAAAAAAAACCGATCAAAGCTCGGTCATTATCTAATTTTCACTTATACATAACTCGGTCTCGGCAGAAACATATCGATAACACAAATGTGGTTATTATTTAAAATTTCCAAAAAATTCGTTCGATATAACAAAGATAAGTGTGTCAGTTTTTATTTTATTTCATTATTATTGCTACAACGTATGAACTAGCTGACGCTGATCTGGTGTTCAGTGGTCACTAGGGTCCATGGACATCATAACGTGCATGTCGTCTTGAGACTTGAAATCTATGTCACAATGTATTAGTATAGGGATTATACAAATTTAATTTTTTTCGGGCTTCATATTTATCACGCGATGTTATTCCTTCACCGAGGAAGTCATTTCTCTACATTTGTTAAGTACGTATTTAATCAAGAAAATTCGGCGGGATTCGAACCCCGGCACAGTCGACATTACTCGATACGAATGCCCCGGGCGTCTTATCCTTTAGGCCACCCAGCCAATCTTATGTTATATATCTACGATTCAATCCGTTTAATCCCGTGTACATAAGCTGACGACTATAAATAAATATGTACGAAACATGTGAAGCCATAGCTGTTTTAACAGTCACTGTAAGTTTGCTGTTACCTCGCGGCCTGATGACCCTCTCTTCCGAATATACCGAAGCCGACGTGCGCCTCTTGTATCATAGAGATGTCATTAGCGCCGTCGCCTATAGCGGCCGTGATCGGATGCTGCGGACTGCTCTTTATAAGTCTCACTATCTGAAATTTGAACATCTGATGAACGTTGGTGGTCTACTGTAATCATCCACTTTTTAATTGAATCACCATTGTATCGCGTCGCATTGTGTGCATAGGACAATCGTGTATCAAAAATATATCATAAGATATCGAAGGTAGCAAAATGAATATTGTGATAGATCAATATGACCACTATAGTAGGATAACGTTAAGAGTGTTCAGAAATTCATGTAATAAAATTTTCGCATGTTTTTTATTCGCTAATGAATTGAGAGCGTAAATTCTAGGGTCAGCAGACTAAAGCACATAAGTCAAAAAACGCTACTTTACAGGAATTAAAAAAAACTATTTAGAACCTTATACATTAACAAACTTAATAATGTTTATTTGAATTATATAAGTCTATAACACTAACTTATTATTAAAATTAAATATTTTAAAGTAAATGTGATTATTTAATAATTAGATGACTTAAGTTATAAGGAACGNCGTTTCACTGGGTCTCCCTATACCCCTGTCAAACAATCACGTCCCGCAAGCTCGCGCGCACGTCTGATCCGCATGTTCCAGGTGTCATCAAGATTCACCCCCAACAAGGAAGAGGAAAGGAAAGGAATAAAACTGGCTCTCCAACCCACACACCGGAACACAGCTAGGCTATTTGGCGGCGGACTCAAGTTGGAGGGTGGTCGCCAGCCAGTCGGACTAGTCCTACCACCGATTATGTTTTCGGCTCCCGTTTAGCACCACCCAGGGGTCACTTGTAAGGAATCGCGGGTTAAACCTACGGAAGCGGGAAGCAATCGACCCCCTAAATGCACATTACCCAAACGAGGATGCAAATGTGCACATTTACCGGAAAATGTGTAGGTACATTTACCGGAAAATGTGTACATTTACCGGAAAATGTGTACGTTTGCCGAAATATCTACTTTTACCGTAACATAAATACATGTATATCGACATTGGTACTGGTGGTAGGACCTCTTGTGAGTCCGCGCGGGTAGGTACTACCACTCCACCTATTTCTGCCGTGAAGCAGTAATGCGTTTCGCTTTGAAGGGTGGGGCAGCCGTTGTAACTATACTTGAGACCTTAGAACTTATATCTCAAGGTGGGTGGTACATTTACGTTGTGGATGTCTTTGGGTTCCAGTAACCACTTAACACCAGGTGGGCTGTGAGCTCGTCCACACATCTAAGCGATAAAAAAAAAAGCCTAAATACCTTGTGTGTACATGTATACCGACCTTAGCCTTCTGTATGGGCGACAGTCGGCAGCACAGCACGGCGTTGCACTGCAGCGATATATCGACGAAGGCCTGCGCGGCGCCGGCGTCCAGCAGCTGCGTCATGCTGGTCCCGTCCAGCACCAGCGTGAGGTCCCGGTAGCCGGGCTCGGCGACGATCCGGCGGCACTCGTCCAGGTGGGCGAGCAGCGCGCCGGCCGACTCCACCCCGACCAGGAACATGCGCCGGTCCGTCTCCGATATGTGCGCGCACGACTGGGCCACGTTGAGCGCTGTTTCCACCTACACACAAACAAACTGCTGGTAGAACCTCGCATGAGTCCGCACGGGTAGGTACCAACACCCTGCCTTATTCTGCCGTGAAGCAGTAATGCGTTTCAGTTTGAAGGGTGGGGCAGCCGTTACAATTATACTCAGACCTTAGAACTTATATCTCAAGGTGGGTGGCGGCATTAACGTTGTAGATGTCTATGGGCTCCAGTAACCACTTAACCTACCTTTTGATAGCCTTGAGAGGCTACTTCAGCTTCACCCTAACGTGTAGGTGAGCACACGAGGCTCAAACCGGGAGCCTAGCTCTAGCAAGAGCAGTGCTTACCAGAGCAGAGTGTATGCAGAGTCTACCATCGGATCGGAACTCAGTGGGCTGTGTCTATGGATTAATTCGCTCGTCGAGCTCTTCGTCGCAAGCGACAAGTTCGGCGAGGACGGTGACCGGTATTATGACATTAGTGATAAGCCCGCCTAGAGAACTCACTAACCTTATCCCCAGTGAGCACCCAGGTTTTGATGCCAGCTCTTCGTAAGGAGGCGAGCGTGTCGGCCACGTCGTCCTGCAGACAGTCCTCGACTCCAGTGGCGCCGACTAATATCAGTTGTTGTTCTAAAACCCGGTACTGCTGGGTGAGTTGCTGCAGAGCCTCCGCGCTCTTTCCGTCTACATGCTTTATGCCTGGAGAAGGATACGTTTCTTAGAGATGATGAATTAAGCATCATACTTTCGAATCCTTAATTGTTTTGTATCGAAAGAAACATTGATTACCACAATGAGAGATTTTTCTAATGAAATATATATTTAACACAATCATGATCACGATTGACTTCCGTGGTGAAGGAATAATATCGTGTAACTAATAAACATCAAACCCGCAAAATTGTAATTTGCGTAATTACTGGTGGTAGGACCTCATGTGAGTCCGGACGGGTAGGTACCACCGCCCTGCCTATTTCTGCCGTAAAGCAGTAATGCGTTTCGGTTTGAAGGGTGGGGCAGCCGTTGTAACTACACTGAGACCTTAGAACGAATGTCTTGAGGTGCGTGACGGCATTTACGTTGTTGATATTATAGTCTCCGGTAACCACTTTACACCAGGTTATCAATAAATAAACGATAAAAAAATTTAAAAAAATACCGGATGAAAAGTTGTAGGGTAAAAGATATCATCTATTTTATTTTCATTAAAAAAAATTAATGTTACTCGTTCATAATCAAAATAACTCAGTACGTTGTATTTGAAATCTCAGACCAAGAAAATCATGTAAATAAGACAGTGAGTACTCACTTTCGGAGACTCTAGTGTATTCCTCGTCAGAAATCTCTCTGTAAGCAATAGCTAATGTCCGCAGTCCCTTCACTGCGAACGCATTGATGTCCCTGTTCACCTCCTCCACCAGAGCCGAGTCTTTGCACAGTGGAAACACAGAGCTTTCGGCTCCCTTGCAAAATAACCATATCTGAAATGATTACTAGATTAATATACTTATCTTTTATAATGGGAGGCGGAAGTCGTGTTTGATTATTAATTTAAATGTCAAGATAATAACAATCATAGTCCAAATATAATAATAATTACTTTAAAGTACAAGACTTGTGAGTTCGGATCAATATTTTACAATTGACTTGTGCCTCAAGCTTAAAGGTGGATGGCGGCGGTCACGTTGTGATTTGTATGGGCTCCGGTGACTACTTAAAGCCGATGGTCCATGAACTCGTTCACTCGTCAACGGAAAAAAGGACGATTTTCGAATGACACATTTAGTTGAACAAAGAAAAATACAGTAGTCGATAATTAAGTTACATTGCTAATGCATTTAACAGCGAACTCACCTTTCCGTCTTTATCACGAAGAATAACTGACATCCTCTTCCTCTCCGAAGTGAATTCGATGAGTTGCAATCTTTCATACATTTCCGTGTTCTCACCCACTTTCAATACGAGATTATTGCCCTCTTCGCCCAAAAACGTGACTCCCACTCTATCGGCGGCCTCCACCAATGCTTTCTCATCGGGGCTGCTGCCTTGGTAGTCCATTTTACTGCCAGCTTCTTTCAAGGCCGAGTCCCAACTGACATTGTCCAGTACGCCGTTGTTGGGATTTTTATTTTGTTTTTTCCTTCGAAAGAAGTTCATCAGTTGAGTATCTCCTCCGCCAGACAGTCGTGCGCTAAGCTTCTTCATGTCTTCACTGGAAACTTGAACCGAATGACACAGGGCGAGGATTTTGAAGAAAAATTTGATGTCTGTCTGAAATATAAGGTTATTTGTGACGGTTAAATGATGGCTACCATCAAATCAAATTTCGTTGAAAAATCACATTGAAGTACCGTATTGTAGTATTTAGTGTTTGTGTAGTAAGTAACAAACAATTCCCTCTTAGAGTAATGATGGGCAGTGGCTTGGCTTATAGTACTTAACGGTAGGCAGTGGCTTGGCTTATAGTACTTAACGGTAGGCAGTGGCTTAGCTTATAGTACTTAACGGTAGGCAGTGTCTTGGCTTATAGTACTAAACGGTAGGTAGCGGCTTCGCTCTGGCCCTGGCATTGCTGGGCGATGGTAACCACTCACCATCAGTGGGGAGTATGCTCGTCTGCAATAAAAAAAATTTTTTTTGAATGTAGACTAGCACACCACCCACCCGAGTGTTCACCGATGTTCATGAACATCAGCAACATCAAGAGGATAGCTGAGCCACTGCCTTGCCTACCGCTTATTACTGTTTTTCAATGTCGTTTAACCAAGGACATCTCACAGCACTCAGGAAACATCACTGGAGGGATATTCGTTTCAGAGCTACTGTACGTAGTAATTTTTTATTTTTTTTATTGCCTAGGTTTGTGGACGAGCTCACAGCCCACCTGGTGTTAAGTGGATACTGGAGCCCATAGACATCTAGAACGTAAATGCGCCACCCACCTTGAGATATACGCTCTAAGGCTTCAGTATAGTTACAACGACTGCCCCACCCTTCAAACCGAAACGCATTACTGCTTCACGGCAGAAATAGGCGGGGTAGTGATAGCTACCCGTGCGGATTCACAAGAGGTCTTACCACCAGTAAAAATAATCTCAAACAATTTCCAAGGCACACCAAAATAAGACAGTGGGATAACTTAGAGGTTCCCAAGATCCTTGGACAAACCTAAAAAACAGAAAAGTGAGTGTAGTTTGAAATCTCTGACCTGAAGCACATCGACGGGCTCTTCAAACCTTTCCACGTTGTACAGCTGGTCACTCCTCTCTTCGTAAACGTTGCCTTTGATTGAACATGTCTTGAACACCATGAGGTTTTTCGTTAAGGTGCCAGTTTTGTCTGAGAACAAAACCTCGACCTGACCTAGCTCTTCGTTGAGGTCCGATGTGTTGGCCATCGCCGGTCTTCCTGTGTCCTCGCAGCGAAAGTCTTCGTCCCATCCGATAAATAGTGCTCCTGAGAATCGTTCAGGTAAATTTTGGAGTCAAGGATGTACATATTAAATTACCTTTTGACGATGGTTTTATTTGATTACTTTAGAAACTGTCTAAATTGTTATTTGTATGAAGCATAGTATGACTACTGTTAATATTCAGCATTATCAGTTTGATGATAAATCCATTAAAATAATAAACTAATTTATGACGTAATTATTGTAGTTCATATTCTCATGAATAGTCCTAGTCAATCTATACTAATCTATAGATTTCCTTTACCGTAGACTTTTCTCAGTGAAGTTTAACAACTCATTTTTTTGTTTATGATATATGGCATACCTGACCGTTTTAACGTGTTAATTAAGTTACCCACGCAGTTTTTTTTCGTCCACATCCACATACATATCGACGCTTGAAAGGCAAACGTGACTAAGCGACAATAACTGCTTTGTACATAAATGATAGGCAATAACCATATTCGATTGCAAAAATATTTCTATGTCTATTAAAATCATTAAAATCCTACAGCTAGATTCGTTAATATAGAATTTTTTTCAGGTATTCCTTATGAATATTTTAAATTAATTTCAACTTTAAATTAGTCTACTGTAAAGTTCACGCATTGCCGCTTAGTCACGTTTGCCTTTCAAGTGTCGATATATCGTATATGTTGATGGTTGGATTTATAATTTAGTCTAAAGCTCGGATGCTTTGTGTCAAACGTCCTTAACAAAGTTTCGCTATGAATTGGCGAAATAAGTTCAGTGCTAGGCTATAATAGGAAATAGAAATAGATACTAAATAATTACTAAGAACTGTCGAACTGTCCACAGAAGCTCACCTATAAATTTATAAAGCTCGATGGTCACGTACAGAGACATCGGTATGATATAATAATATAGCAGCAGAAACGAGAAAAGATCCTGAAGTAGGTCGGAGACGTGCGGCGGGAACGTGGTGCCCGGACCGAGGTACAGGTCCTTCTCGGGGTTCCTGTGCTCTATGACAAGCTTGGCGATCAAAGACACGACCATCTCGATGAGTAATACCAAAATAAAGAAGAGCAGGAACCCGTTGACGGCCAGTTCGCACGATGAGAACTTGTTCCCTGTGTATTTCGAATTGAGAGCCAGTTTACTTTCTTCCCCTGAAAAGGTAGGTAAATTTAAATTCATATTTTGATGTATTTTGCTACTTTACTAGTACAGATAATGAGTATGTGTTTTAATTTTTGGTCAAGAGGGCATCATGAGGACTTTTGAATACCTACGTTTTGAGGGCAGAATTCAGGAATAATGGTGTAGAACGGATTAAAATCCTTTGCCGGTGAACCCGTGTCCAAATCACGTATTAGAGGTAGAAGGGAACAAAGCTACGTGTCTGGCTTGGAGCGCATTCCATGTCTCTCTTAGGGGACGCCGAACTATCAGTCGTCGCCGCCAAAACCACCGGATCTTTTTTTTTTTTTTTTTTTATTGCTTATATGAATGGACGAGCTCACAGCCCACCTGTTGTTAAGTGGTTACTGGAGCCCATAGACATCTACAACGTAAATGCGCCACTCACCTCGAGATATAAGTTCTAAAATCTCAGTATAGTTACAACGGCTACCCCACCCTTCGAACCGAAACGCATTACTGCTTCACGGCGGAAATAGGCGGGGTGGTGGTACCTACCCGTGCGGACTCCCAAGAGGTCCTACCACCAGTGGGATCTCACGATTGGCGGTCAATAAGTGGTAATGGATTGTTTTCTTAAGTTGAGGAATACGAGCACACCATTCCTCTTATATACATACACTGAAGATATATAGGTTCCCAATAGAACGACGTAAAATAGAATCTCCGATTTGGCTGTCAAAATCATGCAAAACGAAATATGCTTTTTTTCCTTTTTTCCTACCTAAGCTGAGAGAAGCCTTGAGAGGCTATTTCAGCGTAACCTTAACTAGTAGGTGAGCTCACCGGGCTCAAACCTGACGACGTTGCTAACACGAACCCTAGCAAGAGCCGTGCTTCGCAGTCTACCGCCGGATCGGAAACGCGAACCACTGAGAAGATCTGGCGAGAAACTCAGTGGGCTGTGTCTGAGGGTTAAGAAACATGCTCCCAATATGTGCCATATATTGGCAATATATGCCAATATATTTTTGTACAAATAACTCTTCTTCTTAACATGGTTTTTGTGGAGATGAATTGCGACTCACCTGTGTAAATAGCACAACCTATGGCCCACTCCGTATTTTTGACTCTGGATCCTCTAAGCATGAGGTTATCGGTGGACAGCACCAGGCTGTCTAGCCCCGGGATCTCGAGGCGTCCATAAAAGGTATACAAGTCGGCCACCGGGTTCGGTATCTCGATACGCATGTTTTGTGGCAAAATGTCTGTTGGCATTTTATTTGGTTTCATTTAGTATATTTATGGTACCATGATATGGTTTTTTACTGGTGGTAGGACCTCTAGTGAATCCGCACGGGTAAGTACCACCACTCAGCCTATTTCTGCCGTTAAGCAGTATTGCGTTTTGGTTTGAAGAGTGGGGCAGCTGTTGTAGCTATACTGAGACCTTAGAACTTATATCCCAAGATGGGTGGAGCACTTACGTAGAATATGTCTAAGGGCTCCAGTAACCACTTAACACCAGGTGGGCTGTGAGATCGTCCACCCATCTAAGCAATAAAAAATAAAAAAAACCACCAATCTGCCGATTCTAACGAGGAGCATTCCTGCGCTCGGGTTTGGATAGTCATCATTTAATTAGAACTTTGACTCGTTTCTCGATTTTTATAAGTCGAGTAGCTAATATCAAAACGTAATCTGGCAATGGACAAACCTTGCTAAAAAAATTAGCTGAATCATTTTAGATTTTAATACGTAAATGATAAGACACAGATAACATGACGCAGACAAACAAATGAAAGCAAAACACCACAAAACGTAAACAAACATTTATTGACAAAGACAAAATTAATTTCGTTCAACACTATAAATTAAATAGTTCACAACTACATAATTATAATATTTAAATATCATAAAGAAGGAGACGGTCATATCAAATATATCTGGACTTTAAATATAAGAAATAAATCGAAAAACGGAGTCCTGCTTTTCGTTGAAAAATTTATACAAGCAACAATAAAATTAAATTCATCCATTTGTTTCACAATATTTCATTTTATATTTCATACGTGTGAGTGGACTTATGAGTGTATGTATGAATCACAGAGATGTATTTACAAATTTTAATATTTTCTTGTATTTTTCTTTTTTATTTTTGAATCGTTTTTTTTTAAATTAACAACTTAAAAATCTTTAAGAAATAGAGTATAAAAATGTAATAATAAAGTAAATTTTATCGCTGTCAGACTGACAGAAATCGCAATTTGGTCTTCGGTTGTATAAAGGTTGCCTTACGCCTCAAACCAGTGGGCTTAATGCGAGCATTTTAACGTTCTCGACAGCGTAAAAGTTAACTCAACAGCTTAAAGGTACATTTCGAGCCGTGAAAAGCTACTTGGTTTAAGCGAAATTTTTGCAACTTTACAGGAGAGCCATTTAAAGTTTAAAATTTGGAAAAAATAATATAACAAAAAACTTCTTCAACTATTTGAACGGAGTAAACTTAATTGAGGTTCAACTAAAAACATCGAACTTTTGATGCTAATCACTACATAGTATAAAACAAAGTCGCTTTCTCTGTCCCTATATCCCTATGTATGCTTAAATCTTTAAAACTACGCAACGGATTTTGATGCGGTTTTTTTTAATAGACAGAGTGATTGAAGAGGAAGGTTTATATGTATAATAACATCCATTGAATAGTGGAGAAATCAATAATAAATTACAGTTTCCGAAGCGAAGCGAGGGCGGGTCGCTAGTACCAAATAAAACGCATCTTTAATTCCAAAGATAAATGTCGTGTATTAAACGAAATGTCGCTTATACAAAATAGCCTTTCAGCTCTCGATTTATTTTTATCTATGACTATAATTTAAGTAACATATAAAGACAAACAATTTTAATCAAAAAAGGCGTTATTAGGTTCACGTACCCGGCGTATACCCGACTAAAGGTGGGGGCACCCTTAGTGTTTTCAAATTGGTCTCCCCGTCCAGATTCGCAGTGGTGATATAACATTTTCCCTTCTCTCCGGCGGAACAGAGGAGCACGAGATCGGCTGGTACTTCCCTTCCTCGTTTTACACGAACCAAGGTTCCAGGGGCTATCGTGGAATTTTTCACTTCTTTGATCACGCCTTTGTAGACTATTTCAACTGTTAATCAAGAATTTTACGTAGGTATATTCCATTTATTTACATTCAAAATTATAACTAGTCAGAAATTTTCGGACAGCGAGAAGCTAGCTAAAATTATAATAATTTTAGTTTGAATTTTAACAAGTGAAAAATAAAGCAAATTTTAACACTTCAAGTCCGAGCAGGTCTTTTGTGAGTTTTTTTTGGGTTTCTGAGGGTTCGGTGTTGCGGCCTTTTTACGAAGAGGACACGGAAAATATTGTTAAAACTGATTTGAATAAGATTTTAATAGAAAGCAAATTTTTACTAATTAAGCTAAACTAAACTAAGCTAAGTACTACTAAATTAAGTTAACTAAGAAAGCTAATTTACTAGAAAGCTGAAAGCGATACAATATTAACTAAAATAAAACAAAAGGAGTTGAGAAAAGTATAGACAAAATAAGATTAACAATGTTTTGACGGCGTATTCGCGCACGCCGAGGGCGCATGTTTCCCGGCTCAGAGAGTTCTGTCTCAGCGGGGGGTAAGGCGGCTGCGGGGGCGGTATCGCACGTTCGGATATTTGGTTCCGCAATAAAATGTAAATAAATTTAATGTTTCTTTCAGGTCTGGAAGACATTCTGGTACTTCGACGAAAACAAATAGAGACAATGCAACCAGTTTTTATCAGAATCTAAAATGTCATTTAATAAAATAGAAAGCCTACTTATTATATACAGGTGTTTTAAAATGACACGATTTTAAGTACCATCGTCCGAAATTCCTAAATTTATGACATAGTCGCGATTTTTAGCCCTCCAAATTCTATCGAATTAATATGCAGTGTGATTGTTCCGTAACAACAAAGTCTATGTAACTAGAATATTTTGCAAACAACAAGACAAAATCACACAAGGCCTTGCTAACTGTATCACTGATAGTATTTTATCGTTTTAAGATACTGTGCCAGTAGCAAGATAAATATGTGACCGAAAAAAACTCGACCGCAGAATGGTTTATCTCTTGACATATTCTTTCTGGTAAGCTAAACTCTAATCAATATTCGAAAAACCAGAGGTATGATATTGAAATCCGATATGACGCCAGCAGTGACTACGAAAATCGAAAGCTGAGGAGAAACATTTGGTGGCCAAATGTAAAATATTTGCAGCCGATACGCTATTTTTAGTCTTCACTTACATTTTTATTAGCGTAGATCAACAGATGAACTCACTGCATTAATATGCCTATACCTTATGTTAAAAATCACTGTTCTTATTTAATATAAGAATAGTGTTTTTCAACATAAGGTATTTTTCAAGTCTTAAATAACAACATGCACCAAATAGTTCTTTGTTCCTACGGTCTGTTTGGATGATGATCATGGCTCCTCAATCTCCTTCGACATTGACTTGCCCCAGTGTTGAATTTACACAAAAATCACTAAGATCTAGTAGCCAAGGTTAGCTAATTTTCCAAGGGTGATACGATTTGGGACTTAGAATTGAAAATATTAATCATCATCAGCCTATAGCAGTCTATTGCTGGACATAGGCCTCTAATTATACGCCACTAAGCACGATCCTCGGTTTCTCTCATCCAGCTCCTAAAATATTAATAAATTAGTAGAAATATAAAAAAAAACTTAGGTATTCTACTCGTGGATCTAAAACGTAATTCAAACCAAAAACCAAAGATGTCGCTTTTTATATCAAAATAACAGTGCGCGGCACTAGAGTGACGTCTACACGTGATTTTAATCTAAATAAACAAAATAACTTACCAATTTGATTGTTGACTTTATTATCAGTCTTGTGCCTGAGCCAGTCTTCGTAGCCTTGCTTGACAGCTGTTACGAACACCATGAATGATAACGGAGCGATGCTTGTGAAAGGCGATACAGGACTATCTGTGAACAAATTTACATATCATCAAAGATCATTAAAGATCATTAAAGATAGTCTGGCCATAGATACTGTTACAATAAAAACATTTGAATTTGGAACATATTATTCCTATTTGAATGTAGTCATAGGTGCCTACATTGTGTTTTCTCACTTTCGCGCCAATATTATTGTGAGTGAAATGAAGATCGAAATTGTTGTGATAGCTTTCACAAAACAGGTATGGAGCCATATATTATTTTTGTAATTCGCAATTAAATTTATTAAAAGTAGACGGTTTTTTGTTACTTATGTACAATAAGTAGTAATTATTATAAGTGTATCAATATTTTACCGGTCTTATAATAATTAATTTGGTATTAAATAACTGAACTTAACTTTTAAAGAAATATGTTAACTTTTACTAATAAATAATATTAATATAAGAACTCTTGTTTCATACTATTTTGTTTACCTATCACTATCAAAACATTTATTATTAAATTTATAGCTATCGTAAAATTTAAGGGTTATAATCAAACTAACTACCTGATACGATGTGAATTTTATGATTGTTAATTTATTTCTGTATCATTAAAAACAATATTAAGTTACGTATTTCTCTTAAATTCTATACATGCTCAAACTTTTTTTAAAGTTCAATTAACTAGATAATATTCCTGTTTTAAAGTATTGAAAAGAGGAGCCGTAACATGAGCACGAAGTTAGCGAAAAAAAAATGAGGGCCTACGACAAACGGAAATTACCTTTCATCATTTAGTTTACCCAATCGTTGTTAGCCTAAGGGGTTACTCCAACAAGATCGGACGGATAGGTGAGCTAACGGGCTCGAGCTGAGAAAGTTTGATTACATTAGCCCTAGCGCCCCTAGCAAGAACAGTCTTTTGCAGAATCTACCTTTTTTTTTTTTTTACCTTCCTAAGCTGAGAGCCTTGAGAGGCTATTTCAGCGTAACCCTAACGTTTGTAGGTGAGCTCACGGGGCTCAAACCTGACGACGATGCTAACACGAACCCTAGCAAGAGCCGTGCTTCGCAGAATTTACCACCGGATCGGAAACGCGACCCACTGAGAAGATCCGGCGAGAAACTCAGTGGGCTGTGTCTGGGAGTTAATTTACTCGTCGAGCCCTTCGTCGCAAGCGACGGGTTCGACGAGAACGGTGACCGGTGCTTGAAGTACCTAGAAGCACCGTTAGTGGATCGGGAGGATCCGAGATGACGTGTTTTGGGCGACGTCGACTGCTTTCCATTCTGTCCGCAGGATCGGGAATGGGACTCTACCACCGAATCGTAATCGCGACACACTAAGAAGATCCGGCGAGAAACTTAGTGGTAAAAGTAGGTTGTGTTTATGAATTTGTTCATAGAATCCTGTAGCATACATACAAACTCTTTATTTATTTATTTCTTTTATTACTTTCTTTTTTTTTGTTGCCTGTCCCGCTCTTTCGAAAAATAAGACCCAGGGTGTGTGATGCCTACCCGTGTTGACTTATAATACTGCCTGCCACCGGTTTTTATGCAAGCTATAAATTTTGCGCCTTTTATTTTAAAGTTTATCAGGAATGTATTTATTTAAAAAAAATACCAGCTGAAAGAGATTTATTTACCGGTACAGTCGTACCATTTGAAACGTTTAGGTTCCTTATCGCTTCCGCTGGGTTAGTTAGTTACTGTTCTCGACCCACCTGGTGTTCGGTTACCGGAATCCATTATTTAAATCATCATAACAAAAACATCACAATTTCAATGCTGTTGCTGTTGTAGGCATAATGGTTGTCCCACGCTACAAACTGAACGCATGAGTGTTTCACGTAATTCGGTTACGCCACTGAGTTTCTCGCCGGATCTTCTCAATGGGTCGAGATTCCGATCCGGTGGTAGATCCTTTCGAAGCAGTACTATAGACAAGGCCAGTGTCAGCAAATTTTCTCACTAATCTGGAATAGTTCTTTTAAGCTACCAGCGAATAGGTAGGGAGAAAATAACTCGATACACTTCGGAGGTTTTATCATTTAGGTTACGAAGACTTCGAATAGTCAGACAAAATAGTTTTACTTGTTTTATAAGACATTATTCGTAATTTGTATCAAAATAACATCACAAAGATGCCAGGACGCGATAGAACGATGATGGTGCACGGATGGTGCATGGATGGACGGCACAATGCCACGCCTTTGACGACGCTTTGTGTCAGTAACGAAGCTGCGAAACTATAGTTTTTTTTATGTTTGAGAGATAATTATAATGATATATTGTGGCCAAAGGCCTTTCGAGTTTTACCAGATGAAACCATAGTATGTTCACGCTTTTTGTTTTTTTTCTCTCTACTAAAAATACTATTAAAAATTCCACAGAGTCAAAACAATATTTAAAAAGGATGCTTTCACAACGTCAACGCTGCGGTACAAGCTTGCGGTGCGCAAAAAATAACAAGATGTTTCTGTATGCAGTCACTTTTCCACATGTACAAGCTTTTAAAGACATATCGTTAATAACGGCATATGGCAAAAAAAAACTTTACAAAATGTCTTTATAATGGCTAATTCTGTTGAGTATACAAAAATGTCGTACATGATATAGCTATTGGATATACTGTATTTGATTTCCCTCCCCGCCACCGTCTTCAAAATGACCCTCTTCGGCCTACGTGTAAGTAATTCTGGGTGATGATGATGTGTAGTCCTTCCGTCCTCACGTAGATAAAATCTCTATCCTATGTTATGCAACCGGAATATCTTCATAATAACTGGCGTAAGCTCCTTCCAAAGAATCCTGCTTTCTAAGATTAGCCGTCAGAACACCGTGGCAGTACATGAGGAATATAGATCTACAGGAAGTTCTAAGTACTGTATCGAAAGCCCGTCCATTTACAGATTCTTATGCGGCACTCTTAGCCCATAGCGTCAGTACCTGTGGTTTTAATAGACACGCGATTCCGATCCGGTGTTAGATTAAATCACGACGGAAATTCCCTTTCACTCACGCAGTTTTTAGCAAACCTCTTCCCTACAAACCTCCTGGCTGTGACTGTTCTCTCTCTCTCTCTCTGTCCCAAGATGATGAAGCCGGGAAAGTTTTGGGCTACAAGTAATACTTAGCTCCATCCTAAAAATAGCGTCATCGTCATGACGACTTCTTGTACTTAATATATTAAATTGGTTGTCAAGATATTGCAAATTTTATAATGATATATTTGTTTATTTAGAGTGGTATCAGTTGATAATGATTTTAATTAATAACTATAGATAGATAAAAACAGTTAATATGACTATTAGTTTTTGCTTGCGTAATTCGTTGTACATATCAGAAGATAATTTTACATTAGGTTATTCACTCATTTGTCAAGTGTATCAACAAACCGGGGCGGGGCGTTTCGGTCGGATCGGGCCGTTCAATGTGCGTCAACCTTCACAATTTAGTACCATACAGCTAGCGGGACGGTGCGCATTACGTTTTTTTTATCGCGATATGTGTGACATTGAACTGTTAATTTCACTCGTGAAACAACATCAATGCATCTGGAACGTGGATCATGAAGATTACCACAATCCATATAATAAAGAGCAAGCTTGGAAGGAGATATGTAAAGAAATGTGTGAGAATTGGGATAAAGCGAGTCCAATGGAAAGGAAGCGCGCTTGTGAGTTTATTATTACAAATTCTGTAGCGATATACACAAACTTATTCTCAAATTTATATTATTGTTTTTTGTGAGATTTGCCATTTGCACAAGCGTGCATTATTGTGTTTTAATAACACTGCGTGATAATTGTTTGTTAAATAGAACAGCTGAGTATGCCTTAAAATCAACTTTGAAAATGTTTTTTTAGTATTTTAATTAACTAATACCAAAATTAAGACCTTAAATGCATCTCAGATTTACTTCATTTCAAATTGTTTACGTAATTATTGGATATTACATACGGCTACACCTAAAATGTTGATATTGTTTTGAGTTCAAGCGTTTGACGTTTTGACATTTGACAGTTATTTTAGAGTTACGTTTTACATTGGAATTAGGTACTTAAGTAGGTTCATGAAGTATCGTGAGAAGAAAAGTGAGTTTATTCTTAATTGTTAAGTCAAACCTAAGTGATTGTTGAAGATTATAGAACATATCTTATTAAAATCATTAAAAGTCTTAAAATTAAACTAAGTACTAAGTAAGTATCTATAGAAAATGTAATCAGTTCAAAATAAAATCTTATGTTTATGAAATAAATATATTAAAAAACAACAATTTTCCAGGCTTAGAATGTAAAAAGAAATGGAATAATGTCAGAGGGAACTACCAAAAGGACGTTATAAAAAGACATTTATTGGGGCCGAAAGCAAAAAAAGTTAAAAAGTATTACCATGCTGACGCATTATCTTTTCTGGAACCAATCATACTGAAGAACAAAACAGAATTCGAAACAGTCGACTGGTAAGTTTTTTTTTGCTGCTAGAATCATAGTCTAGCAACACTGTAATATGAATTTTAAAAAATTTAGACTTTTTGAAACAGCTGAAATTGAAATGGTTTGGTTTTGTTTTATTTTGTTGATAAATTGTTTCGTCAGGATTAAAAGTGTAATAATGGTGGCTTATTAACTGTTTAGCAGGGATGACAGTGCACAAGAAATTACAGTACATTTTTTGTCTGAGTTTCAATGTATCTTAATAAATAATTATCTCTATTAAGTTCAACTTATATACAAATATTTTTTGCAGTATTTTAAAATGTACAATTTTTACACACTACTGCAAAAATAAATTCATGTTCTTTATTTTTAAGTGCCCATAAAGTGAACTAAACAAACAGTACTTTGTGTCTGCAACTTAACAATTATGATAAATAGAACTAGGTACATGCTTAGATCAAAGCCAAGATATAAAACCTTTACATTTTTCATTTTAGTGGGACAGCAGAAGTTAGTACCGAGACAGACGAGGAAGACCACACAGAACCTGTAGAACAAAAATGTATACCAATTGATGATACAACAACAGAATTATCCGAAGATACATCATTATATCCTGTGATAAAAATAATTGAACCGAAGCTTGAGACAGACGAGGATACAATGTTCTTACTGAGTTTTCGGAGTCATATGAAGGAAATGACACAGAGACAAAAACTAAACTTTAAGACTGCAATGCTCAAATTACTGAAAGATAGTTCGAGTATATAATTATGTTGTTTTTTTTTTAATATAAAAATATTGTTATGTTTGAAATATAATTATTTTTATATTGAAATAAAGTATTTGAATGAAAGTATGCTTTATTTCCTAAATTGTACATTGTACATGTTGAACCTTGATGTTAAATTTATTCTACAAAAATATGTACATAGCATTATGTAAAACCAAGAAATTAACTGATATCTGTTAAAAAAATTGTTTAAATTAGGACTCATTTTCTAATTGGCCTCCTTATATGTCATATATGTACATATTAAAGTATTACATAATATTAAAATAATATACTAATATAATTATAATACTATGCATGTTTTTTATTACATTAAATAGGAATTAAGACACAAATGGTTTTTAAAGAGTATATACATACTAGTATTTAGTTGGTTATCATAGTCTTGTAAGAAATATTAGTCTTAATCATAGTGATAAACTATAAATACTTTTCTTTTGGGTGAATGGCTAGTGTATGATGATACATGATACATATCAGCACAGCGTGTTTCTAGAGATTATAAATTAGGTCACGTACCACTCTGCTTTGGGATAAACTTCCGCCTACGATTTTCTCAGAGATCGCTATGAAAGTCTATACGAACGGAGCTTAAACAGAGTCCATAGCAGAAGCGGCTATGAAATGATACATTTAAGTATATTGTATATATATATTTTATCGAGTCTTAAAAAAGATCAGAAAAATATATATTTATTCAACGCTAAAACTTAGTGTTTTTGTCATAAATACGAATAAATGAATTATTTGCAGATATGGAACTCAAAAAGAAATGGAATAACGTAAGGGATTCGTATCGTAAAGACGTTATGAAAAGTCAAGCCCTTGGTAGGAATAGTAGGAGGTACATATACGCTGCAGAATTGGAATTCATGGAGCGAATTTTCTTGAGAAATAAATCTGTATTCGAGACCATAAATTGGTAAGAGTTTAACACTCATTAAGTTCTCAAAAAAATAATGGATAGTATTGCATATAATAAAGGTACATAATTAAATAATACTAATAAACCCGGACACGCTTCGTATGTGTACGACAGTTTAAAAAACATGGTTTTTTTTTTAAATTCATGCGTCATCTAGCGTGCAATGTTACTAGTAACAGAAACAAAAAACTTCCTTGGAGCGCCACCCACAATGATTCATAGATTACAATCTTTATTTAAACATGTATTTTACAAATTGTATAATTTAACAAAAGTTCAGACTTTCAATACAGTGCTTATTTACCACCTATATACACGTACTTACGCCGTGAATCATGATGTCGATAAGCTAGGTTTCACTGCCATTTGTTAGAACAGCTAGTAATAACCCTTTGCTGTTTATTAAATAATTAATTCTATTAAAAAATATTGTGATTGTATATTGAGATAAAAATTATCGTAACTCCCAAGTTGAAACAAAGTACAAACGTTTTACCAAAAATATGAAATTTCGACTTTAATATTTTAAGATAAATAGTGAAATCGCGTTGTCTATGGACTTCGGTAACTATACACAGCATGAACTTTACCCGACCCAACAAACGAATATAAATATTCAACACCCAGCAATAAGCAGTTAGATCAGGTGTGCCGCCGTCATCTAGAGCAAGTCGTAAAAATGTATACTAAAATATCACATAAGTATTGAAAAGTAATTACTGACGTATGATTTTTCTGACATAAGCGGGGTAACGACCTCACGGTTGAGGTTTATCGGCGTTCGGGTCTCATATGGGTCTCAGGATATAGAAATTTGATTGAGATGAAGTAACCCTATGAATAGATCAAAACGTAAATTTTCACGCACAATAAATGAGGCAGGTGTCACCAGTCACTTTATACCCTCGCCTCTGCGCATAATCTAGATGCATTGCTTTGATCCCTAACAGCAACAAATTAATTATGGTCCGTGATTTGAACTTCCATACATATCCCGGTCATCGTCCTCGTCGAACCCGTCGCTTGCGACGAAGGGCTCGACGAGTAAATTAACCCGCAGACACAGCCCACTGAGTTTCTCGCCGGATCTTCTCAGTGGGTCGCGTTTCCGATCCGATTATAGATTCTGCGAAGCACGACTCTTGCTAGGGTTCGTGTTCGCAACGTCATCAGGTTTGAGCCCCGTGAGCTCACCTACTAGTTAAGGCGACGCTGATATAGCCTCTCAACGCTATCAGCTTAGGTAGGAAAAAAAACCATACATATCGTTATGATTATATAAATGACTGATAGTCGAATTGTCGACGTAAAATAATTTTACAATAAATATCTTTGTTGTTTGTTTTACGGAACCATTCTTTTCAGCGAAAGTATAAAAGACCATTTTCAAGACAGCGTTGATTTTAATAGCGAATATTTGGAAGAAGCGTTCGAGCCTGAGTTTGAATTTAAAGCGGGGAGTCCCTCTGGAAACTTCAAAATGGCAACTGAAAATTCAAATAGAAGGAGTCTCAACAGTAAAGACGATGATACGTTATTCCTCCTGAGTCTCCGAGGCTACATGAAGGAAATGACGCGAGAGCAGAAACTACATTTTAAAATTTCAATACTGAATTTAATTAAGGACTGTAGCTGATAGTACCGATAGTATTTTTATTGATTAATAAATATGTTTTATTTAATTGTTTTATTTGTTCCGGATTTTAGTTTAGTAACATTGTACTCATCTCATTCTATAAAAGTCTATCGTCATTTCCTATGCTGTTTTCAAGGCACCACCTCGATGAAACGTCTTATTTTTGGCGCTCAACAACTTATCTTAATTTAATAACTAGTGTTCGCCCAGTGGTCTAAATTTGACCATAGTCACCTCAAGATTTAGTCAGATACATTTCTGTATTACAAGTTCTCCTTTGTTTAAAAAAAAAGTTGATTCCAAAGCCGAGTAATAGTTACCTACTCAATAAAAAAAAAGAAAATCGATTTTCAAACAGAAGAGTACATATGATCTGTTATATCTTTCCTTATTAATATCAACAAGCTAAGTTATTTACTTAAATCTCATCGAAAAAGATTTTTAAATTAATCTGGAATAATTAATTGATAAATATTTTAAATATAGCAGAGATATTAAACAAATCGGAACCATTAACCATATGCCTAGAAGAATTACAAGACAAAGGTGTAAATGTGGAAATATTGTGTATTTCGGAACACTTCATCATGGCTGGATATGAGAATTTTTTATCGATCCCTAATTTTATTCTGGCGTTTTTCTTCAGTAGAGCTAATACTCACGCGGCCCGCACTAACTTGAAACCCTTTCAGGTTATTCAATTCTGATTTTGCAGGATAGTCGTCGGAGCACCATGGTTCCTAAGGAACCTGGATCTCCATGATGACCTGGAGCTTGACTCAGTCAGTAAGTATCTACAGTCGGCATCATTGCGCCACTTTGAGAAGGCGGCACGACATGAGAACCCTCTTGTCGTGGCCGCTGGAAATTACATACCCGGTCTTGTAGACCGAATGGTAAACAGTCGACGTCACCCAAAACACGTCATTACGGATCCTCCCGACCCATTAACGGTGCTTTTAGGTAACACAAGCACCGGTCACCGTCCTCGTCGAACCCGTCGCTTGCGACGAAGGGCTTGACGAGTGAATTAACCCATGGACACAGCCCATTGAGTTTCTCGCCGGATCTTCTCAGTGGGTCGCGTTTCCGATCCGGTGGTAGATTCTGCGAAACACTGCTCTTGCTAGGATCAGTGTTAGCAACACTTCCGGTTTGAGCCCCGTGAGCTCACCTACATGTTAGGGTGAAGCTCAAAAGGCCTCTCAAGGCTATCAGCATAAGTAGGGAAAAAAAATTACCTCTGTTCCACTCTCCAAACTATAACGCATGACTTCACGGCAAAACTAGAGCGGTGGTAGTTTCCCTTGCGGGGGCGTCTTACCGATAGTGGTTACGGAAATAAATTTGCGATTTTAATTTTTGTTACACAATGCTATTCTTTAAACGTGGAAGCCAGTCCTGAGCTTATGTTAAGTACGTATTTCTTTAGAGAAATGTACCTCCCTGCGAAATTTGTACACCGTCATAGCCACATCATTTGATAAGAATACACCAGGCGTCTTATCCTTTAGGCCACGACGATCTCATCAAGATTATTATCAACGATAATTATATTATCAACAAATCCTACTTCAATGTTTCTTCGCTAAACAGTAATATATGGTTTTTAATATCAAATTCAGTTTCTATTCCAAGGCGAGAATAATTTTTATTATTCTGTTAAAATAAAAATAAATTAAAAACGAAGCAAACGCAAAGAATACATGTCAATTAAATGTCTTTAAGTCTTTGAATTTTGAGTTCAAGAACTTGAAGTTTATAAAATTGAAGTTGAAGTTAAAAACTTATAAATTATCCAAAAAGCCTATTTATAAATTATTATTATACCATTATTTTGCACTCAGTGTTGCAATCAAAACGTATTTTGAGACAATTCGTAATAATAGGTTGAAGATGCTTAGACCTTTTTTCGTAGATGCATTGAAAATGAAGCAAACTATTATTTTTACTTTTATGAAGGGCGCTCTGCGATATTCCTACAGTGTAGGTGCTAAATTCGTTTGCTAGGTTTTTAATATACCTTATAGGTGAAAAAGTCATTCTCAAACCTTGCCTTTTTATTTCTATGTCCTTATTTCAAACGAAATGAATTATTGGACACGTTCAATTATGCTATTCTATTCTATCAGACGTCCAGTGCTGGACATAGGCCTCCCTCAAGCCTCACCACACGAACGGTGGAGGTCTATGGGCTCAACTGACCACTTAAAACCAGTAGGTAACCACCAAACCACAGTAGGTAATCGAATTAGGCCAGGTAGCTCGTCCACCCATCTAAGCAATGAGAAGAATTAAAAAAACAGGATCATGATATGCGCATCCCATGTGTCAAAAGTAACCAGGTTGCCATGCCATGGAGTGCCACGGTTGATAGCCACAGCAAATTTCCACCAGACTTTATTATCACCTAACACATGTCTTAGATAATATTCGGAAGACACATCAAAGCTTTATTTACGATGCGCCTTGACTGACCCGTATACTATTCTACCAGCGTCAGCCGTTAGAAGAATCGTACTGCACTATTTGAAGCTAACTAAGGTCATTATCGTTATTTTGCAGGTGCGCTATTGAGGAAGAAATGGAAGAATTTAAGATTGTATTACCGAGACGTAGTATTGAAAAGATACAGTCCTAATTTGGGAGGAAAGCAAGACAGAAAATACGTGTACGCCGAACACTTATCATTCTTGTTGCCGATCATAATGAAATGTAAAACTAAATTTGAGACTGTAAGTTGGTAAGTAGTTCTTTAATTGACATTTCTTTTTAATTGTTGAAATAAAACTTCTTTAGAATCGTTGTGATTTCAAACTCGATGAAACGAAAAAATAAGTCCATAGAGACACAAACACATAAATGTATAGGATTCAGCCGGTGAGAGAATGAGATAGAACACATTAGACGTTCTCGGTCTCCTCTTTGTGCGACTCTTCGTAGCATCCTCACTATCGTCTACTAAACATTGTCCATAGGTATGCTCCTAGTCAGTATATCTATATCTTATTTATAAGTTTCACTTCTACCGTGTGTGACTTGCACACACACACACACACACACACTTTTTTTTCTGCTTACGTTTAGAAATAATAAGACGTTAAATTAGAAGACATGTTGCATCGAATAACATTATTCGTAATTCATTATCACAAGCAATATTTACTATTACACTCGGGGTATAATTTTGTCTATTATATTATGTAAATATATCCATTCGTATACCAGTATCATGTTAGGATTCCTAACTCTAGATTTTTTCACTGCACGTTTTTCAAAAGATACTGGCTCGGCTGTGTGAAAGCAAAATTCAACGGACAGACTTATCTCATGAGCACTTTTATACATCTTCCATACACCAATTATATATTTCATATGGATCCCTTTCATCCCTTTTAAATTTATGATTGCGAAAATTTTCACATATAAATATGTAATTAAATTCAAAATTACAATTTGTTTTAACCTTAAAATGTTTAAGCCTTATAATGACATCAATGATTTTAGCAACGGCAGTACAGAGCCTAATCCTGAACCCACTGAATTCGAAACGGCTTACATTCAAGTGAAGATAGAGGGAGAAGATGATGACACAGAAGAGTTGCCGCTAGCTGAGCGATCTGCTCAGTCCACTGGCCATAGCAAACAAGAAAACACCGTGGATTTAAATGATGATGACACATTATTTTTACTGAGTCTCCAAAGTCACATGAGAGATATGGATATGACAAAGAAATTGGATTTCAAGATTTCCGTCATGGATGTCGTGAAGGAATGTATTCCATTCGCTTGACAATAAAAACATTGGCAGTACATTTGATGTTTCTTTTTCATCCCATCTGACATTTTTAGTAACTCCATAGGCGGCGACTAAAACTGGTAATATGTATCTTAGATGGGCCGGACTATTGCGCACAGAAATCGACTTATATATTTTCAGTTCTATAGAATAATATCGTCCTTAGCCCCCGGTCATTTTTCTCGTCGAACCCGTCGCTTCCGACGAAGGGCTCGGCGAGTAAATTAACCCACACACAGCCCACTGAGTTTCTCGCCGGATCTTCTCAGTGGGTCGCGTTTCCGATCCGGTGGTAGATGCTGCGAAGCGCTGCTCTTGCTAGGGCCAGTGTTAGCAACGACTTTTTTTAATTTTTTGCTCAGTTGGGTGGACTAGCTCACAGCCCACCTGATGTTAAGTGGTTACTGGAGCCCATAGACATCTACAACGTAAATGCGCAGCCCATCTTGAGATATAAGTTCTAAGATCTCAGTACAGTTGCAACGGCTGTCTCACCCTTTAAACCGAAACGCATTACTTCTTCACGGCAGAAATAGGCAGGGCGGTGGTACCTACCCGCGCGGACTCACAAGAGGTCCTACCACCAGTAATTACGCAAATTATAATTTTGCGGGTTTCATTTTTATTACACGATGTTGTTCCTTCATCAATTCCTTCAATCCTCCTTCAATTCTTCAGTTCCTTCAATCGTGAACGTTTGTTGAGTACGTAATTCATTACAAAAATTGGTACCCGCCTGGGATTCGAACACCGGTGCATCGCTCAACACGAATGCACCCGACGTCTTATCCCTTAGGCCACGACGACTTCATCAGGGTTGAGTCCCGTGAGCTCACCTACTTGTTAGGGTTACGCCGAAATGGTCTCTCAAGACCATCGGCTTAGGTAAAATAAAACAGATGAGTCTACAGTACATTTTTTTTTTATTGCCCTTGTAGACAGACGAGCATACGGCCCACCTGATGGTGAGTGGTTACCGTCGCTCATGGACTTCAGCAATGCCAGGGGCAGAGCCAAGCCGCTGCCTACCGCTTAATACTCTCCATAAGCCTCGTTTGAAGAAGGACATGTCATAGCGCTCGGGAAACACCGTGGAGGGGAGCTCATTCCATAGCCGGATGGTGCGTGGCAAAAAAGATCTCTGGAAGCGCACTGTGGATGACCGCAGTGGCTCCAGGTAGTATGGATGAACTCTACTCCGGTGGCGGGCGGTGCGGTGGTAAAAACGAGATGCCGGTATCATCTCGAATAATTCCTCAGAGCACTCCCCATGGAACATACGGTACAAAATACAGAGGGAACCGAAGTCCCTCCGCAGACCCAGAGGTTCTAAAACAAAATTTGATTATAGGTTGCCGATGTCTACCGACGGTCCAAATGGACTCCTACCAAGATATCATATTCGAAACTTGTTTAAAAGATCACTCTGAATTAAGTGATGTCCGAATACCGTTGGACGAATGAGACTGTCTACTCATCATTTATAGGTACACACTTACAAAAGTAGATATGATAAGAACATTGAAACGAACGCGACTCGGCGTTGTGCGAAAGACATCAGGTGCTATAAAAGAATTTACGACGATAAAACATATCAACGTTTCCTATAGATAAATTCGTCAAACATTTTATTGTTTATTCGTGATCACGCAGTATTAAGTGCTGACGTATAGAATTAACGATAAACATATATTGAACTAAAACTTTTGATACATATCTGTTAGCGTAATTCCACTTTATCTACCACTATGGTGGTAGGACTTCTTTTGAGTCCGCGCGGGTAGGTACCACCACCCTGCCTATTTCTGCCGTGAAGCAGTAATGCGTTTCGGTTTGAAGGGCGGGGCAGCCGTTGTAACTATACTGAGACCTTAGAACTGATATCTCAAGGTGGGTGGCACATTTACGTCGTAAATGTCTATAGGCTCCAGTAACCACTTAACAACAGGTGGGCTGTGAGCTCGTCCACCCATCTAAGCAATAAAAAAACTATCACAATTAAAATTTATTCATTGCTCTCTGTTAAAAAAAATGAGAGCGAGAATTGATTAGTTCTTCCAAAGCGATTTTGACTGCTCAGCAATTTTCTTCTTTGCATGAAGGTGTGCAAATTTTGAAAAACAATAATCCAAGGTCTGTAGGGTAGGATGGTTAATGGGGTATTTTCAGGTTTGAACTTGGTGACCGTATGTCGTAACTTAAACCAAAGGAGCAGTAGCGTGAAGCAAGTGGCCATGCGCGGCTGTTGTGAATTTATTTTGTTACCATTTCTAGTTGTTGGCAAAATATACAGAAAACTTGCAGTACTGTATTTTTTTTTGCCGTCATTGATAAGCGATTTTAGATCAATCCGATGGTGAGTTTTCGTTTGACCTGAAAAAGCCACAGTGGATAACACCAGCAAACGCTCATCAAGTATCTTTTTTTGCTTCAAAATTTGACCTTCAGGACTTAGCCGTTTTATCTTAAGCGTTTTTGACGTGACAACGTCTTATAATTCGATGGAGCCGGAGGCACGCACGAAAAAACATGACTCATGCGGCGTTATTTCGCTCTGAGGCGTACATGTTCAGTGAAAAGGAAATGTGGTGTCAATTGTTTATAGCAACGATAATTGCGATAATTGAAAAATTAAACCATTCCATCAGTATTTTCTTATGACGTTGTCACGTTCAACTATCGTCAGTAAACCGACTTTACAGACAACCGATTTTAATTATCGCATAAGATCCGCTTATGCCGCATTGCTGTGGCTGTTGAGTATCGTAATTCAGCACTTATGTGTTTGCCGATTTGACTAACAATTACTCCACTTGTCGCGTGTTTTCGCGCGTGGACTTGACTCAATACATACAGTAATAACCCGCTTTATTATTTGTTTCTTTTTGCAAAATTTACGCCACAAAATCAACTTATCACGTCAACCGAGTTTTTCTGCTAAGTTTTCGGATGCTGAAGAGCATACGGTCCATCAGTTTGAGACATCCGCGTCCATAGTTTCGAATTAATTTAGAATATAGATTATTTCACTATGGATCTACTTTTACAGTTGTGCACGAAACTCAATATGTTTTTCTAGAAAAAGCGCCATGTGCTTACGTTGGAGGTTGATCGATCTGAATACATAATTTATTATACCTACATTTATTATTCGTGCTTTTGTAGCGAAACTCATGTTTGAAAGTAAAACGATATTTTAACTCTTGCCTAAACAGAACGATGAGAAAGCCAATATAAACGATGCGAAAACAAATTATATTAACTAATTTCGAAAGAGAACTTCGCTAGCTTCACCTTGAAGTACATTTTAAATATGAATGAGAAAACTAACGCCAGATATTTTAGTTCCAAGATGTTAGTATTGAGAATCGACAATTTCCTAAATAAGGATTTAGTAATAAAATTTTCTATTGTTTCAAGTAGATAAGATCATAAGCAGCTGCTACTTTGCAGCAGCATTCACCCACCCTTGCAAACTTACTATAATACGCCTTCGCACCAATTTAAAGTCTCAAGTAAAGATATGGCTATGAAGTAGCAATTCTCACATAGACTATTTAAACGTTTCTCAATACCTTATCGTGTGACTAGTGGAGAGCGCATAAATTATTTTACGGTAGCAAGTCAAATGGATCTATGATTTCTAGATTTTTTATTGTTTGTTCTAAGTGTTGATTAAACAGATAGTCGTCATATTTATCTTTTAGGGTAAATACATATAAGGAAAGCGCTATCGAAGCTCTATTGGAGATTATGAAAATTTCAAGTAATTTAATTCGTAAAAATATTGACGAATTCTCTTTTTTTTCCCTACCTATGTTGATAGCCTTGAGAGGCTATATCAGCTTCACCCTAACGTATAGGTGAGCTCACGGGGCTCAAACCGGAGTGGTGCTAACACTGGCCCTAGCAAGCCGTGCTTCGCAGAATGTACCGGATCGGAAACGGGACCCACTGAGAAGATCCGGCGAGAAACTCAGTGGGCTGTGTATGGATTAATTCGCCCCTTCGTGGCAAGCGACGGGTTCGACGAGGACGGTGACCGGTGCTTGTGGTACCTAAAAGCACCGTTAATGGATCGGGAGGATCCGTAATGACGTGTTTTGGGCAATTTCTCTAGGCATCTTGAACGGCATCAAAAACAAGCATGTGTTTGCATTGCCGGTGTATTTAATAAATTAAAACGGTAACTCTTTAAGACTTTGTCAGTATATGTACGCGTTCCCGGAAATCGCTAAACCACTTACGTAAAGTAAGTAAGACATCGAAAAAAAAACTGATAAAATTAAGTCGGCAAGTTTTAAAATCGAAAAGCATTATCACCCGTATTGTCCAAACAAAACACGATAAAAGATTTTTTAAGTTTAATGTAGGTTGGATGTATGAATATGTTATCGGCAATCTATGTATATAATACGATATTCTATACAATACCTAGGTAATCTATAGAATACCTGTATGAAATATTTTTCATTTTATACTTTGCCTAGGCATTCTATACAATACCGACTGCGCTGCCGGTAATGTGTGTAAAAGAACTGATTACTTAACTTTTAACTGATTACTATAAGTCGGGCCCTTCGTCGCAAGCGACGGGTTCGACGAGAACGATGACCAGTACTTGAGGTACCTAAAAGCACCGTTAGTAGATCGGGGGGATCAAAAATGACGTGTTTTCAACCTTAGGAATATAATAATATACATTTGCACCTTTTAATTAAGCAGTTACTTTGCATAAAAATATTATAACTTCGTTGAGAATTTTATGGATAATTTCCTTCATAAAGCATACGTAATGTCCACTTACCTATAACAACGGCAATAACTGTGACGATGAGAAAGTAAAAGTTGACAACTCTTCGAAACTGTTCAGAGAGGTTTTTCGGCAGGAACATGAGTAAAGTGTATTTTGAGGTTTTGATTTTGTTGTGCTTCTTCTTGTCTGCTTCGTCGACCACGCCGACCTCGACTTGGCGAGTCTCCGGCGCGGCCGAAACTTTGTTCCCCTTTAACAAATACAAGTTTACAAGCTATACCTTTAATGCATTTAACGGAGCTAACTATGTCTGATGAGATTATATTTATATTTGCTAGATTATATTTGCTTTATAAAGCACTAGCAGCCCGCTCCGGCTTCGCGCGGATCCTTAGCAAAAAAAATTGGTAATTTTTTTACACCTTGGGTTACATTATTGGAGTTTTAGTAAGGATCCCAAATTTTTTTCAAAAAAGATTATCGCCTATGTCACTGGGATAGTGTAGCTTCCAAACAGTGAAATAATTTTTCAAATCGGTTCCTTAGTTTCGGAGCCTATTCAATACAAACAAAAACAAATCTTTCCTCTTTATAATATTAGTATAGACAAGACCGGCATCGCGTGGAGTACTGTTCCCACCACTAGGCTAGGGCTCCCAAATACCAGCTACCTACTTCCATTTGACTCTATACAGAAGAGGGCCGTTCGGGTTGTCGATAATTCGTTCTCACGAATCGTTTGGAACCTCTGGGTCTGCGGAGGGACTTCGCTTCTGTATTTTGCACCGTATGTTCCATCATCTCAATTTTACTAAAACATCGCCCGCCATCGGAGTAGAGTTCATCCATACTACCTGGAGCCACTGCGTTCATCCACAGTGAGTTCCCAGAGAACTTTTTTGCCACGTACCATCCGGCTTTGGATTGAGCTCTCCTCCACGGTGTTTCCCGAGCGCTATGACTTGTCCTTCTTCAAACGAGGCTTGTGGAAAGAACTCAATGACAGGCAGTGGCTTGGCTCTGCCCCTGGCATTGCTGAAGTCCATGGGCGACGGTAACCACTCACCATCAGTTGGGCCGCATAATTGTCTACCTACAAGGGCAATAAAAAAAATTAAAAAAGTATATATTTGTAGATTACTGGTTGCCCGGAGGCCTTTTCCGTTTCACCAGGACCAGTGGGCGAGTAAAGGCTCAGCCAGGAGGGTTGGGATTTGCTAGCAGCTGTCCGGACGCCTCCAAAGGATACCTAAACAACTCGAGTGCAACTGCTTCGCGAATGAATCTACTGCCGGATCGGAATTGTGACCCGCTGAGAAGAACCGCACGGTACGGTTACCGGGGTCCCTAAGCAAGCTCCTAGTGTTAAAGCTGAAGTGTCTAATGCAAGAGTTATTGACTCTGATGGATCCGTAAAGACGTATTGTGAAATTATACAACATTTTTTTCTGTAAAAGTAGATTTTTTTTACAACACTATATAACAATAGATTGCTGCTGGTGACGGTGTCTACGGCACAAGCTAACAGTGGTTAGGACTCCAGAGTGAGAAACGTCCTCCCAATACACAATACAATTATTAATTTCCTTACTTAATCGCTAATAGTCTAAAGGTCTATTCCAGTTATGCTCGGACTGGATTTATATTACTTTAATCTAGCCGAAGGATTGTCTAACAATGTTATTTTATTGACGCAATTTTATTGTTATTGTGCGAAGTAGAAAGTGTGACTACAAGGTTATTCTTTTTTCTATTATTTATACCATTAATAAATCGATATGTGATTAATGTTTAAAATCGGTGCAATCGATGTCCTATTCAATAAATTAATACCAACAAGTCCGTAATTTTGACTCAGAGATGGATGTTCAGTTTCTAAACGTAAAAATGTCAGCGTGCGACATCCGCCGTGACACCAATTCTCTTTCAAATCTAGCCGCTAAGAGCAACGCATTAATTCAACAAAAGTACAATAAATATCTCAAAACAATAAATGCAGTCCACGCTCAATTATCACAAAGCAACAATGGGCCTGTGGTAATCAAAGCTCCGTATAAAAATAGTTGTATAATATAGCAAGATTCAAGCTGTCTATAGCTTTTGTTGTTAGTTTGAAGGGTACAGGAGGTCATGGTCCACCAGTTAAGGTCAGAGATCATAGATATTACAACGTGAATACTAACTTGGAAGTTTGCATCTATTTTTCAATAGAAGATTAAATTCCAAATATAAATATTTGCGGATTTGACTTTTACCCAAACGATATTTTTATTCCAACATCGCGAAAGTTGAATAAATAGTAAATATTGGACAACTGGAGCGAATCTTGAATACCAGCTTAATACTTTCATAGTTTAATATATCTGGCGTGTATAGGTGGAGGACCGCATTATGTGGAAGGCATTGGGGAAGGCCTATGTCCAGCAGTGGGCAGATAAAGGCTGATGATGATGATGATGTATAGTTCTCTAGACCATGCCAACAATCGAAAACAAATAATTAGGGTCGCGAATTGGTTGGATAGACAGTTTGATGGGTACTGCGATCTATCTGTTAGTAACAATATTAGGTGTACTAGAAACAGATAAACGGAAAAGGGTAGGGTGCCATAGATATGATGTAGAAAAAAGTCTACAGGAACATCAGGTCATACAATTTTTTTTCTTTTTTTTTTTATTGCCCTTTTAGGCAGACGAGCATACAGCCAACCTGATGGTGAGTGGTTACCGTCGCCCATGGACTTCAGCAATGCCAGGGGCAGAGCCAAGCTGCTGCCTACCGATTCTCCTCTTTTAGCAATTTCGACGACGCACTCGCGATGGTAGATAAAAATATTATTTAAAAAAGGGAAATCGCGACCAAATGGTCCTTATCTAAATGCTTAGTTAAACGAAACATGTATCTTAAATTAAATAGCGATTGTAATTCTGATTATAAAGATACAATCGTAATAACAACAAAATTGTGTTTGTCGTATAAAAAAAAGTTCTTTATCGGCACTACACTGCAGGATTTTGATAAAATTTCATTTTTCCTCGAAGTGTGTAATGCGTAGAGCCTTCGTAAAACATTCTTGCTCGGTAAGATATTATTTACTCACAAACTGCCACATTTAGGTTTTTTAAAAAAACTTACAGAAAGAAAAAGTTTTGAAAACGATAAAAAGTCTGGACATGTGGCACGTTCACATTTTTAAATATTAACGGTTATTAAACGGTCCCTACAGTTGAATGAAGCAAGCGTTCCTACCTTCATCTGTAGACAATACAAAATTTGGCCGTTAAATTGAAAAAATTATATATCTTTATAATTATGATCCATCGCGGCTGCTGATAAGGTACTAACGGACTCTTTGTCAATGTCAGCATCGCTTCAGTGTCAACGTATGAAAGCCGTGAGAAGAAATGCATATGCCGAGTGCAAATTAATACTTTCAGTCTGTCTCAGGCAAAGATTATTTGTTTTATTATTTACAGTTCTAAAAGAATTCTATCATATATTTATTTATGAATAAGTGCGGACTGTTTTAATAAAATTTAATTTTAAATTAAGATTTGGTTCCAAGCACAAGTCTGATAGAAGACAAATTTATTAAGTGACACCCAGGATCGTTAAAAGAAGCATATTTTTTATGCTAAAATAAATATATTTCAGACACCAATGGTAAATAGGAACTGTTGCTCATTTATATGTATCAACTATACCAGGAGTTCGGTCATTCCGATACTATAAAATTAAAGCTCTAGTTACGAACACCATCTTTTGTTTTTTTTTTTAATTCAAGTGCAATGACCATAGAAATTCAGTACATAGGTACTTTATAAAAGTTGCGTGCATAGCGCAATTTGTAATAGAAAATGTTTGTAAAATGCATGTCATTAATCATAAAACATAGATAACTATTTAAACTTGAGACGAACACGAAATAAAAAACCAATATTCTCTATTCTAGACATACCTATAATATATGAATATGTATTTATATTGTACTTATCTAATTAGAACGCTTTGTGGTTTCGCGATGTTAGTATACGGATTGGCCAGTCTGTTGATAACAGTTTCTATGAGTCAATGAAAACGAAAGCGCATACTGAAGCTACGGTGTAATTATACTATTAAAGTGATACCTTAATCGATACAATATAGACGTCGACGGAACTAGCATGCGAACTTATAACATCGTCTGTTTGGATATGCATATATGTACTTTTGCGAAATACGTACATTTTTTAATTTTTTACATTTTTAATGAATTTAAGGACAAAATTTGATTATAAATCAATGATGAACACAAAACACAATTCAGATGTGCACGTCCTAAGTCATGTAATGTTCATGCAACATTAAGTTTTATAAACATTAGATTAGGATTTTAAATCGATAGAGCGCGTCCATGAAATATAGGAACGTAACTTGTTTTTATATAGGATACATCAAAATAACATAATTAAAGATCCACATTTCATTACTTTATTGTTCAATATATAAATTGTATGTGATAGGAATTTTGCCTAAAAATAAACAAAAGATTTTGTCTTGAACGACTTTCAGTTCGAATGTCAGTAATTCCTTAAGATTTATGAGCTATTGATAGCGATATAATTCATTTTAAATACCTATATTATGACTAAATTAATTAAAATAGACACTCACACAACAACAGCATATCAGAAGGCACAGGGAACGCAAACACTCAACAAGTCTCGAACGCCAGTTGCATAAAACATCAACACTATAAATCATTTTATGAATTAATCACGGCATGTTTTTATTTAAAAATTCTGGCACCACGTTCGGTCTAGTCCAACTATTCGATGCGAAAGCTTTACAACAATCAGACGAAACTAACGTATCTTATCGATGTTCAATACGATATCAATAAAATTGTATGATATGAGGTGACGTTGAGCCTAGACCTTGTTTCGTCGTATCAATAAGCCGGATAAAAAGGTCTTCCGTAAGCCGAGTGTCGGTTTTTAGCGGGAAAAAAGGCCGTCAAGAACGCGCCTTAGATGATACCTCCTTATTTTATGCCCCGTTAGCCCGTAATTGGAATATCCCCATAGAAGGGGGATGTTAATAAACATCTTTTTTTTTTTTATTGCTCAGGTGGGTGGACGAGCTCACAGCCCACCTGGTGTTAAGTGGTTACTGGAGCCCATGGACATCTACAACGTAAATGCGCCACCCACATTGAGATATAAGTTCTAAGATCTCAGTATAGTTACAACGGCTCCTCCACCCTTCAAACCGAAACGCATTACTGCTTCACGGCCGAAATAGGCAGGGCGGTGGTACCTACCCGCGCGGACTCACAAGAGATCCTACCACCAGTAATAAATGAAACACAATTATTCACACACAATTTATTCCGATGAAAAACAATTATTTTAATAAAAAAAACATTTTTAACAATGAATACCAGTCATAATATTTAATTTATACTTCAAGTTATTCATGCTACGGCTTAACAAACACATAGTGGTGTAGGTTCCCAGAGATTCTTTTTTTTATTATTACCAGGATTACTGGTGGCCCTGAGGCCTTTCTAGTTTCACCAGGACAGGACCCAGAGATCCCCCGATCGAGGACCATATATTATTATGTATCCATTCAAACAAAAAGTAATTCGAACAAAACCTAACCCTAAATCTATAAAGACACGTTTCATTTTACAAAAATGCTGTAAAAACAAACAAATTAGAATCGTAGCGTATTGATCGTATGCATTAAATATTCTCAAATACATAAAATTACACGACTGTAAAATGCAAGCTATTTATCTGCAATCGTATGAAATTATATAATAATCGTAAAGAAATGAGAATGTTTAATTTTTATTTCAACATTTATATTTTACAACGTAATAACGTATTTTATCATTACAACGTTACAAGGACAATCTAGTGATTGCGAACTCAGGGGGTACAATTATATTTTTTTGCTTAAATTGTTGTTGGTGAACGACCTATCTGGTGTTAAATGGTTACCGAAACCCATAGACATCAATTAAGTAAATGCCGCCGCCCAACTTGAGACCTGAGTTCAAACTCTGTTTTACATTACAACGGCTGCCCCGCCCTTGAAACTGGAACGCATTACTGCTACAGGACAGAATTAGGCAGAGTAACGGTAACTACCCGTGCAGACTTAAAAGACTGCCAGTAAAGCCTTAGCGGATGACTTGAATACAGAACTTTCGAACTAATTTAATTAAGGATATATTTTTATTAGGCACGTGTGCCTCACTCTGCCTCAACCTCTTTACCCATACATGATTATTTTTTAAGATCTGTTGTTCTTGACGTGGGCAATTAAATTATTATTATTCAACTATATTTATTTCAAATATTATTAATTATAGAATATTATTATTACTATTAACCTAACATTTAAACAGGAATGTATAACTGCGGATTGCGGCAAAATAGAAAATATTTTCGAAGCTACCCGTACGGGCATTAAGCATACCAGTAAATAGATTGTGATATAATACCGCTTTGATAAGAACGTTCCAAATTGGAATTTGAATATTGTAGGAACATTCTAGTCATGTTAAATACGTTTATTTGTTAGGAGGGTTTTCAACCGGTGTTCCACAGGGGTCGGTGCTCGGCCCCCTTTTGTGGAATATCGGGTATGACTGGGTGCTGAGAGGTGCCCTCCTCCCGGGCCTGAGCGTAATATGTTACGCGGACGACACGTTGGTCGTGGCCCGGGGGGGGAGTTTTGCTGAGTCTGCCCGTCTTGCTACGGCTGGGGTGGCGCATGTCGTCGGCAAAATTAGGAGATTGGGCCNTTCCACTGTACGCAAGCGTACTTTTGGGAGCAAGCGGAATGAGGGCGCGGTGCGGGACGCAAGGTTCGACTGATCTACCAATAAAGCGCTCGATACGATTTCCCCTGCCGTCGCGCCTCACCCTCACCACCAAAGAGATCTAAAATTCGGTTCTGCGCAGTCAAGGTCATTTGCTCAAGATGTTTGCCGGTTACTATACTCCTAAGTTTGGCGATGAATGTTTAAAGATTGGTATGTAACTTTGTGAATTTAATAAAAGAAACAGATGGTCTGTTAATAATTTATTGAAGGTTACATAAGCACGCCTTTTATTTAAAAAATATTGTACAAGGTACGAGGGTACAAGGAACTTAAAACCAAATAAATTTTGTTCGCAATATGTAAAAAATAAAATGTACACATTTAAACTGATTTTTATTTAGTATTTCCTTCGGGTTTAACAAGTCGTAAACATAATTAAAACTACTTCTAAGAACGACTAAGGAGTTACACGTCGACATTTGAGTACTATGCTATTTAAAGTCTAAAACATTTTTTTTTTTAAGTTTTGCTAGACTAGGTCATTCGTGACCACGATAACTGTAAAGTATTCGAAATTTCGGAAATAATAATATAAAACGCGAGATTAAGCCGCAAATGAAGTTTTGAAGTGAAAACTTCTTTAGAATCGTTGTGATTTCAAACCGGATGCAACGGAAAAAACGACAGGTAAGAGACACAAATACAAAAATGTGTAGGATGAAGCCAGCAAAGAATGAGACAGAAATATACATACTATTTAATACAGCGCCATCTGTGAGATTTTTTAATACTAACGTGTGTATGAAAGCTCTTCTAGTGAATTTTAATTTAGGATTATACGTGAAATTAAAATATCGATTCACAGAGGGCGCTACCTTACAATTATTTACTAATGACAAAATTTTACATATACTTAAGACGTTTAGGATAATTGTATTTTAATTTTGGAAGGTTTCACTTCTACCACGTGTGAATTGCACACATTTTGTTTTTTTATTTTGATTTTTATGTTTTAAAATTTACATTATTTAATATTACAGTGCTTAGCATTAGGCAACAATCGCAGTAGTCTGTGATACAGCGTCATCATTCTTTTAAGCTATTGGAAGATCGGAAATATATTTCTAAATTGGATAAGAAACAAACAGTGTTATGTTGAGGGGTGAAAGGCTGTTTTTGCATAAGCAACATTTTTGCAACTTCACAGGAGAGCCATTTAGAATTTGGAAAAAAACTTCTTCAACTATAAAACTTAATTGAATTTCAATTAAAAACATGGAATTGTTGATACTAATTTTAATATATATAAATTACGTGTCACGTTGTTTGTCCACTATGGACACCTAAACTACTGAACCGATTATTTTTTTAAAATGTGTTTTGTTCCAACTTAGGCCATAGGACGGTTTTTATTTCGATTAATGGTCGCAATGTTTATTAATTACTTATTATTATTAATTGTAAGTTTCATAAGTCTAAAGCAGATGGCGCCTTAAACCGATTTTTAGTGTTTTTACAAACAACTGTAATACTGTCTGACATTAATATCTCATAGATGGCGCTGTGTTCAAAACACCAGCGTAACCAACGTTTCACATAAGCTACAATTTAATGGCTTATACTCCACGAGTTGCTTAGGCTAAAGTTTAAGTGAAATTTATTTCTTAATAAACGTAATACAGTGAAATCCAATTGTTCTTACTTTAATAATTTTTGGTATTAGCATAGCCGGCCACGTGTTCTTTAGAAACAAAAACCTTAGCCACAGCAACATGTGGCTGGGCCTGCTAGTACGAAATAAAACAAACCTGTAATTACAAAGATAAATGTAGCATATTAAGCGAAATGTTCGTTAAACCGAATAGCCTTTCTTCCCTCCATGTGATATTTGATGAACAGTAGCAAGTAAAATAAAACAGTTTAACCACTGATTTTAAAAGTATGGTTGGTAAAACTAGTTAATAATGCATAAAATGTTAACACATTATGTAACATGAAAAAATGTTCAAAATGTATACTTTTCAACCATGTTTTTTAACATTTGAATAACTATGTATGTACAAGTAGTAATTTTTTTTTAAATATAACGAAACTGCACTATTATTTCATTGTATCGAGTTTTCACATTCCATATTCAAGAGGTAAATTAATATTAAGCAAAGGACAAACCAAGCCTAGAAATGTCACAATTATATTTTTTGATTTGTCTTTAAAAGCAGCCAGTACTGATTCGGTGTGACACGGATGAATGATGAAGTACGGTCTTTGGAATATTGGATGCTCTTGTTGTGTGACCACTGAGTAAAAGTCTTTTTTGTTTATGCTGTAATAAAAACAAGGAAACTGTGGATTCAAATGTAGCTTAATAATATAGAGATTTTTAATAAGACATAGTCCCAAGCGATGGTCGAACCACATAGCGGAGGAACTAAAAACCCCTGTCAGTGATGCACTCCACCAAGCTATAGAGCGGGATCGATGGAGACAGCTAGTTGACGGAATCAAATACAGTCACGATCCTTAGCAATGAGGGACCGATTGAAGAGAAAGATAGAGGTTTATTACTAAATAAGACTATGATGCAATAAGAGCTGCCTGATGGAAGATCTTCCTCATAGTGTTTTCTATAGTAGAAAACCCATATTGTACAATATGTTTTACAAAATATTTGAAAATGAATGAAATGAATGTTCTTGGTAGAGCAGTTACATCGGTATCTGCTGCTAAATCTGTTCTGCAACTTCTAAAAGGAGGACATGTTAGTACTCAGGAAATACTATGTAGGGAAGTTCATTCCATAGCTGTTATATCTTGAGACAGCAGAGTAAATTGATTTTAATAAAATTAGATTTAATTAATTCGCTCCAGATTTTTTTATAGATTCAGATTAACTTAATGAATAAATACATCTGTTATAACATCCACGTTTTCCCTCGGTTGCCACATTTTTAGCACAAGTTCTATTTTTGATAAAATTTTAAGTATCCAGGTCATTTTTTGTTATTTCAGAACCCAAGATACCAATGTCCAGATTCTTCAAAATACAATCTAAGTGTCTAAAGTAAATTAAAGCTTTTTTGCTGTTTTTTGTTCTTATTCTGTGTTTAGTATAAATGAGTCGTCTATTATCAAAGGTGGCAATCTGTGCATTTGGACAAAAAAAAGTTATAGATATGTCAATACAGATTGATTTGAATATAATCGTTTCCCTTAAATTATACGGTTCAAAACCTGTATTAAATAAAGGTTAATACTTAACCTGTTATTTATCTAAGATGTCGTTCAGAAGAGTTTTGTGACTGCCAATGGAATACAAAGTCAATAATTCGTTTTTCTGATTTACCAATAATTGTCCAAAAGTCTACATTACAATGTCAATGAATTCTCGTATTCACTTATTACTGGGTAGAATGCCATATAGCAAAAAGTTGATATCAAATTGCAATAACATACTTTCTAAACTGATGAATAAAAGTGATCTTAATTGTAATGGTTAAAATGTTCTAATTATTTTATACTATTAAATTCAATAATTCACCTTATCAAAGACATCGTCCTTATATCATCCAATGACAACAACATGCCAGCCGAGTTCCAAACATTAAAACTAAAGGATGGAACACAATAACTCTCCTTGTAAAATATTACATAATCAGCTTTCAATAAACGTTCATAATCACCGTTTTTATAATTCAAAAATGTTTCTTTACGTAAATAGCATTTATCTTTATCGTGTTCAATAAATTTCCAACCATCACAACATCTATTTGAGATTTCAATAAAATTTTTCGCTGCTTCTATGAAATCTGTATAAGTCACGGAAGACATTTCCGTTTTGTCTGCATTTGGCTTTGTATTGCGTTCAATATATATTTAAAAAAAAAGGACGTTGTACAACAAATTTAACATCAATTCTAACACTCAAAACACAACTTTTGTTTTGATACCTAAATATTTGAAATTTTAAGTTGTGTTTTTGTTTATTGTTTGTATTTACAGTCTGTCAATTTTTGTTCTATTTATCCAACTAGAAAGGCAAAAGTATAGTACCATACAGCCTAATCTTTTGTGTAATATTTTTTTATGAAAAATAATATGGAGCGAAATCTTCTTCTTTGTCTCCGCCTTATCCCACTAAGAGGGGTCAGCATAGTGAATTTTTCTATTTCATTCTCTTCTATCAGCCGTTATCTCAACACTCGCTCCTCTCTCTCTCTCGTGGCCTAAAGGATAAGATGTCCGGTGCATTCGTATTATTTCGTATGTATTAGCTGTGCATCGGTGCTCGAATCCCGTCGGCAGGTACAAATTTTTCCAATTACTTAGTCTGGCCATAAATACTGTTACAAAGGAAAACAAAAAAAATTCTATGGCAAATAACATTTATTACTTTTACAGTGTGTTAATTTAATAGATAAATATAAAACAATTTAAAGTATAAAAAGCTTATTCGAAGTGGTCTCCATTGGCTGCAATACAGTCCTTTAAACGTTGAGGCCAGTTAACAATAGAAGCACGCACTCTTTCCATGGGAAAAATTTTCACTGCCAATCGTACGGATTGTTTTAGGGACTCTAAATTATCATGGCGTTTAGAGCAAGCCATACTCTCTAAAACTGACCATAAATCGTAATCCAGCGGATTAAGATCGGGACTAGACGACGGCCAGTCTTCAGCTTTGATGAAGTCCGAAACATTCGTTTCCAAACAAGACTGCGTAGACCGAGCTTTATGACCTGACGCCGAGTCTTGCTGGAAGGACCATTCTTGATTATTGAACATGGTGTTGTTAAGGGGCTTCACTACCTCCTCAAGAATGGTATCATGATACACTTGTGCCGATGTTTTGATAACTTTTTCACAAAAGTATTGCTCAGTCACTCCTTCATAGCTAATACCCCACCAAACCATCACTGAAGTCGGATAGTGCCCACGTTGCACTCTGTCGACTAATTGGGAAGCTTCCTTAGAGCTTTGAGCATAAATACGGTCATTTTGTTTGTTAAAATGTTGCTTAATTGTAAAAAAATTCTCATCTGTAAACAAAAATTTCCTGTCCTCCCTTTGCGTACCGCCTCAGTCGTTGTTTCGATTTTACCACCCTATTCTCTTTTAAATTATCAGTTAATAAATGACCAGTACGTCTCTTATAGGCTGCAAGTCCTAAGTCATCTTTTAAAATACGCGACATGGTTCTAGGTGCTATCTTCATCTCCCGAGATAAAATCTTTTGCTTTCGGACAGGATTTCTTCGTATTCTTTCCCTTACTGCTTTGACCACCTTTTTCGTACGAACACTACGTGGACGGCCAGATCTTTTTCTGTCACAAACAGAGGAGGTGTCATTGCACCTATTAATAGTCCGCTCCACAAACATTTTACTAATATCAAGCGTATGGAGAGTTTTAAAAATTGCATTTGGCTCCATACCTACTTTGTGTAATGCAATCACAGCGATTCGGTTCTCTTTATCACCCCACTCCATTTTAGTACCGCAAAATATTGTACAATGTATTGGCGCCAAAATGAGAAAACTCAATGAGCAATCATATAAAAATGACAGATTCCAAATTCAAATGTAATATATTGTTTATTTTTAATTGTAACAGTATTTATGACCAGACTATGTAATTAAATACACCACTAATAATAAATATAAAAAATTAAATTATATTTTTTTTCAATATAAATCAATTTTTATTACAGATTATAGCTTAACCTCTTAAATCTTTTTATTAACTCGCCGTTTGTATTATTTACCTCCACGCTCAAAACGCTCTTTAATAATCCATTTCACTTGAGTTTACGACAGTAACTCATTGTAAAAATAAATAATAAAAAAAAAAGTTTAAAAAATTAAATTTTTTTGATTTGATTTGATAACGCTCACAAACAAGTGGAACGGGAAAAATTGCGGTCGTGAGCGTGATCGTTGTGAACGCTTAGTGGAACGCGCCCATGAACATTTTTGCAGTGCCTGATATTTGATTGCACCACCAAATCTTTTTAATATTAAACTATCTTCGGCGCTCCTCGTTTTATTTTATTCAATAAACAATACCTACTACGCCTCCATGGTAGGCTATTTTAGACGCCCCACCAAAGCTGTTTATAATAGTAAAATATTGTAAATTAATAATAAAATAAATAACTGTAAATATTACCGGTTTCTGCCTATGTTTTCCAAACCCACTGCTGGAAGCCTAATTATGGATTTGTATCGCACCGACACAAATTGTCATTAAACAGCATGTGGGCGCAGCGTTCGAAAATTTATTTTTCATTTAATCGTTATAACTTTTTAGTGGAATTTTGTCGTGCCTTGGTAGAAGTTACGAGGTACTAGTATGTAGGTATTAGTAGTAGGTAGGTATTAATGGTGACGAGCCAGCTAGAAGGCAAACGTCCTCGAGGACGCAGTCCCACGAGATGGTCGGACCGAATTCGATTTTGTCTCTTAAGTAAACTGAACTGAACATCAAGTTCCACGATGCCCTCCACGAAGCCAAGGACCGCAGCAGATGGTGGAAAATTGTGCATGAGAGAATGATGCAGTTGAGGAAAGCGACGCAATACAAGGAGGAGTAGGTATTACAATAGTTTTTTTGAGAAATGAGAATTGAGTTGATTGAAATAGACGGTTGCTCGATTCGGCCGTTAAGAAAATCCAATTTGAAGGTAAAACTTAATAAAAGTATATTGAAAACATAAAATTATATTGAACATATTATTATAGAGAAAGAAATAATCAACGGATTTTATCTTTAACCAAAAATGAATTCTTGATGAATCAAATTGTAATATAAAATATTTTTGCTAAATAGTACTGACGCACACAGCTCGCCATTCAATTTGTGTTGTTTTGTTAGTGGTGTGAGCATTTAGATCACTTTTGTTCATTGTCCTTTAGTTTTGGGTCACGATAACAGTTTATGTTGTCGTGCTCTGAAAGATAAGACGCAACGTTTTTCCTTATTCTTTGGATGCACATAGATTATAATATCGCATCAAAAGATGCGACGATGTCAGCGTTCAAATCCAAGCACTCCAAAGCAGAGATCAATTTACCAAGTTGTTATCTGGGTTGTTAGGTAACTGAGTTTTCACGAAAGATCTGCATCACGAAACATGATAACTTCGGAATTTAATTAACGCGCACAAATATTTACATAAGTATACTTTAAAATGGCAAGTGAAGTCTTTGTTATCACGATTTTATTAGCTTGGTGTACATAGGTTTGTTTGTGTGTAACGGAATCTTTGAACGTCGTTTTCAGCGATTTCAAGCCCTTTTTTATTTTATTTTTTTATTGCTTAGATAGGTGAACGAGCTTACAGCTCACCTGGTGTTAAGTGGTTACCGGTGCCCATAGACATCTACAACGTAAATGCGCCACCCGCCTTGAAATATAAGTTCTAAGGTCTCAGTATAGTTACAACGGCTGCCCCACCCTTCAAACCGAAATGCATTACTGCTTCACGGTACTCACCAGAGGACTCACTAGAGGTCCTATCACTAGTAATACTACTGTTAGGTACCCATCAGACTATATGACTACCCAATAACATGAAATTTTGCATACGCAATTTTTTTGCATACGAAATTTTGCAGGTCTGATGACAATCCAATATTTTTTTAACTTCGCTCTAATATCTTGACCAATATCAACGGGATAAAAAATAGTTCAGAGATTAACAATTACTTTGGTGTTTTTTTTTATTTATAAGCTACCTAAATTATTTACTTGGGGGATGATTTTCAGACAAAGTAAGAAAGTTCTAAGAAGTCTGGGGAAGGTCGATGCTTGTGGTAAAATTTCATATTATCGCTTAGTATTGTATCAGTTAGTATCACTTGGTACTTTATGTACCCACCATCCTGTCCATTTTAACCAGTAACCCGTTTAAAGCAAATAACAAAATTGTTTTTTTGTGATTGAAGGATTACTAGTAGCCCTGAGGCCTTTCCAGTTTCACCAGGACAGGTGGGCGAGCAAAGGGTCGGCCAGGAGGGGTGAGATTTGCTAACAACTGCCCGAGCGCCTCCGAGGAGACCTAACAACTCAGAGCAACTGCTTCGCGAATGAATCTACTGCCGAATCGGAATCGCGGAATCGCGAAAATCCGGCGAGAAACTCAGCGGTTGATGCATGGGTTAGGTTGCACGTCGAGTTCTATGAGTACGGTTACCGGGGTCCCTAAGCCTGCTCCTAGTGTTAGAGCTGCAGACGTCTAATGCAAAGGTTATTGGATCTGATGGATCCGTAAGAACGTAACAAAATACGTTTGAGGATGTCGTTTTAAAATACAACGTAAACTTCGACCTCACGTCTCAAGGTGTGTGGTGGAGGTCACAATGTCGTGTCGTTCGAAGTGACTTATTGAAAGTTCAGTATAATTTACAAGAAAAAGATATATTGACAAGAAATATTGTCGGAGTACATACAGCACAGCAGCAATTAAATAAATTGGTCCAGTGGGCCGTGTGTGATTTGTTTCCGATTAATAATTATTGAAAATCCCAGTACATTTAAATTTATTTATTTTCGCAACTATTGAATATTACAGTACAAACACCACAAATACACCGTAAAAATAAATGTTATGTACATAGTGGTCTGAGAATTTAAGAGTTTATTGCCTATATATTTTCTTGATTAATATACAGGTACCTAATTAATCCTTCTCTCAATTGTGGTTATTGAATCAATCCTGCTGTGTCAACTTGTGTCAAAAGCTATATCCGTACATAATTGTCGATATACATAATAATATGTGTCCTATGTCAATTGTCAACAGTAAAGTTTTATATTTAATTCTTATCAGTTAGAGATAAGGGAATTAACCACAAAAAATATATTTATCTACCAATAGGTCGTTATCTAGGGTCTCGGTTTGTCATATGTATCGAATCATATCTTTGGACATATATATCGTGATTGTGAAATGTGAGTTCAGTAATGTTGAGTTCGTAAGAAGGGCGAAACGAGTTTTTATATTTCGAGCAAGGAATACATTATTTGAACGTGAGATTGTAAAGACCGAAACTTAGTGTCAGAACCTGTTTAATTTTAGACTTCAATTGCCGACTTGGTACTAATTATTAAAGGTAAGTTACAATTTGTAATGTGCTCCAAAATTACATTTCATAAGAATGTAGCTAAAGTAAATGCTACATATTTAAATTGCAATAGCAAAAACACTATCAGTTTAATTCTCAAACCACTTATGGAACGCATGGTAGAAAATACAGATAATTAAACTGTGAAAGTGAAGTTAAAAGCACTCCCATATTTCAAATGTTCAATGATGACTTTCATTTTGAGAGGCAAATAGAAGTTTAAATTAGCACTCTCCACAAAATCAAACTTGTAATTTCTAGAGTACAAGTCAGATAGCTTTTGCATTAATTGTGCTAATGTCTTCAAGCAGTTCAGTTTAACTTTTGTCTTTACATTGTGCACAATTATCAGTGTACAATTTATTGTGCAATTCTATATACAGCATAGCATGGCAGGTCATATATCAATAGGAGACTGGTGAATGTGGTTCAAACCTATAAAACGGGTCTGTCATACCATAATACTTAAATTTTGAGGAGTATCCAAGCAACATACTAAGAATTTAGGTGGTTATGTCTATGAACTACATTTCAGTTGAGCGTATTTTGTAATGTGAGCAAGAGCCCTCCCGAAACATAGCCACCCAACTCAGATCACAACTCACCGTTCACCTCAGGAAAGGAACTTGGTAACCTGATGTGTGAAACACAACATAATTGTTTTTCTTTGTTATACCATTATTTGCATTCTCCAGACTTTACTTACACAAATAACTTATACTCTAAAGGTGCCTCTCAGTTTTTTCTCACAGATGTCAGGATTGCTGGTTATAAAGATAAGTAGGTCAAATATAAAGTATTTGTGAGTCACTGTCCTGTATGGTAACTAGTACCAATAGACTATATGCCAACATATTGGTAGGTCAACAGATGGACAAGTAGCATAAGAACACAGGCCAGGTAGTGTAGGAAGGTAGTCAGATATTCGAAGAGGAGTATCGACTGTTAGGCTGTATTCAATAGGTTATGTAGACAGCAGAAACATTAAAAAAATACATAATTTATATATACTGCTATCACCACTCAGTAGGAACAGGGAAGATTGAATAATATTTTGAAGTAATCATTGACAAGGAATTTATTGATTAATATGTTCTAGCAAGAAAAAGATGGACAAACTAAAAACCAACTGGTTTACGGAATCATGCGATATGTGGCCTGGGGGTACTTTCTCATTCGAAGTCAAAGAAGTACTGCACACAGAAAAATCAAAATACCAGAATATCCAAGTTTTTGATACAACCAGTTTGGGGAAGGTTCTTGTCTTGGACGGAATCATACAATGCACTCAGAAAGATGAGTTTTCTTATCAGGTAAGACAAACTAGGTTTCTGTAACAACACAATCATACAAAAAATTTAATTGTATAGTCTATAAAGAAATATTTTTTTTAGGAAATGATATCATTTTTGCCTTTATGCTGCCACAAAAATCCAGAAAATGTACTCATAGTCGGTGGAGGTGATGGAGGTGTCGCAAGGGAAGTCGCCAAACATCCTCAAGTGAAACACATTGTTCTGGTAAATAGAAAGAGTTATTTCATTAACGTTGATGGCAGGAATTTATCACAAAAGATATTCAAGTTACTTACAGTAATTCTAAATTTCAAACTGACTCCCATGCAATCTAATGATAAATGCTATCAGTGTCTGTCACTGAAGGGTACTACTACTGAAGGTATGTTTTAGGAGAGACAAAAATTTAAGGTATAAAAATAGCTTATCCAAAAGGTTTGCTAAATAACCAAAGTTTATTAACTTATCAGTAAAGGTTTAAGTACTAGTTTTATATTTTTCTTCATATTTAAACCTTGTCTTTGATAACAATGTAAGGATAATACAGAAGAATAATAAAAAAGACTAGTAATAGCTTGAGAATCTTGAAGTAGGAGGAGTAGCCCATACATTCAAAATATTTTAATTACGTCGTAAAGTATGGTCCATTGGCTTGGTTTCAAAACGCTCGTATTTATTTATCCAACATCAAAATGCATACTATTTAAATAATAATTATACTTCATGTTATAACAGAACATCACAGAACCATACCACCAGTTTTTAACGGGTGTAGAAGCCCGCCCGGGTTGATACCACCGTCCTGTCTATTTCTGCCGCAAAACAGTAATACTGTGTTCCGGTCTGAAGGACAGGATAGCCGGTGTAACATACATAAGGCTGCCCATCCAGGCCAGGATAGGCAGCGCATCTGAGTCACTGATGTAGTTTGGATGTCAATGGGCGACGGTTATAATTTCCCATCAGATGAGCCGTAAGCTCGTCTGCCTATCGAAAGCAATAAAAAATAAATAAATAAAAAATTATTGAAATTCAGTTTTTCTAGAAGCTTGCCGTTTTCATTACAATCACGCCTCTAAATAAATTGAAGTGAAGTGAAATATAGAAATGCGTCAGGACTCTTAGAAAAAGAAAAAAAGATTTAAATGAAGAAATGCGTCAGGATTTTTGGGAAAAAAACCTGATTTAAATGAAGCCACTATGTTGCTTTTATTAAAAATCGTTCATTAGTTCATAACAATATCGGATTTATACATATATTCAAATTAATTAATATATTTGAGACAAAGACCTATCAATACAAGTGAAGGTTAGATAAGACTTGTTCATTGCAAAGTCAAATATATTTAAATAAATATAATTAAAGGTTTAATGAGTCGTTTGATAAGTCATAAGAAGTTTGGTTGGATAGATAGTTATTGTTCATTACATATATCTAATTAGTTATATATCAATATATTTTAATATTAACACAAATAGACAAAACACCCATTTACAAAATAATTGTAACTGAACTCATTGCATAAACATTTAAACTTAATGATAAAATTTATCTTTTGTTTATGGAAATTTTTTTTGTGCGATACGACATTGACAATGTCACCCAATCGCTCGGACTCGTAAAGTCGATTAAAGTATAATAAAGGGCCAGATTATAAGTTGGTGTTAATTTGTAAAGAAAGGTTATCAAAGTACATCGAACAATTTATCAGTGACATCTCTCAAACCTTTCATAACGTGTTATCGGAGCTTGGATAGAATATTTTATTTTATTCCTCAGCTTATTCAAGGCTAACGACATGGCGACAGTGGGATAAATGTTTTAATTAGGTAATTAATTTATCCACAATAGTCTGACTCCGCAATATCGCACATTGTTGCCGTAGAAGCATGAAAAAAAAACCGTAATTTTATCATTGAAATAGGTGTCCCTGTTTTAGACAGTACTAATATAAGATGAATATATTTTTAATTTCAGGTTGAAATTGATGACCGCGTAATTGAGTTATCAAAAAGGTACCTCCCGTTCATGGCGGTCGGTTTCGATAGTCCTAAGTTAACTCTTCATGTGGGTGACGGTTTTGAATTTATGAAGAACCATAGACAAGAGTTTGACGTCATTATCACGGACAGTAGCGACCCAGTCGGACCGGCCGTAAATTTATTTCAAGAGAACTACTTCTCTCTGATGAAGAGCGCTTTGAAACCTGACGGCATAGTTTGTTCGCAAGCCGGAACAATCTGGAATGATATAGAGCTCGTAACGAATACGTTGAATTTCTGCAAGAATCAGTTTCCGGCGGCCGCTTATTGTTACACGTCCGTGCCTACGTATCCTTCCGGTCAGATCGGATTTGTGATAGGTTCTCTGACCAAAGACATCAAATTTAATGAACCTCAATTGACGTTTACTAGAGACGAAGAGGAAGCTATGAATTTGCGTTACTACAACAGCGAAGTTCATAGAGCAGCGTTCGCGTTGCCAACCTTTGTAAAATATAAACTGGCTTGAATTGTTTTTTTTTTTTAATTTACACAACTGTGTTCTGATTATGAAGTACAAAAATTTTATTTTAAAATATGGACATTTAGAATATTATAATTGATAATTCTTGACTAATTCAATGGAACAAAATTGGCATTTTACTTATAATTCAATGTTGCCCATAAAATTGCGTATTGCCATTTGTTTTCATACTTACATTCCACTTTTTTTAAATAATTTTAGTAGTAGTTTTGTACTGGAACTCTTTGCTGATTCCTCTTAAGCTCTCCAGCTATGAGCATTAGCTTAGCAGTGCTCATGGCTATTAACGAATTCCCAAAACAGGTGGGTAACAATAAATTACGGAAATATAGGTCTGAATTTATAATCATAAGATATAATCGCCTAAAATACGGAACACATAAGTGCCTAAGCATGTACACCATTATATAAGAAAATTTATTCACTAAAGATGCCTAAATAAAGGTACTTATTATAAAAAGGAGACTGGCAGCATTCTGTAGTAACAAGATGGCGTAGTTAAATAATATTTATAAATAATTGTTATTTAAATAAGGGAAAACAGAAACGTGTAATAATTAAATGGTAACTTCATTAAGTAATTGCTCAATTTATAATTATTATGAAAACTAATTGTAAACGATTTATATTATTATACAATTTTACTATTGTTGAAGGAATATTAAAGGCTTCTTTTTAACAAATTGTTTTTTTTTTATGACGGTTTGAATTGTCAGTATAAAAAATCCGATATATATTAGGATTTTGGTAACGAAATCAGTTATTATAGTAATATTGAATCGATTTTCCAATGGTTTCGATTTAATAACACTAAATTTTAACTTGATTTTTCTTTGTTACGGTAATATATTTGTACCACAGAAATAAAAGTTTTTAAAATAAAAACAAAAGTAAATGTTGATATGAATAAAACGAACACTATAAAAGCTATAATATCTAATAGCAAGTACTGGATAGGCGACAACCACCGCGAACCAGACGACATATCCAGTCCTTTATGTCGCGCTACGAGTTCTATGTTGAATAGGGCCGTTTCCATTGCCGGTTGAGGACGATCCCGCCAAAGACTTGTTAGTAATTTAGCTTTCTGACGTTTCCTGAAACATAAGCTGTGTTAACCAATGTCAGGGAAGGTGGTAAGTATAAAATGTCTTTCCCCAAACGAGGCTTGCGGAGAGTTCTCTGCGACTTGTCTGACGGCATATACCGACGGTGACCATTCACCATCAGAATGGCAACAAAAAAGTCGGCAACCTTGTAATTCAAAAGAGCCAAATAGCTAATACACAATTGAAATTGATTCAAAGAGCCTTTTTTTATAGTCTTGCGTTTCGAAAATGCAGGACATTATTGTAGTATTCCAGTAAGAAACATTTCGCGGAAGAGCCGTACCTGTGGGGTCAGACCTACATACGGCTCGCGAGCCGCAGGTTTTCGGTCACTGAACTAGGCAGCTCCACAATTAACCAATCGTGTATTTCGATTTGAGTCCGTTGACTCCATTTTTATGTTTCAAGCGCCATGCGCCAGCAGTATGCGGTCTGGGTCGACGCGATTTATTACGCATATAGCGCATGCTGTCGCATGTTCATTATTCTCACAAAAGAAAATAATATACTCACTCCTTAGACAAAACTGATAAGAGTTTATTATAGAACACGTCTTCTTCAATTTCCGTAAGACTTAGAACCTCGGCGACGCCAGCTTTCTGAGCATGGGCCGCGTTCCCGAACTGATCTCCGAGTATAGGAATAATGAGAGTCGGCACGCTTGACGCGACTGCCTCCGTCAAGCTAAGTAGACCGCCGTGTGTGATAAATGCCAAGCAATTTTGCTGGTCTGAAAAGATACATATATTTTTTTATCGCTTAGATATCTGAACCAGACTGACCTTAGATGCACGTACGACCTGTGTGCTTAGTGCGAGTTTCTTAACATTCTGGATAGCGTAAAAGTTAAGCCAATTTTGTATGCAGTTGGAACAGCGCCCCTAGCGGCAAACGTAGGCAATAAGTAACTTTTACTCTATCGAGAACGTTAAAAAAACTTGCTTTTTTTTCTTTTTCTTTTTCCTACCTAAGCTGATAGATAGCCTTAGGGGCTATTTACGCGTAACCGTGGCTAGTAGGTGAGCTCACGGGGCTCAAACCTGATGACGTTGCTAACACGAACCCTAGCAAGAGCCGTGCTTCGCAGAATCTACCACCGGATCGGAAACGCAACCCACTGAGAAGATCCGGCGAGAAACTCAGTGGGCTGTGTCTGAGAGTTAAAAACTTGCACTAAGCACACTGGTGTTAAGTAATTGCAGAATTCCATAAGCTTCACATTGTAAATGCCGCGTGCAACTTTGAGACTTCTAATATGTCTCAATTGTACCATTAATATGCTAATTACAATTTTTCCCGTATTGATTTTATTGATTTTTTAAAATCAATAAGCGTTAAGTAGGTAGGTACCTAAGTAGTTTATTAGAAAAATTGGCACCGGCCTATTAGTCTAGTCGACAAGTTAAAAATGGTGTTAATTCGACATACTACTGCTAAAATTATGTGGTTTAGCTCATTCGATTCGGAATAATGTCTAGACCATTGTGCTAAAAAATTGAATTAGCACATAAAAAATTCCAAAAGTTATTAACAATTAAACACCTTCAAAAAATAGCGTTTCGTTTATGGCTTATTGTCCGTAAACTATAAACATTTTCGAAATTTGAAAAAAAGATCCTTAAAGAGGAGGAAATTTAGTAAAAAAAAGTTCCAACTCCCGGAACTGTAGCTCCATTATTTATAATTTTAATTTAACGCTGAAAATAGCCCGCCGCGCGCCATTGTTAGGTTGCGCGCACGGCCTCGAAAGCGAGTACGTCACTTAAAAAATTTTTTTTCAAGTACTTAAAGTTAATTGAAAAATCTAAAAAAATTATTGCATAATCTAAACACTTTAGAAAATTTATTCCCGTTGGAATTTTTTATAAAAACATATTTTTCAATATTCTAGACGATTGTTAATTAAGAATTTTTTTTCCAATTTCCATCATCCTTCTAAACTAAAAAAAATGTTTAAATAATTACCTTAAAATTATTTCGCTTCGTGGACCTCTTCTTATAAATATATTAAACAAGATTGCGTCGTCTAAGTTATGAAATTGTTAATATTTTGTTAATAATAATTTTTTTAAGTTAACAAAAAAGAAAAAGCACAATTATGTTGTAAAGAATTTTTTTTTCTTTATTTACTATTATATTTTCGTTTTTATGTCAATAAAAGACATCTTTTAATTGAAAAAAATAATTTTTTTATCCATTTGTTTATAAACATTTTGTTAACAAATGGACTATTTATATATTTTTGAAAAATTTTTTTTTACAATTTTATAGAGAACTGTCAATTATGATTTTTAGAAAAAAAATATTTTTTTCAATTAAAAGATGTCTTTTATTGACATAAAAACGAAAATATAATAATAAATAAAGAAAAAAAAATTCTTTACAACATAATTGTGCTTTTTCTTTTTTGTTAACTTAAAAAAATTATTATTAACAAAATATTAACAATTTCATAACTTAGACGACGCAATCTTGTTTAATATATTTATAAGAAGAGGTCCACGAAGCGAAATAATTTTAAGGTAATTATTTAAACATTTTTTTTAGTTTAGAAGGATGATGGAAATTTGAATTTTTTTTCTTAATTAACAATCGTCTAGAATATTGAAAAATATGTTTTTATAAAAAATTCCAACGGGAATAAATTTTCTAAAGTGTTTAGATTATGCAATAATTTTTTTAGATTTTTCAATTAACTTTAAGTACTTGAAAAAAAATTTTTTAAGTGACGTACTCGCTTTCGAGGCCTTGCGCGCAACCTAACAATGGCGCGCGGCGGGCTATTTTCAGCGTTAAATTAAAATTATAAATAATGGAGCTACAGTTCCGGGAGTTGGAACTTTTTTTTTACTAAATTTCCTCCTCTTTAAGGATCTTTTTTTCAAATTTCGAAAATGTTTATAGTTTACGGACAATAAGCCATAAACGAAACGCTATTTTTTTAAGGTGTTTAATTGTTAATAACTTTTGGAATTTTTTATGTGCTAATTCAATTTTTTAGCACAATGGTCTAGACATTATTCCGAATCGAATGAGCTAAACCACATAATTTTAGCAGTAGTATGTCGAATTAACACCATTTTTAACTTGTCGACTAGACTATATGGTATTTGACAGTTGGGATGGTCGCTATAAATAGGTAATATATTTTTAAGATAGATGCAACTCTCGCTATGAGTATCGTCTTCTTTCAAGTCACGGCGCTGGATCTTTGAGTGATTTGTATTTTTAATAGAAAGCAATATGAAACAATAGAATATGTGTGTATTTTTTGTTGCGTTATCTATTTCAATGTTATAGACGGGGAAAATATCTAGGACCGGAATGTTTATACATATGAATGAATCACTTGTGTGGCAAGTTCGTATCGAACGCGAGTTCAGTGATATGTTTACAAATAATAGCCCACTGAGTTTCTCGCCGGATCTTCTCATTGGGTCGCGTTTCCGATCCGATGGTAGATTCGCGCGTAGTACTGCTTTTGCTAGGGTCAGTGTTAGCAACACTTCCGGTTCGAGCCTCGTGAGCTCACCTACACGCTAGGGAGAAGCTGAAATAGCCTCTTAAGGCTACCAGCATAGGTAGGGGAAAAAAATCAGTACAAAAACTACTGAGCAAATTGAAAAAATAAAATAAAAACTTACTCAACAAATCGTATTGCGGCAACCATTTTTCAAATTTAACGTTCTTTGGTATTTTTATCGCGTCTGAGATATCGTCCTCCCATTTCCAAAATATTGTTTGTGGTAAACGAGCAAAAGCGTTGATTATGGCTTTCATTTGCTTTCGCGGTAACGAAGATCCCTTCACTAATGAGCCGAAACTGAATATTATGAAGCCTTCTTCTGCATTCTCAACTAAAGTACGCAGGGGCTGAAATGTTCATGTTTAAATAAAGTAGCTGTTTATCTTAAATTCACATTTAAGTTAGCTCCTATTGGCCCGTATGTAGATAAGTATAGTAAGTATACTAGGTACTTAGGTTCTAATAGTGTGCAAAAGCGACAACCAACCAAATTTTGTCAACGTAAATTCTGCTATTAAACAAATAACTTTAGAATAAACAGTGCCGTGCCGTATTCGCAAAGTGAATCGTACCTACTTGCATCATCTGTTACTAAAGGTATTGGCAACTCATCATCATCATTATCATTATCATCATTCTCCTGCCCTCCTCCCAGTCACCTAAGGTCGCCACAACATGTTTTCTCCTTCCATACTCTTGTAACCATAACGCAAATGGAAAGAGTATCATGATTGCACTTAAAAATAACACTTATTTGAGTCTTTTTTCCCCTCCGATTAGAAAAATAAACAAGCCATAGGTACCTGATATATACGTACAGACATCGCATCTTTAGAATTGCAGTGGCTTAATCCAAAATTCTAATTTTTTCTACACCAAAAATGTAATTTTAGAATTGTTATTTTTTAGCTTTTCGGTTTTACTACTTTAATAGTACTTTTGTCCTTTTCTGGACTAAAAGAGACTAACTAGGCTGATAGAATACGTATATAACTATTTACAAGTCGTTCGAAGCATAAAACTCATTTTCTTAAAATTTTTAGTCGGGCCACATCAATTCTAAAGGTGCTATATATACCTACTTAATTAAAGTACTTAGATCATTATCTTAAGTTTTAGACTTAAATTACATTATTACCTCGTTGAGTTCTCTGATAGTCCTGTTATGTAGGTGGATACCGCCAATTTCTATTAAAGAAGGCGTAAGTTCCCTAATACCATTTATAGAAAAATGAGTGTTTACCAATACAGCACTGGAATTTTTACCCAAATCACTCAGCCTAGGTAGTTTCCTTTTCAATTTATTTTCAATAATTTTCTGTTCTTCGCGCCAAATCGCATACTCAAACCACGTATTATAAAAATGTAAGGTAAACGTATTTATCAATCTTTCGAAGAACGTCATTTTTTCTGTGAACGGAAGAGTCATGCCAGGTATATAGGCGGGATTGTCTGGCGCTCCAGCCCTTGCCATGGTCCATGGCATCATACTACTCGAGATCAAACCTATAGAAGGGACATTATAGATATGAACCAAACTTAGCAAGCAGTCACTGTTAAAATGTTCTATCAAAATTAGATCGTATTCGCCTTTTCCCGCCAGAAACTCCTCGAATACATCCGAATTGATTATTCTCTCGCAAATAAGAAGGTTCGATTTAGCTAAAGAAGTAACTATAGACATATGTCCGAAGTAATTCTCTAAGCCGAAATACTTTTGGGTTTTTAAATAAATCTCTTTTAGATCAAGCACTTCGACGTTAGGCGGAGCTAAATGCTGCAAGCTAACGTCACGACGGTTCGGTAGTGGAATCGTAGCCGGAAAGAAGGAAACAACTGTCAGGTGATGTCCACGGTTGATAAGCTCGTCCAGAATTGGTTCGAATACCATGTAATGACTTTTTCCAGGGTAAGGAAACAGACAGAGAATTTTGTAACTTTCCACTGAAGTTACAATTAAGAATAATATGAAAATCTTCATGGCTCACACGCGTCGGACACTTAGCGACTGTCCGCTGTAGAGATTCAACGGCACTGAGATAGTACTAGTATTGCCGTTGCTTATAGTCATATGGATATGACAATATGAAACATATAAAGTCAGTCTGTTTCTCATTGCATACCTTTGTGAAAATATTTTCAACAATTGTACAAATAAAAAATAATAATAAAAAACACAAAAGCGCTGTGATGCTTATATAAGAGATAAGGTCAGATGGGACAAAGGCGCCATATTTTTTGCATAGATGACGTCGATGCAAAAAAAATTTTTTGAATATTGATTTATCAGTGTACATTTATTAATTGACAAAATATGATATTTCGTAGCTGCAAGAAACGTCGATTCAATCAAATCAATTAATCAACATTCTCATTCTCCTGTCTTTTTCCCGGTCACCTGCGGTCGGTGCAACATAGTGTCTCGAAGGCCAGTTTCACTAGTAGGTACAGTTGGGCGACCACGGGCTCAGACAGGAGGAGTGGGATCTGCCAACAGCGACACAAACGCCTCCAAAGGAGACCTAACAACTTAAGAGTAGTTACTTCGCGAATGAATCTTCTACGGAATCGGAATCGCGACCCGGTGAGAAGATCCGGCGAGAAACTCAGCGGGCTGATGCATGGGTTAGGTTGCACATCGAGCTCACTGCCGGGTTCGACGAGTAGGGTTACGAGTAGGTTAGGTCCATAAGCCTGCTCCTATTGTTAGCTGAAGGCGTATAATCTAACAGTTATTAAATCTGATGGATCCGTAAGGACGTGTAGAGATCCTGACGCAACGCATCAATCTATTCAGTTTTTAATTAAGCATAAAAAAAATTACTTGAAGAATTGCAAGCCAAACTGCGCGCCAGAATTGTTTAGTCTATTTTTAGACAAAAATTACGTGTTTAGGACCGGGAGCTGACATCAATTTGTAACCTACCACAGTATAGAACGACATTGAAAGAGGTAAATCGATTTTCGTTACGTTCTACAACAATGCGAAGCAGACCTGTATTCTAGTTTGTAGGGTAGAATTTGGAATGGAATTTTATATCTATTGTAACGGACGGGACGTCAGCTGTCATGCCCTGCCGCCAGCCAAGCCGCCAAGCCATGTTAACACGCCCCCTTCCGCCACCGCCACCGCCGCCGCCGCCAGCCAAAGCCAACGAAGGGGGGATAGTGTTAATAAAACAAGGCGTGCCAGCCATTTCTACCTGCTTTTTTGTATTCTCGCACAAATAAAAGAACTTGTCGTTACGCTGCTGGTTTTTATTGTCACATCATTTGCAACAATCAGAAGTGGCATAAAGAAATGAAACAACGTCATATACACGCTCAGATCTCTCGGTCTGACAAGTTTTAAGAAGATAAAGCTCCTATTCCACTGGCGAGGAAGGTGTTGAAAAATTGCTTCAGAAGGAGGTCCACAAGGCGATATTTGAGCTACAGGATGAAGAACCTGGAACAATCAAATCAAAGGGACTTCGACGTCGTCGGACCAAGAGCGCCTGACGCCCTGTCCTTCCATCATTCTGGTTTACGTGGAGGGAAACTCGAAGAGTAGCAACGTGGTTACTCCACTGCGGCACTACGAGCTTCACGGCGCTTCATGAGATTCACGGCTACGAGCTTCCTTCTCCCTGCCTGCGACGCTGCTGCGCGGCGAAGACAGCTACATCGACGTGGGCTCGGAGACCATCATGTGGCCGCCGGGCGAGATCCTGCCGAGGGCCAACAGCTGCGAGAAGCCACAGCCAAACAGCCAGGTGTGTTGCATTTCTACTTGCCCTAACCATGCCATTACAAATATTTCGAGATTTGAGGGTAGAAATAAAAAAATTTAAAAGGAGCCATTAAATAATAAGGGTCATTCAGATTTAAAAAATACAGTATAAGCATTGCTTTGCTGCGAATACACATGATTTAGGCATTGCCAATTTAGTCCAAATGCAAATTAAGCTTACTAGTGATCAGCCCGTGTATCGCCACCTTTACTTTCTCATAACGAACAAACGATAGTTAAATCTAAAGCTAATTAACTTTTAGATGCTGGCATTAAAAAATAATCTGAAGCTAGTCATGCTTCACCAGTGGTCTTATTAAGAAACAGAACGGCGACAGTAGGCTATGCGTTGATTTTTTTTTTTTTTTTTTTTTCCTACCTAAGCTGAGAGCCTTGAGAGGCTATGTCAGCGTAACCCTAACTTTTGTAGGTGAGCTCACGGCGCTCAAACCTGATGATGTTGCTAACACGAACCCTAGCAAGAGCCGTGCTTCGCAGAATCTACCACCGGATCGGAAACGCGACCCACTGAGAAGATCCGGCGAGAAACTCAGTGGGCTATGCGTTGACTATCGTGCGTTAAACGCTATGGTAAAATATAAAAGTATCCACCGAACAGTACTTCACGAGTTTAGATTTAGCCCAGGGCTACCATAAATTAAGCATTGTGCCAGACACAACTGTTTTCATTACGCCGCAAGGTCATTATTTCGAGTACACTAGAATTCCTTTTGTTTTAGCAAATGCGCCATCTGTATTCATGCGTTTCTTCTTTTCTCCACCTTATTCCACTAGGTGGGGTAGTTAAATGAGTTTAATAAATAAAATAATTGAGCCTGAGGGTAGAAAAGAAATGGGTAAAAATAAATGTAGGTCAAATCGAGATACTAGCAATTTTAAACGATTTACCTCTACCCTCAGTTGGTATAAAATCAGGTTCAATAATTATTGAGAAAGTACTTGGGAAATTTTATGGTGGAGACTTAAAATTAAATATGAGTAAATGCTCATTCTTGGAGAAACAAGTCACTTATTTAGGTCATGAAATATCTTCAGACGGTATACAGCCGGGTGCAACAAAAATTGACGGCCGTTTCGCAGTTTCCTGTGCCAAATAATGCTCAGTGTGCGATAGTTTATTGGTTATGTTACTTTAGAAAGTTTATTCCCAGTTTTGCCGTGATTGCGCGTCCATTAACTGAGTTAAGAAAAAAAAAAAAGATAAATCATGGGTGTGGGGCCATGAACATAACGCGAATTTCGAACAACTGAAAAACAGTTTTATGTTCCAAACCTATGCTAGCTCTGTATAATCCTATGCTTCTTACAAAAATATGAACCGATGCATGTAGCTTAGGAGTTTCTGGTATACTATTACTAAAACAAACTGACAACTCACTGCGGCCTGTTATGTACTTTAGCCGGGTTACTAGGAAGGAAGAGAGTGTGTATCATAGCTAAGAGCTCAAAACCTGGCGGTCGTACAATCGCTTCGTAGGTTCTGTGTTTATGAAGTAGGTAAACATGATATAGTAGAAACTGATTGTACTGTGGTTTGTGCTACGCTTACCAAACGCGACATTATACCACGCATTGCGCGATGGTGAGTTTTGAAAGAAGATTATGACATTAAGTGTTGAGTATAGACCTGGTGAACGTATGGAACATTTATAGATGCGCTTAATAGGCATCCTGTTGACATGATGAACGTGAATCGTCTTAAAGTTACCGATTGATTCTGTACTGTGCAATGTCAGGACGAAAAGCTTAGTTCGATTATAAAGAAATCTATACTAACATTATAAAGCTGAAGAGTTTGTTTGTTTGAACGCGCTAGTCTCGAGAACTGCTGGTCCGATTTGAAAAATTCATTCAGTGTTAAATAACCCATTTGTTGAGGAAGATATAGGCTATATAACGCTAAGACCGCTAAGACCATCACTGCATCGCGCTAAGACCAATACAAGCGGAGCACCAATAAAGAATGTTTCAAAATCGGGTTATTTTCCCTTTTGAGAGCTTCCGGTGCGTGCGCTGTAGAAACTGTTAAAATTTCGCTAAAATAATGTGACAGAATTGTTTCCCTTTAAAAGATCTAAAAAAAAATGTCCGCGACAGCATATGTCTATATGTTAAGGTTGGCTCACTATAACGTTTTTTATGCTAAAGAAATTTGTTCTAAAATAAAGCATTATTTGTGAACTATATTCCACGCGGACGAAGTCGCGCTGATGTTAAAGATAAAAGTAACTGAAACAGACTCGCGGTCCCTTGGGCTAAATGGAAAATTGTATACATGCACTATGACTACATTGGTCACGTGGATCTAAATCATCGTAAAAAAGACAGTATATATCCGATCTCTAAACCATCTGATACTATGCGCATGGTACAAATAGATAACATGTTCCCCTTCTGTAGGACATCTAAAGGGCACCAACCAGTACATGATCGTAATGAAAGATGCGTTGTCTAAATTTGTGATAGCTGAACTAACGCGTACTTACTGTAAATTCAATCTGGACCATTCGTCCATTAAAAAGTATATTAATAGGATTTGTCCAGATACCCGAATCACGTGATGACAGACTATGGGAAAGCTTTTAAGAGTAGAGGTACTTTAAAAAAATATCGGAAGATAAACAGTTGAATAAACTCTAGAGCAATTATCAGACTTAATAATTATGAATAGTGATAACGACACATGACGATAGGAAATTATTTATTACATTACGTATTAACAGTTCAAACTCCATCGAGCTCACAAACGAGGAGATGACGTCACATCCGAGCTACTTCCGAGTATCGATCTAAGTTCCGCCACCTGACCGATAGGGGCGCTGGATGTTATGAATTTGTATTATTACCATTTACGTAAACAATGAAAATCTTAGTAATCATCTGATGTTCTTTACCTTCGAAGAAGGAAAATTTTGGTTGACAGTAAAAGCTCCTTATACGCGCTTCCTTCATTCGCATTTTCACTATTCGCGGATTATAAAAGTGCGACCCAATTCTTATTCGCGGCTAAAGATTTCTTTATTCGCGGATCTAATCGGTACATCGGTCCATATTATAAAAATTAGATTTAGAAAAAGGATTCCGAAACGAACCGAATATCCTCTGTAAACGCGCTTACCCATATTCATGGCTCCTGAATTTGCGCCATATTTATGGAACATATACCCCGCGAATAAAGAGCTTCTACTGTATTTAATCATGCGACCAATTTCGCCATGGAAATCAGGAATGCCAGGAGCAAAGCCTAGCACATCCACTTCAATGAAATAAAACACATGTTAAAATATATATGTTTATTCGCTGTTTCCATCATAGCTTTTATTTTTCTTTATATCAAAACCGCGTTCCTCTGCTTCGTCGAGCGCCGAGAACACAACACCCGACCGAACTTTCTTTAAAATCCTTTTGTCGTGGAAGGCGTGTGTGTGAGCTGAAATCCTGTTGATAATAATTGAATATGCAATTTCGAAAAGGGCACATGTCGCATATTTTGTCAAATACGTTTTTTTCATATACAAATGTAGTTTTGAGGCTTACCTACACCCATTTTATAATAATTTCAGTAATTTTCAATTGCTAATTAACAGTAAACTAAATCTCAAAAATTAATATTTTATGCTTTAGAAAATAATCAGTTTTTTTTCATTTCCTGAACATTTTTTTCAGAGACGTGCCCTTTTCGAAATTGCATATTCAATTAAATTTTTTATAAATGTTATTAAATGTTGTCAAACAAAGTCTTAGTCGTCTGTGACCACGATAACTGAAGTATTCAAAATTTCGGAAATAATATTATAATGAAAAAGGAAAAAAATCATAAACTCAAGGTAAAACCGTAAAAGTGGCTTTAATAATTAGTCTATTAATAGCCGAAATCGAAGAAAATAAAGTACTTTATATTTCTTGATCGTTAGGAATTCGAGGATAAAATCCTATTATAGTACAAAATACTACATGGTTTTTTTCAGTCCTTACATGGATGATGTAGTAATTGCCACCACCCGTTGAAACATGAGTTTTAAGTCTTAGTTCGATAGGACAACAACTACTAGGCTGCACTAAAAGTATCGGGAATGGAATATTTCTACTGTTCCTATCATATTAAAATCTTTTTAATTGAAAACTCCTTGGTTTTAAAAATCGAATACCATTTATTTATTTAAAAAAAGATTCTCGGTCTTGTCACGAGGTTTTGTCAAACTTGTTTAGTCGTTGAGAAAATGGAATTGACTCGAGAAAATTCAAGAGCGATGATTTATTATGACTTTCGAAGTGGTTTAACACAAAAACAGTGTGTTGACCGGATGATTTCTGCATTTGGTGATGAAGCCCCATCCAAAACCACAATTTATCGCTGGTTTGCTGAGTTTCAACGTGGACGTGTCAAGCTCAGTGATGATCCCCGTCAAGGTCGTCCAAAAACTGCAGTCACCCAAGAAAACGTTGATGCTGTGCGTAAGCTGATTGAGGAAGATCGACATGTGACATACCGCGAAATTCAGGCAACTTTAGACATTGGCATGAGTCAAATACAAATAATCTTGCATGAACAATTAGGTGTAAAAAAGTTGTTTTCCCGATGGATACCGCATTCGCTCTGTGAAGAGCAAAAAGCGGCTCGCGTTACTTGGTGCGTCAGAACTCTCGAAAGATTCCACGCAGGATCCTCAAATGCTGTATACAACATTGTATCAGGTGACGAATCCTGGATATACGCGTACGAACCCGAAACAAAAAACCAGTCACGAGTTTGGGTGTTCGAAAATGAGTTAAAGCCAACAAAAATTGTTCGTTCACGGAGTGTTGCAAAAAAAATGGTGGCCACGTTTGTCTCCAAAACCGGCCATGTTACGACTATTCCTCTTGAGGGACAAAGAACGGTTAATGCAGAATGGTATGCTAGCATTTGTTTGCCACAGGTCGTTTCTGAACTCCGTAAAGAGAACTGCAACCGCCGCATCATCCTCCATCACGACAATGCGAGTTCTCACACCGCGCACAGAACAAAAGAGTTTTTAGAGCAAGAAAACATAGAATTATTAGACCATCCGCCGTACAGCCCCGACCTAAGCCCTAATGATTTCTATACTTTCCCTAAAATAAAGAATAAATTGCGTGGACAGAGATTTTCATCACCTGAAGAAGCTGTGGACGCCTACAAAACGGCCATTTTGGAGACCCCAACTTCCGAATGGAATGGTTGCTTCAATGATTGGTTCCATCGTAGGGAAAAATGTGTCAAATTTCGCGGAGAATACTTCGAAAAGCAATAAATACATTTTTAAATAGTAATGTTGTGTCACTTCGTTAATTCCCGAAATTTTCAGTGCCGCCCTCGTACTCCACCATTCAGACTGGAACGAATTATGCTTCACTGCAGAAATAGTGGAGTGGTACCTATTTGTTAAGGGCTACACGATTCACTACCACCATACTTTACGTGAAATAAACACCCATTGTTTCTTTGTTCCTGAAGCCATGAAGGGTATCAATACATTGATACTTTACACATACTAAGTACTTTGATAAGAAAATAGTGTTTTCACCATTAGTTTAACGCTGATCAATTTTTATAGCTTCTGGCCAAAAATGGTTAAAAACTAATCTAATGTCTCTCACCTTAATATAATGACACCGTCTTTGCTAACGACATAAGCTGGACATTTCTTGCTGTTCAAATAGTCTATGCACCGCCACTGTTGCGACTTATTCTTGTTTGTGTGCTTCAAATAATATATGTATCTGTTTAATATCATCTGTAATGAGCCTTGATTGGACACTGTGTATTGTATCACGGAAGCTGGAAATAGAAAAGAAATTTAGTTTACATGTTCTTTTTTTTTATGACTTAGATGGGTGGACGAGCTCACAGCCCACCTGGTGTTAAGTGGTTACTGGAGCCCATAGACGTCTACAACGTAAATGCGCCAACCATAGATACAAATTTTTGTACCCACAGATTTTGTGATCTCCAAATTAATGGGGTCATAATTGGAAAGTACACACTATGATAGTCTTTGTGGTTTGTTTACTGCATAACGCATTGCGAGTGCTCTGAGGAATTGTCTATGATCCATCATCTCTCTTACACCAATAAATTCTTCTCGAGTGAGAGACATATATTATTTTAAACGAGATTTGAACATTTATCATCGGTAGGCAGAAGCTGGGCTTTACCCCTAGCGTTGTGGTCCAGAAAAGACACTGAAAATTAATGTTCTGGTGAACCATAATGCCTTGAAAGCTGGTAAAAAATCTCCAATATATTCCGATTATTAAGAAGCCTATAAACCTGCTTTATCCCAATTAACAGCCACTGTACACAACTAGATGAAGGTTCCCTTTTTGGAGGGCTTAGGGGGGACATAGGGGGACAGTCGGGTCCCCCTTGGGGTACTAGACCCATCACACAATAAATAAAGTAAGATTTGCATCAAATTTTTCACATTCTATCTTCAACATCATTTTTATGAGAACCATCTTTATAAATATAAGTTTACAGTAAAAAGAGCTGTCATCATTAAACTTTATTATTTAAAGATCAAAGACAAGAGCCATGGGCTTTCTCGTTATGTGACGATTTCTATCAGTCAACGTCTATCGAAAGCCGCCTTAGCAACTTTATTCCTTTAAAAATATTAAGAATTATTGAGATGTTTGAAAATTTTCTCTATTGAACTATTTAGAGCATACACACCTTTTGCATTGTTACTAAATAGAGTAGTGATATTTTTATCCGAATTAGGTAAAGTTTCATTTTCGTTTGTGTCATCAGCGTTTTGATCCTGTTTAATCGTCTCTTCGTACGTGTGATCCGTTACATGTTGTAATAGCTGTTCTTTGCATTCTACCACTGAATAACTGGAAAATAATTTTATTAAGTTTAGATATTTTGAATACTGTTACTGTCTTTTTTTTATGGCTTAGATGAGTGGACGAGCTCACAGCCCACCTGGTGTTAAGGGGTTACTGGAGCCCATAGACATCCGCAACGCAAATGCACCACCCACCCTGAGATATAAGTTCTAAGGTCTTAGTATAGTTACAACGGCTGCCCCACCCTTCAAACCGAAACGCATTACTGCTTCCATAACAGATTGATTGCATTGTTCTACAAAAATACCCCAAATCGGCCATACATGATAGTAATCGGACTCCCTATACTTATTAGAAAAGACATTACTGGTGGTAGGACCTCTTGTGAGTCCGCGTGGGTAGGTACCACCACCCTGCCTATTTCTGCCGTGAAGCATTAATGCGTTTCGGCTTGAAGAGTGGGGCAGCTGTTGTAACTATACTGAGACCTTACAACTTATATCTCAAGGTGGGTGGCGCATTTACGTTGTAAATGTCTATGGGCTCCAGTAACCACTTAACACCAGGTGGGCTGTGAGCTCGTCCAACCATGTAAGCACTAAAAAAAAAAAACTTTAATTTATCATCATTTTTTAATTACATAGTCACTTTAGCATTACATACTTTTTTAATGGTTTATTTGGATGATTGATGCTGTTAAGCATACCTAGTGTTACGGTGGTACCTATTTGGCGAGCTAACAATATTTCCTACCACATACCAGTACATTAGTATAATTCTCAGAGAATGCCACTACCCGATGTCCGGCAATTTCTTTAATAATCTTTGACAACACCCATGTGAAGATGGGTGATGCTAATCTGGGCCAGCGCCACTCAGCCAAGTATTCATATAATTTACCTGTCATCATCTATTATATAAGGTTTTTCATCCATGGTCAAATTTGATATCTCTAAGTAACATGTACCCTCTTCTAAAGCCTCAATCTGTGAATTTTCATCATTGTAATCATGTTCTTGTGTGCTCATCTCGTCCTCAACATCAGGCTCTTGAACAGATGTAATTTCGGGTAATTTCTGAAACCAACTTTTTCATAATTAGAATTCTTGAACAATAAAAAAAGATCTGATTTGAAATTTGATTTCTGAAAGTAATTAGAATGATGTGCTACTAAGCAAGCAAGCAAGTTAGAAGTCGTCGTGGCCTAACGGATAAGACGTCCGGCGCATTCGTGTTGAAGCGATGCACCGGTGTTCGAATCTCAGGCGGGTACCAATTTTTCTAATGAAATACGTACTCAACAAATGTTCACGATTGACTTCCACTGTGAAGGAATAACATCGTGTAATAAAAATGAAACCCGCAAAATTATAATTTGCGTAAATACTGGTGGTAGGACTCTTGTGAGTCCGCGCGGGTGGGTACCACCACTCTGCCTATTTCTGCCGTGAACCAGTAATGCGTTTCGGTTTGAGGGGTGGGGCAGCCGTTGTAACTATACTGAGACCTTAGAACTTATATCTCAAGGTGGGTGGCGCATTTACATTGTGGATGTCTATGGGCTCCAGTAACCACCTAACATCAGGTGGGCTGTGAGCTCGTCCACCCATCTAAGCAATTAAAAAAAAGTGCATGTTATCTATACAATTTATACTAATAATATAAATGTCAATGTGTGTTTGTTTTTTTATCCTTCTTTTACATTGAAATGCAGCAAGACTTTAATATTATGTTTTTTAAAGTTATAGTTTTATGTTACGAGTGACAAAGGCTACTAATCTCCAAAAAATTGTCTCATTCCCACAGGATACTATAATAAAAAGTAAATGTACTGTAAAAAAAAACTTTTCCTTGACCAGCTTTGGGTAACAGCTAATGAAATATAAAACGAGCTATATTTATAAAGCAATTACAAGGAAATTTAATATTTATCCTCATGAACAGTTAGTACGTAGGTCAGTCAATTGTGGTACAATCCATTCACAGATTATCACAAGCCTGATGAACACATGAACAAGGAGCCTTACCAATCTATATTAATGAAACTTTGTCAATAAGAAATGTGCTACAAGTTAACATGACCACTGTAAACTAATTGAATAAACATTCCTTTAAAGAGTATATAGGGAAAAAAGTTTTCAAATGATTCGATTTCTACAGACATTTTGTTTGGATAAACATAAATACACTACCATGTCTTCAAGTCCTTTTATCTTCAATTCTTTCGCTGCCTCAATCAGCTCCAATAGGTTCTCAACGTTGATGTACACTTCTCCGGTGTATATGTACTCCAGTATCAAGCTTAAAGTTGTGTATGATACTTTCTGTAAGTTTTAATTCGGTTAGTATGAATGACCTTTCTGTTCACTTCACTATGAAAACACATGACCGTAAATGAGTGTTCTCCGAAAGGACAACAACAATAGTAATGAGAACATACTCACATTGAGAAACACAACTGGATGTTGACACGGTGCTGAAGCCAGGAGATCCTTGAAATATGGACTAGACAGAGCGATTATGACTTGGTGCACTTTCACAAAATGACCTTCGGCTGCTAGTGTCATGTCAACAAATTCATTGTTCTGAAACAAGCATTAAGAATGAATGTCAAGTCAACTGTTTTCAGTTATAGTTATATAGTAGCATAGTTTTTTTTATTGCTCAGTTGAGTGGATGAGCTCACAGCCCACCTAGTCTTAAGTGGTTACTGGAGCCCATAGACATTTACAAAGTAAATGCGCCAGCCAGTTTGAGATATAAGTTGTAAGGTCTCAGTATAGTTACAACGGCTGCCCCACCCTTCAAGCCGAAACGCATTACTGCTTCACGGCATAAATAGGCAGCGTGGTACCTACCCGTGCGGACTCACATGAGGTCCTACCACCAGTAATTACGCAAATTATAATTTTGTGGGTTGTTTTATATTACAAAATTTTTTGCGCTGACAACTCTCCAATAATTGTAATATAATTCAATTTGGGTTCAGGTACTCATCACAGCTACTAGAAGACGGTCGCCAGTTCAGATATGTTTTTTTCATAAATGAAGGATGGATTTAAATTTGTTGAATTGATCATATCAAGTAAATTTTGTTACGTTTTATTTTCAGTAATAGTTTACAATTTTCAGGTGCCTTTAGACAGTTAGCTGCGAGTAATTATAATAATCTATAATATAAATATAATGTCTATGTGAGTTTTAATCACCTTTTGGCTTAAGTACAGAGACTCACTTATACTAAATGAAAAAATATTTTTTCTCCATTTAATTAATTTTTATACATTCAGGACTCACGAAATCAAAGTTTTGTTGAGGTTTAACTGTTTTAAACATTTGCTTTTGGTTCACTAATTTGCCATTATGTATTAAATTTTAATTTAAGCTGAAATATTTTTAGCAATTCTAGAACAAAAGATTTCGAATAGTGGTAAAGTGTCAAAAAGTTTATTTCATAAGAATTTAATCAATAAATTATTATATTTTAAGTAATTTTGACTTCTAATACTAATAACAACTTGTAAATTTGAATTCTACCCTCTATTGAGGATTCTATCTTGTTCCTGAATCTGTTACTAGGGCACGGAATATTTTTTTGATATCAAAAATTCTGACATTGTTTTGTATTGGCATTATTTCTTCTTCTGAGTCGGTCTCTTCATTGCTGCAGGTCGAGTCTAGTTTCAAATGTTGATCGCTTGATGCACTATTATCAGAATATTCTTTAATGTTATGTGCGGACAATAGAACTGATAGTATGATGAGATAAACAGAAGTGGCAATCAAATCTTATGGTAATCAAATTAAGCCAAGTAACATTTTATTGTAGGGTCTTCTAGGTCGTTAGAAATGATGATAATTTAGTCAATGTGTTAGATTTCATAACATTGAATTAATTGTAATAAGAAACAACTGATTTGAATTGAAAAGTAGGTTGGTATATAAATCAAAAACAAGAACAATTTAATTTTATATTAAGTACCTGCTGTAGGCTACTTAATCCGGTACACATATTTCTTTTATGACTTTCCCACGTTAGTGAGAACTGAGATTGTGCCATTGTGTTTTCAATTTATTACTTCACCAATCACTTTTTCTATTTTTATTTTTTTATAAATAATTAATTGTGTACAACCAACGATGTAGGTATGTACTTCCACAGACTTTTAAAAATTTTTTTAAGGGATTTTATGACCTGGTAACTAAGACCTTTAGGTCAAGTCTAATTTTAATGATAACTTTTTTATATGAAAAATGAAATATGAAATGAAATGAGATGATATGGGATGAAGTATAATCTCAGTAAAATGGTGGTCATTTACTGAGACTTTTTCAGTGGACTTTTTGGAGGATCCCGAGAAGTTACGTCCAGCGGCTTTGTTTCATTTTCCCGCATTTGTGCATTTTCACAGATGCTAAACAGTTAATAAACCACCGTTAATACACATTTAAACTTGAAGAAACACTAAAAAGACAAAATATATGTGTAACAAATCACACAACTTCACTCCTCGCGTTCCCGCCAAAAAGTACTTCCACAGATATAATATATACCATAGATTATACACGTAATAATTGAGATAACTTAATTAAACTGTAATCGCACCAGCCCGATTTTTCAAAGAAGACAAGTATAATATCTATGAAGATGACGAAAATAATATTACCTAAATACTATTAAATGTAGGTACTTATATTCTACTTATTATTTTTACTTCGCATCGCACTGCAATGTTCATCAAAGATGAGAGGAGAAGATGTCGTTTAAACAAAGAGCACTACAACCACAAGTTTGCTTATTTGAAGAATAGCAATAACAGTAAATTATTAGATGTGCGTGATGTATAATAGCATATCGTGCAATTGATTATAAATGGAACTTAATCAGTAAAAGTGCAATGTGTGGAGAATTAATAAAAATCGAATAAAGTGGCTTTTCCGCTTCTTTCAAAAAATTTAGTGTTAGTAAATTGTAATCGTTTTATTGAAATCCTATTTAAATTTAATCATCATCATCATGTCATCTCAATTTATTCTATTTCAATTTATTCATTAGCATCCTATCCTATAAATGAGCTTTATTTCTTTTCACTCTATTTCATTTTTCAATTAAAGTTTAGTTGTTTAAATATTTAATAAGACTAGCATCAGTAGCATTGCAAAAAGTCGATAGTCAAGTTTCAAAAAAAGAAGAAGTCAGTAGCTTGTGCATGAAAAATAAAGTATAAAAAATCTAACAGCCTGGCCACGGGACATTCGCCGATGCGAATATTCGCGCGGTGCGAACGGCGAAGCGTCTAGCGACTAAAACAAGCGCATAGAAATGTACCTAACAAGCCACGCGCACCGGCGACCGGCGAAGCGACCGGCGAAATGTACCGAGCGAATCGCGCGATGCGGCGGGCGAGCAAAACAAATGCATGAATACGGACGGCGCGAGCCACGGAGTCGAGCGGTAGTCGCGGCGAATAGTGCAGTGATTAAATGAGTTTAGTTGTTTTCGCCGCGAAAAATTAACGCCGAAATTTTTATATTTTTTATTTATTTTTTATTTTATATTTTTAAAGTCGTCGTGGCCTAACGGACGTCCGGTGCAATCGTGTTGAGCGATGCACCGGTGTTCGAATATCAGGCGGGTACCAATTTTTGTAATGAAATACGTACTCAACAACACTCAACGTTCACGATTGATTTCCACGGTGAAGGAATAACATCGTGTGATAAAAATGAAATCTTCAAAATAATAATTTGCGTAATTACTGGTGGTAGGACCTCTTGTGAGTCTACACGGGTGGGTACTACCACCCTGCCTATTTCTGCCGTGAAGTAGTAATGCGTTTCGGTTTGAAGGGTGAGGCAGCCATTATAACTATACTTGAGACCTTAGAACTTATATCTCAAGGTGGGTGGCGCATTTACGTTGTGGATGTCTATGGGCTCCAGTAACCACTTAACACAAGGTGGGCTGTGAGCTCGTCCACCCATCTAAGCAATAAAAAAATAAAATAGCTGAAATACTAGCTAGACCAGCTATTTGGAAGTCTAGCCACCCAAAGTATTTCTCGTACTTCTTGTGGAATTCTCCATCTATAGGTATACTCCGATTCTTATTCAAATCATGTACTTCACAATCTTTTCCAAATAATAGGTCCTGAACCAAAAAACTATTAATTTGTAAGCAATGTCGAGATAATTTCGATATAGACATTTCGCTGTCGGACTTCCTTACTAGTCGCGGCGGCGAACGTGAGTACCCGTGGCCTGCAAACGGTGCTGCGCGAATGGTCGCCTCGCCCACCGCTTCGCTGTTCGCACCGCCGATCCCCGTGGCCAGGCCGTAACGCTCTTCGCCGATGACACGACTATGTACTACTCGTGCACGAAGAACTCGTTATTGCATCGGCGACTCCAGACTGCAGCAACCACCATGGGACAGTGGTTCCGAAAGTGGCGCATCGATATCAACACCACGAAAAGCACAGCGGTGCTCTTCAAAAGGGGCCGCCCTCCAAATAGCACGTGGAACATTTTAACTCCCGAATAGGCGCGTAAACACCTCCGCCATTCGCCCCATCACTATGCTCGACCAACCCATACCATGGGCCCCGAAGGTCAAATATCTAGGCGTCACTCTCGACAGAGGGATAACATTCCGCCCCCACATTAAGTCAGTACGCGACCGAGCCGCGTTCATACTAGGACGCCACTATCCGATGATTTGCAAGCGAAGTAAATTGTCCCTTAGAAATAAGGTGATACTCTACAAATTTGTATACGTCCGGTCATGAGTCATGACCTATGCAAGTGTAGTGTTCACTGACGCGGCCTGCATAAGCTTGAAACCCCTCCAAATAATACGTTTTTGCAGGATAATCGCCGGAGCCCCATGGTTTATATGAAAAGTGGACCTCCACGACAATATAGACCTAGATTCCATCAGTAAGTATTTATAGTCGGCATCAGTGTGCCATTTCGAAAAAGCGGTACGACACGAGAATCCCCTCAACGTGGCCGCCGCCGCACCGGAAACTATATTCCCGATCCTGCGGACCGAATGGTAAACAGTCGACGTTGCCCAAAACACGTCATTTCGGATCCACCCGATCCAATAATGATGCTTTTTGCCTCAAATATCGATCATCGTTCTCGTCGAACCCGTCGCTTAGGAACGAACCGAACTTGCGACGAACGGTTCGGCAACTAAATTTACCCACAGACACAGCCCACTGAGTTTTTGGCCAGATCTTCTCAGTGGGTTACGTTCAATTTCTTTCGAAAAGTCTCTGTAAATAACCACCATTTTATTGAGGCTATATCTCTTAACATCTCGTTTCATTTAATTTCATCCCATTTGAGTAATATCTCAAATCAATCAAGTTCATGGCATTTCGCTCCTTAACATTTTTCATAAAACAACATAATTTTATAAAAGATTAGGTTGTATGGTGTGATGCTTTGACTTTCCAGTTGAAAAAATGGAACTACTACTGTCCATAGATAAAATATCTTGTCACAAATATTAAGTCACAATTAAGTGTATAATCTATGTCTAGTCAGTTAACTGATTTATTATGATTGAGTTGTGATTAAACTACAATTGTTAATTATTTATCTAATTAATATAAATTCGTATATGTATATCTTGCAAATACCGTTATATTTACCTTTAAATAACATGCAAAACAGTTATTTTATAAATTGAAGAAGACATTTTATCAACATTAATATGGCTCAACCATCTTTATCGGTGTCCTGGGATGCATACCAAAATAGTATATGCCGCGGTCTTAGTACACTTCAACAAGTAAGCTAAAATTGATGTTAAGAAATTATTGCGTTTAATAAATCCATTTTCTCATTTGTAATTTTTTTCCCATTTCTTCTTAAATATTATTTTTAAAGAGAATCACGTAAACATTACATGTATAAAAAAAATTCATGAAGCTACCTATTAAAGTACACATTTCGTATAAATTTGAGTCTTTATTAAAAATTTCTCTTCAAATAAATTGTACCACATTCATTAAAGTAAAATTTGTCATGAAGCAAAAGGAATAGACCTCAATTGTAGAATTTATTTGCTTCAATACAAAACGCTTACGATTTATAATCACATTCTCAGCGCGGTGAATTTGTGGACATGACATTGGCTGCAGATGGGCATATGGTGCGAGTGCATCGCATGGTGATGTCTCTCATAAGTCCTTACATCAAGCAGTTGATTGCCTCTGCAGATTGTCAACATCCAGTCATATTTCTCAATGTAAGAGCTTAGTATTTAAATTCTATCAGATTAGCAGATTATGTCTCATACATAGTGGTTATTGGAGAAAGATCACAAAACAAAAGGTTCTCCTAGACTCCCAGAATTCCAGACTAAAGATATGAGTTAGAAATCTCAATACACAATTCACAAACAATACACAATTCACAAACAATTCACAGAATTACTAATTCAATTCAGCATCACTCATGAATATTCAACCAAGTGTGCAACAAAACCTTAATTCTTAACATAGTGCTATCATATTCATCTATATATATATAAAAATAAGTTTATTTCATGGGTCAGGTAGTCATTTAATAAAATAGTGTAATTTATTTGTGATTGTATTAAGTAGGATTGTTTTAATTATTTTAATTAAACAAAACTTTTCATGAGTGTTAATAAAAAAATTCCTGTATTATTTTCAGCAAGTATCATATAAAACATTATCGTCGATATTAGATTATGCTTATACCGGAGTAGTTCAGGTTCCTAATGAAGAACTGAATGCTTTTATTGTAGCTGGGAAAGCACTTCACATTAGAGGAATCGTTGATATGGTATGTAATAAAATGAATACATTTTAGGTTAATATCTACAGGGGGTTGTAAAAAAGTATGGATAATTATTAAAAAAATGTATAAATACAAATTAAACCATCTGGTAACTAAAGTAGTTACATAGAAATGACTCTACTTGATAGTGTTTTGTTACTTCAGAACATTGAAATACATGTTGAGAATTGACTGACATTAAAATTATGATTAGAAAACCAGATTACCTATGGCAGGGTTATTAGTATATAATCATTAAGATGAGAAATATGTGTAGTGAAATACTGGATTTATCCATGTTTGGACTGATACATAACCAGTAAAAAACAGCTAGATTTGGGCCAGGTTGGTATATATTATGCATTGAATAAAACAACCAACGCCATCTAGTTTAATTTTATTAACTTGGAATCAAGTGTTCATTGTGGTATAAATCTTACCCATCCAATCCTGCTGCTGACCATATATACAAACCACACTTATTTAAAAAATAACCAACCAATTGAGCTTAGTCTTATTTGAATAAAACTTATGAGATGATGTATACAACAAAAAATGAAAGCTTATTGAAGTTTGAGTGCAACTGCAAAGGATTAATTTAATTTTATGTAGAAAGTCAGATGAGAGAAGTCAAATTTATGTAAATTGAGCCAAGCTTTTACTACTTTTTTTTTATTGCTTAGATGAGTGGACGAGCTCACAGCCCACCTGGTGTTAAGTGGTTACTGGAGCCCATAGACATTTACAAAGTATATGCGCTGCCCGCCTTGAGATATAAGTTGTAAGGTCTCAGTATAGTTACAACGGTGGCCCCACCCTTCAAGCCGAAACGCATTACTGCTTCACGGCAGAAATAGGCAGGGTGGTGGTACCTAGCCGTGCGGACTCACATGAGGTTCTACCACCAGTAAGTGTTAATAAGCAATAGTTACCGCTTGCCAGGAAAATAAACAACTCATTACAAATGCATAGTAAGGTCTATATGAACTTATGCCATAGAACTTCAAAGATTTGAAGTATTCCTCAGGTCTCTCCTATGTCAGTACCAAAACAAAAGATCTCAAAGGGTCGGTGATTATAGTTAAATTTAGATAACCAGTGTTTAGAATTGCTTCAGTTTCAAGTCATTGCTATTGATATTATCATTTAAAACATTAAAAGATATAAATATGATTTTTTCAGAATATTGATCATGCATTACCCATGCTGAATGCTCGTTCGGTTGTTCAGATTCAAAACTCTGTATCAAATTCTAGCACAGCAGCAAAAGAAAATAGAGAGAAAACCGAGTCCAGTAATTCACCGAAAAAAGAATCTTCAGCACCAGAGTAAGTTTCTTAATTGTTTACACTGGCAGATAAGCACTTGAATACGTGTCATCTACTCATATTACCAACCAATTACAATGTTATTGATTAAGAGGCGCAGGTAGAGGATTTTGAGCATGTGTGGATATGTGACTTTTAATGAAATAAAAAGTGATATATACTTTACCTATAATTATGTCTAAAGCTCGCGAAAATCGGACAAAATGGTATGCTGCATTTATATCACACCACTTGCTGTGCTATCAATTTTAGTAAGCAGAGTTGTATTTTACAGCTAGATGTATACAGGTCAACTTATCCCCTACATAAGAGAGTTCTTACATTAATGTTTTATATGCAGAGAATGCAAAGTTAAAGCTTGCATACGATCAACATGGGCTGTCCATTATTTTACTCGTAACTCTGGCAACACAAAAATTCAGATCGTTTTTTGTATTGTTTTTTTTAGAATTTCCAGAGTATTCGTTAACGAGAGCTCCCTTGACGATGATATGGATGCATCGAATTATGACGACGTGCTGGATCAAGATTACAGTAAAACGAAATATTCTAAGACTGCAAAGGAAAAAGAAAGTACAAACAAAAAAGGTTAGATCAAAGGCCATGAATTAAATGTAATTTAGTCATTGCGTTTTTTCTAAATAAATAAGAAATGAATGAGTAACTAATGTTATTTTTGAAAAAAAATTACATGCTTTTTATTTATACTCTATAACAAGTGTAAAAATGTTACTAGGATCTTTAGAAATTTCACTTGTACTCATATCTATACATTATTTTGAGTGTGAGTATAGTAGGTATTATGCACACAGTATATTTGTTTAAATATATCATAAAAACATGCATATTGTTCAAAGTGACCATCGGTACAACGGTACACGAAAGATGCATTATTTCTGATGGCATTGTAAACAACAATATTTAATATGTTTTGATCAAGGATTTCTGAAATCTATTTCATTGATAGCACCCTTTGTTGAGTGCTTGCCAGTTATTATTTTATTTATCAAAACTATTCGATTGAAAAAAAAAATGCTTTCTATATCTCCATAATGGGTGTCTTTTGAAACCTGGGCCCGTACTGGTCAGAAATGTGTTGGACTGTGGTACTCTGAGGTGCGAGCTGACAACACTCTGCCACCATTAAATAACAGGTAGATTTTAAAATAATCACCTTTTAATAAAATTATTGCAGATCAACCACCGAGCATGCAGTATTCAGTATCAAACCAGGGCAACTTACAAATGGTTTTAAATCGTTATCTATATTACTTGGTGTATACGGGACGAAATTCAGGACATCGGAGGTGGCAATGTATCGATAATCATTCGAAGAGAACTAAATGTCAAGCTGCTGTTGTTACCAAAAATAATGTTATTGTACAAAGGTAAGATAGTTTTTTTTTAATACGTACCAAGGGGTTTGTGATTAACGATTTAGTCAGGCGAAAGTTGAAAATAATTACGACATAAATAGTATGAAATAACATTACTGTCTGCCTCTTTTTAGTTCTATGCTTGGTTCTACTACATGATTCAACAGAATTTGTTACAATTTTCACTAATGTGACTTTAGCAAACTGGGATCAAGTCGCGTATTTATTTCTCCTAATTATTAACTCATTTAGTTATCAGACATATTAACTCTTTTAGTGCCGAGCTTACTTTGCAAAAAACACATATTTTGCAAAAAATTGCTAAAGGATTTTTAAAACAATGCACCTTAGAAAAAACTTTACGTAAAAAAACAATTACAAAAATAAATTCGAAATTCACAGCTAAATAATTTTAAAAGGTTATTTATAAATGTTAATAACCGATTAAAATGTAATACGTGCGCGCGCTAAGACACGTCCGTATGTACAGATCGAAATATAATCAAACTGCAATAGTCGGTATTCCGACGCTCCTCACTTTATACATACGCATTATAAGAGTCGATCTACCGACGGTTCGCGCTCTAAGGGTTAAGGCAACCTTTTTATAATAAAAATAAATTTCATATATAATTGCTCCTATATAACTCATATGTTTATGTAAAAATTTTATTAATTGAATGGTTTCTTTATTAGTTTGCAAGATTATTTTCTTTACTTTTATTCGTTTTCCAGAATATCCCATAGTCAGTTTAATAAATAATAATTAACTATAATAAAATATTAAACCAAAACTGGGGTTTACACATTGAAAAAGTTGCCTCACCGTTATCTATTATATTTTCGCGGTACCTTAGAGAATTTTGGAAGACTAAAAACAATATTTAATATTCGCAGATACTGATCTGTATCAATGTAGTTGAGACAAAGGAAATAATAGATAATCACATTTATTGATTTCTATTGAAACCGCATTTTCCCCAACCCATCTGGTGCTGTAAAACCAAATTTATTATATAAATCTTACCATATATTTTATTAATTGCAGGATATCGGCTCACAATCATTCGTTCCACGACGCTAAGATTCTAAGGAAAGTGCAAAACGGCACAGTGTTCTCTGGCATACAACAAGCTGAAGATATGGGTAAAATGATGGTAGAAGAACGAGGACGCTCTGGCGCCGGAAGTCAAGATGATTCGGAAGCTAAATAAATTTTAGATTAAATGCTGTTACTATTGACTGTCTAGATAATTTATTTAAAAACCCACATAAATAAATTTTGGTCATCTTTTGGTCATCCTTTAAAAGATGAACGCATGGGAGTGGAGATAATTATGTAGTAAATGGTTTATTAGAAATGTTTTAAAAGCGTAAAGCGTAGTAGGTAAGTAAGGCTCCCTGGTAGGGGCCGTAACTTACTAGCCTAATGTAAAGAGCTGGGAAATACCGAATTTGAAAACACAGGAAACCAATTATGCTTAAGAAATTAAGACACCTCCATCACGGTCGAGTCTATTTAACTGGCTCACAGCTATCAAATTGCTTTCAAATATTTTAAAATCTGATTTTCGTTCTGATGCCTTATAACAAAAATAGCGCCTTGGACAAACAGGCGACTCACAAGAAATGCAGCGTTGCCTTATCCGGTATTTGAACAAAGATCAAATGTTTTCAAATGCTTTACGAAGCCGGATTTACCTGGACTTATAAACTGGTATCGATTACTGCAGGCATATCTTATAGTATCTGCTATGTTTCCAAACCATAGAACACTACTTATATAAAGTAAGTTTCTGACTTTACTTTATGCTTTGCATTTTGGAGCAGTGATGTTACCGAGACTGAATTATTTTATCAGTTTCTTTGTAAGTATTTTCGCGGAATTCTTTTGATTTATGTTAAAACATACCTTAAGCCACAGTCTCCATTTACACCACTGACCACTAACTTAGTCTGTTGACTTGGTAGAACTTACTAGACATGTGTAAGTAATGCGAGTGATATTACTCGGGTAATATTACTCTACGATGTAATGCAACATCACACATTACGCGAAGGAAACAAACATCACACTATCACCCAACATGTTTCTTTCTTTGTCGTGTAATGTTGCTTAATACACGAACGGAACCGAGCGAGCGAGACAGACCGATCGACGCAAAATAAATGAGCAAGCGACACGGAATTATTCCTAGTGATTTTGAACCGTATGTCCTGGCCGCTAGGTACATTTTTATACCTATGGTACGTCTGAATTTTAATATAGGTATTTGTGTTTATATTTTTCATGCGGCCAGCCGGTAGCTCCCCGCAAGTACTTACTTAATTTTTTATTCGCAACTTTTGTAAAATCGCTAGTCGCTCGTAATTGTTTAGTAATATTTCATATTAATTTTTGTGTTTGATTTGAATTACTTAAGCACTTGTTTGAAGATAGTTTTATTATTTGTTTTAATGCGTGTTTAATAAGTGAAAGAAATAACGGCGTCTAAATGAAAGTACAGTCCTCCTTGGATGCACTTTGAGGATATCGCGCCGAAACAATGCATCTACTGCTCTCGTATATTAACATTATTGTCGAGCTCAATTTGCAGTCTAAGTCGCCATATGAAATCCGTTCATCCCACAATAAATTATATTAAGTAAAAAATAAAATTATTATATTATTAAGTAAGTCAATCTCTGTCAAGTAATATAACAGTGTATTACAATACAAAGTTCATACTTTGTATTGTAATACACTACTGTAATGACACACCCGAATCATTACCTAAGTGATGTGTTGATACACAATACACATCACTTAGGTAATGATTCGGGTGTATAGATACAATGTATTCGTCGTCACAGTATCTATTGAACGCACCGAGTAATGTTAAGAGTGATGTGTAATGTTTTCGAGTAATATCACCTATCTGTAAAAGTGATGTCATATCACATTACATTGGGAAGTGATGTTTTGCGCAAGTCTAGAACTTACTAAGCGTAAGTATCACTTGATTACTAAATTTCATTCTATTAGCTAAAAAAAATTTTAGTTTTAAGAACAAAAAATGTTAATGTACATTGTACGTATGGGCTATGTTTCTTTTGCTTTTCAAAGAGGACCAAAAACGTCATTAGTATCAATTACAATTTTATTTTATTTGTCAACACTGCTACAACCTAAGAATTTCCCATAAACCCAAGAGATATATAGTTAAGAATTTGGGGAATTGATTACTATCTCAACATTTAAATATTGTAAGTTATTGCTAACTGATAAACATGGAATGTCCGCAACTAGCCGTGGCTTGGGAATCGTATCAAAGTAATATTTGCAACGGATTGACCACCCTCCAGCAGGTTTGTATATAAACAAAAAATAATCATAAACACATTAATTCGTGATTTGTTTATTTATTAATTTTTATTTTAGTAAGTAGAACAAGGTATTAAAAGCGATCCAATATTTAATAGATCATGAAGAGTTTTTGGATTGAAATTACAACTTTACACATTACACATTTGAATTTCAATCGCAGAAAACCGCACCGAAATTATTATGAAATAATTGAAATAATTTCCATGTAAATAATTTCTATGCTTTTCATTAATCTGATATTAAGCGCATAAGTTTTGTACAAATAATATTGTTTTCAGCGTGGCGAGTTTGTGGATATGACCCTTGCAGCTGATGGACATTTGGTGAAAGTACATCGCATGGTGCTATGCCTCGTTAGTCCATACATCAAGAACCTTATAGCCTCTGTAGATTGTCCACACCCAGTTATATTCCTTAATGTAAGGTATAATGTTGATTGATGTTTTATTCCTTTAACGAAATCATAATAACAATATTTCCAACACCCAGGCACCTATTGCCAAATGTCTGCTTGGAACTAACTTGTTCCAATAGAACATTAGTTATTATTACGAAACACCCATTAATGCAGTGACGGGCTTTTGTAATTTTTACAGCCTTTATCCATAAATAATCAAACAAAATTAATACATTTACCAAAGATTTGAAGTCATAGTGGCCTAAAAGATAAGACGTGTTCAAATCCCGCAGGCGGGTACCAATTTTTCTAATGAAATACGTACTTAACAAATGTTCATGATAACTGTACTGAGACCTTAGAACTTATATCTCAAGGTGGGTGGCGCATTTACTTTGTACATATCTATGGGCTGTAGTAACCACTTAACACCAGGTGGGCTGTGAGCCCGTCCACCCATATTAGCAATAAAAAAAAAACATATCAGTAACTGAGATCTCACTTCATAAAATAAAGGTAAAAGGAAAATAAAGACTGAAGTGAAAACTTGAACTACACAGGATATATCATATGAGGTTTTACAAGCAATCTTACAGTATATTTACACTGGAGAGGTGATAGTCAGCAAGGAGAACTTCAAGTCATTCATGACAGCTGGGAGAGCACTCCGCATCAGAGGCTTGGACGATGTGGTTTGTAAATATTCTCTATATACATTTTTTTTATTGCTTAGATGGGTGGACGAGCTCACAGCCCACCTGCTATTAAGTGGTTACTGGAGCCCATAGACATCTACAACGTAATTGCGCCATCCACCTTAAGATATAAGTCCTAAAGTCTCAGTATAGTTACAACGGCTGCCTCACCCTTCAAACCGAAATGCATTACTACTACACCGCAGTAATAGGCAGGGTGGTGGTATCTACCTGTGCGTACTTACAAGAGGTCCTACCACCAGTGAAGTATAAAAGTAGGGGATGGTATTCTTAAACTACATAATTACATCTCAATGTAGAAATATGTTTGGATTGCTTATTAATGGTAATAGTACCGTGAAGCAATTGTATAATCGGTTTGAAGATCAGGATAGTGATTATTCCAATGGAATAAGGATTTCAATGATAATCTCATAGTCTATGTGTTCCAGTAACTGCTTCACAGTGGGTGTTGAACCTTCATCTGAATAACTAAATGGATTACAAAAAACGTTAGGACTAATTGATTACTTATTTACTTGACTATTCTTCCTCCATTAGGCTGTAAATGAAGATACAGTGAAAGGAGACCAAATCAATATGAACGAATACAATAATGAAGTCAGTGAAAACCTGAATGTGTATGTATGTTCTGTATATATTTCTATCTGTTTTATAATTATCTTATTTCCACTGCTTTATTTACTTTTGTGGATTAAATATGTGAGTGAAACATAGTACCTAGCTTATGCTGCTAACTGTTTAATAAAGTATCTAAGTCAAATTGCAAATACCATGTCGAAACATTGCCTGCTGCTATCAAAAAGGATGACGAACCATCAAGTAAACTTTCCAAATTACCCTAGTTTATTTATTGCCTTCTTTATCACCTAACTTAATATTATAATTAAAATTTAATTGATTTTTAATTATCGATCGCAAATAAGTTTAGAGTTTTGAACATTGCCACTAAAACCTTTAAGGCTTAAGTGTCGCTCCTTATAAATTCACCTATAGGTTTCATACAATTGAAAGTTATTACATTGTTATTCCATTAACGGTGCTGTTAGGCACTACAGGCACCGGTCACTGCCTTCGTCGAACCCATCGCTTACGACGAAGGGCTCGACGAGCGAATTAACCCATAGACACAGCCCACTGAGTTTCTCGCCGGATCTTCTCAGTGGGTCGCGTTTCCGATCCGGCGGTAGATTCTGCGAAGCGCTGCTCCTGCCAGGATCAGTGTAAGCACCACTTGGATTTGAGCCCCGTGAACTCACCTACACACGTTAGGGCGAAGCTGAAATAGCCTCTCAAGGCTATCAGCATAGGCAAGAAAAGAAAAAAGAAGAAAAAATAATTGTTATTTTTTGGTTCAATAAAAAATTACAATATAGTAACCGGCAAACTTCTTGAGCAAATGACCTTGACTGCGCAGAACCGAATTTTAGATCACTTTGGTGGTGAGGGCGGGGCGCGACGGCAGAGGAGATCATATCGAGCGCGTTATTGGTAGATCAGTATACCCTGCACCCCGCACCGCGCCCTCATTCCGCTTGCTCCCAAAAGTACGCTTGCGTACAGTGAAAAGTCTATCGTTATTAATCGTTGAAGTTATTTGTTATAATTGCTTGTTGACTTTGTTGTCATTACTATTTGTAGAGTGAGTAATAGTTGAGTAATACTACACCAGTTAGTGTTTCTTGATTTTTTATAAAAATCAGTTGTTTTCCTTCTCGGCACATAATATCGGTTTTATTGTTATGTAAAACCGTAATATTGATGTGCCTTTGGAAAACATACAGCATTGTATTATGAAGACGTGTTTGTTATCTGCTGGTGAAATTATTAAGCACAACGCTATGATGAAATAGGTAAAGCCATAACAAAATTATGAAGCGCAATGATAATGTTCATAATTAATATAATTATTAAATCGAAAAAACACAGCTCATCGCTCAGCTACATCGAAAAAACATAACTTTCATGTTAACTCAATAATTAAAAAATATTTTTATGTTTGTTATAAACATTTTATCTTGTATATACATCATGTAGGAGTAAATGTTTTGAAAAAAGAATCGTGAGGATCTTTAGGAAGTTCTATTATCCGGCAATAATTATTGTAACCGTTTGGATGATTTGCAATTGCGTCTAGAAAGTATTTCGTCCATTAGTTCATTATCAATCCATCTCAGAGGCTACTGCTGATCTACAACTTCTGAGAGATGCGTTGATGCCACTACCTCGTAAGGTTGAACGAAGACCAGTTTCCAATTACAGTACGGGATGCCGCTTTTGTGACAACACACACAGTTAGAAAAAAAGTCCTTACGAATCTTACTGCGCATATGTCTTTAGTTTCATGTTTAGAAAGCACTTATGCTTATTGACGAAAATGGATTTCAATTTTAGACCCAAAGACTGGTATCAGAAAGATGTTTTCTCCGTTATCTGAAGATACTGAAGATACTGAAAGAAACTGTCTTTAGAAATGTTGAGCAAAGTAAGGTCATTAACTCTGCGTCCAGTAGCCAGCAACATGGTTGTTGGAGTCCTTCAAGCTACATTGAGAAGTGAGCTGGCGGCTGGGTTTGAAGAAAACCAATTTAGAACTATTCTCGCCAATTTAGAACTATTCTCGGATCTCATGTGAATGGGACTATACTAAATAAAGTTGTAATAAGTAGTTGAATTTTGTTTAGCTATTCCGATGGCTTTTTTAGAATAGCAATTTTTATTAGAGAGCTTGAGAATGTTTGCTGTCCTACATGTATGTTTCCCGCAGAAAGTCGAAAGCGCTGCTTTATGCAGAAGGATTGTTTTATAGGCAAAATTTTCTTTTTGGAAAAGAAAAAAGAATTTGGCAACATCTGCAGACTTAGGATCAATTTTAAAACTGTAGCACCATATGCACCATCTTCTAATTGCTGGTAAGTATGCTGACAAAGTGGATTGACACCAGCTAATTTTCAATAAATATTCTCCTGTGTAGACCAGTCTATTATTTGTACAACCTTCCCCCCCCCTTTTCTAAGCTTTCAGGGTTAATGTTTACCCTGTGGAGGAGGCAGGTCTTGGATTTCGTGCGAGTTATCTAGCGTTCGGGATCTGAAGACTTGGAAACCCAAATGCTTTCGCTCAGTCTGGGTACACTACCAGGTAGGTTCCTGAGTCAGTACTCGGGGGAGACGGTTGAGAGGAGGAATTCCCCATGCTAGTTGCATCCTCTACGGTCTGCTGAAGGTATCCAATCTTGGTCGGCGAAACTTTCGAAAGACTTTTGTGGTCACTTGTGGTAAAAAGTGCCATTTCGCAGGTTGATTTCCTCGTGATAGCCTGTCGGCTATGATGTTGTATCTCCCCGAGAGATTATAAGCTGACAGTTATCTTGAGCTTGTCGCTTAGGTTTAAAAATCGAAAGGTCAACGCTAGTGAAATACTTTCAGATTAATTTTGATTGTCACCACCATTGCAAATAGCTCTTTTGTGGCTATGCCGTTTCAGTTGTTGAGCTGACCATAGACAGGACGTTAATATTTTGTCTAATTGTAACCCCTACCCATGTCCGAAGCTTTCGTTGCCAGGAAATGTTTGGTTTTGTGTATCGGCAATATTTGACATGTGGCTCCGCGTCAGCACTGCATTTGTAACCCCTACACATGTCCGAAGCTTCCGTTGCCAGGAAATGGTTGGTTTTGTGTATCGGCAATGTCTGACATGTGGCTCCGCGTCAGCACTGCATTTAATTGTGAACACATGCAGGATGGCCTGTTTTTTACGGGGGTGTTTTTCCTTGAAGCTTCGCAAGAAAATTCGCAAGTTAACATAGATTGATGTAACTCCGTCAGAGTTTGAGCTAGGATGTTGTTGAGTGGCCACTTTATTTCTCGCAATTTTCCATCGAATCCCTAGACATGTCATCTCTTGACCCAGTGTACTAATTGATTTTTTGTAAGGCTGACTTGGCAGCCCAAATAATCCAAGAGCCTCACAGCTTATGTGGCCTGAAGGCTCAACTTGGACTTCTTTTGATGGACCAGGGGGGACTTGTGTAGGTGGACTAACACTCAACTTCCCTTTGCACGCAAAGTTTCCGTGACCGAGCATGCTATGCAAGCAAAAAAGGTGTATTTGTCTTCATGGACCAAGAGAAAGTCGCGTAGGTAGGTTAACATTTGGCTTCCCTATGTATGTAAGGTCTTCGCGACCGAGCATGCTATGGGAGCAAAAACGTTTATTTGTCTTGGTGGAACAAGATCAAGTCGTGTAGGTAAGCTAGCACTCGACTTTGCACGCAATGTCTCCGCGACCGAGCGACCGAGCACCCTATATAATGGAAATTGACATGCCAGCCCAGATAATCCAAAAGCTTCAAAGCTTCTGCAGCCTGAAGTTTCAACTTGGATTTGTCTTGGTCGACCAAAAGGAAGTCGTCTAGGTAGACTAGCACTCGAGTTTCCTTTGCACGCAAGGTCTCTGCGACCCGCATGTTATAGAAGCAAAAAAGGTTAATCCAAAAGCTTCACAGCTTCTGCAGCCTGAAGTTTGAACTTGGATTTGTCTTGGTCGACCAAAAGGAAGTCGTCTAGGTAGACTAGCACTCGAGTTTCCTTTGCACGCAAGGTCTCTGCGACCCGCATGTTATGGAAGCAAAAAAGGTTAATCCAAAAGCTTCACAGCTTCTGCAGCCTGAAGTTTGAACTTGGATTTGTCTTGGTCGACCAAAAGGAAGTCGTCTAGGTAGACTAGCACTCGAGTTCCCTTTGCACGCAAGGTCTCTGCGACCCGCATGTTATGGAAGCAAAAAGGTGTGGCGCTGGAGCCAGACCGAAGGGTAGGCATGTCATTTCATACTAACTCTTAAGAAGGTACCGATTCCTTCCTGAAGGTACTGATACTGGTACCTTGGTACTGATCCTCAAGAAGTATCGACGAAATTTTGCGACCGGTACTAGAAAAATGTTCCTGAGAAATGTTCAATTTTATCATCCAGTCCCCTGGTTGGAGAAAGTTTGGTACCGAGGTGTCCGAAAAAAGTGTTTTATCTTTACGACCTTGTTCAACTCTCGAAGCTCGAAAATTGGACGCATTGATCCGTCGCTTTTTTCCGCAGAATTTTTTTTTTTTTTTTACGGTATTTGGTAACCATACGTGGTTTACAAATTATTACAATTTTGGTGGCACTCAGTGCCTCCCGTCGGTGTCTTCAATTGCTCCCCTCTGGATTGTGCCAGATGTTACAGACTATAATTGTTTATAATGTTTGGCTTGCCTTTTGTACGAGGTTGTGACAAATAGGATTGTAGCCCTCCGAGGGACTGAATAGATTTCAATTTAGTATTATCAAACAAAAATTCCTCAATGAGTGGTGCGTTGGCAACAGGATACTTTGTTAGAGATCACGGAAATTAAACTTTGACGTCTTATTTCTATGCATACGGCCCTTTTTTCCGCATACTANTGTTTATAATGTTTGGCTTGCCTTTTGTACGAGGTTGTGACAAATAGGATTGTAGCCCTCCGAGGGACTGAATAGATTTCAATTTAGTATTATCAAACAAAAATTCCTCAATGAGTGGTGCGTTGGCAACAGGATACTTTGTTAGAGATCACGGAAATTAAACTTTGACGTCTTATTTCTATGCATACGGCCCTTTTTTCCGCATACTATTTGAAACGCTTTCTCGGATAATTTGTACGACGGAGACGATTTGCCAAAGTTTTCAGTAATTATGTTTATTAGTTATTAAGAATTATTAGTTTATTAGTTTAAATCTGTTGTGTTTTTTGTCAAAATTTCCGTATTGACGAAATCAATTTGTTTACAGCAATTTCCGTTACATTAATTGTTACGCACAGTTGATGCATTATTAGATTTGCAACGTCACTGACCTGGTGGGATAACGAGCCGATTCGAAGATCGACAGTTACCTTTGAATCCAGTCGTTTCTTACGCAGAGACTCCTTTTGTTCTTTTTCGTTTGACGAGCTGTTCGAACGCGAGGCGTCTCCATCGCGTCTCGCCTGGACGTTTTCCCTCTCGGAAATTATAGAGCTTGACTCAACATCACCTCCAACAGATGACGCGTGATTCATGGCATCCGATGATAGGATTGGTAAATAATACTCGTAATGATTGCAAAATAACACTCATAGAAACACAAAATAAATATTTTTTGCAATTAATAAGAAGTTGTGGATTTGCGACTTTACAGTACGAAAGTACACAGCGCTATGAAGATCAAAGATGGCTGCGCTTCCTTTATACTTGCTGGCAGCACCTAGCGGCTAAAGATGGAACTAAATCGACTGTCAATGGTTGGACATAGACAAGGAATTTAAGCTAAGTACACACTGCTTCTTCATAATACAATGCTGTATGTTTTCCAAAGGCACATCAATATATAAATAAATACGTATGTTGATTTTAATAATTTAATAGCATTATGACACAGAGTAAATAATGTTTTGCACGTGAGTGTACGATGCGCGAACTTACCCCCACTACGTCAACAAATGCTCAAGAAGTTTGCCGGCTATTATACCATTTTTTATACTTTGCTATCGAAAGTGACCTTTTACCTTCAGTTAGGTTATTTGCTCGTCTACCTACAAAGCCAAAAAGTGGTGGGCAATATTGTGAACTAACACAGATAGGTATCATCACTCTATCTATTCTGTCCTGCATTCTGGCTTAAAAGGTTTTGTAACAGGTATTTTGCCAGTACAATTGTAAACTCAACAGATGAGTTATACTCAATCCCCCTCATAATTTAATTAAAAGTATAATAATAATATTATCTTGTATTTTAACAGAGTAAAAGAATCTACAGGCACGGAATCTATGGATGATACATTGATTAATACTGATGAGGGAATGCATGAACCAGAAGCTAATGATGGTAAAATATTATATAGAATTATTAATGAATAAAATGAATTATTTTTGTTTTGTTCTTAGTAATTTTTTTACAAAAAGTTTTTTAACAAAGGGGTTGATTTCATATGTCCATCTACTTAGTGGAGCATGAGGGGTGTCTTTTGAATTATAATCGGGAACCAGAGCAAGCACCTTCTTGTTCCTAGTTCGTCTTGTGAGCCTGTACAGCTAGCTACCAGCATCCAGCCTGTTTCTGCCACGATGCAGTCACTCGTGCAACGGAGAAACTATATAGTTGAAATTTAGATCACATGCTGCCTTTAAAGCTGAATGTATTTCTGCATGGGTGTAGAAATAGATAGGACTGCATTACACAATAGTGCGAACTTTGCACCTCTCTCTCTCTCTTCGATCGATTCCTCACTGCTGAGGATCGTGACTCCGTCCGATTTCGTCAACCAACTGTCTCCATCGATCCCGCCCTGCAGCCCGGTGGAGTGCGTCGCTGGTAGGTATCCCCAGTTCCTCCGCTATTTGGTCCGACCATCGTTTGGGACCTCTACCCCTAGGCCTTTTTCCCTCTATTTTACCGGTCACCACAAGGCGTTCCAAATTGCTGGTATCCCTACGTGCAACATGACCAAAATACCGCAATATTCTTTGTAAGCAGATTGTGGATAGACGTTGAATCTTTTCTATTTTTAACTGCCTGAGAATAGATATGTTGGTGCGGCGGGCCGTCCATGGTATTCGTAGCATACTATCTACCATACTATCAGTAGTAATTTTCAAGTCAAGGTAATAGGTTAATTCCGGCTTCAAGAATGGATGTGTTTCTTACTGGGGAGTAAGATTGTAACTAACCTGTGTTGCCAAGATCGCAGCGGGACTAACGACGAGGTTCAGATAATAAGGGGAAAGCCACTTAGGCTGGTTTCCTATAACCGATTTAATCAGAAGTTAATATGGACGGTGTAGGAATTTAAATTTTCTACAATTTTTTTTTTTTTTTCGTTCAAGGAACAAAGGAGCCAACACTTCAGTATAGTCTGTCAAACCATGGTAACTTACAACTGGTACTGAATAGATATGTTTACAACATGAAATACTATAGCCGCAAGTCTGGTAATCGAAGTTGGAAATGCGTCGACGGTTCGGGGAAGGAACCACGCTGTCGTGCCTCAGTACTCACCAACAATTCTAGGGTTGTCAGAAGGTACTTTTATATTTAGGAAAAAAAGATAAAAAACTAAAAAGTCGTAATTTATTAATCGCATACGATCTTACAAGCTACCTGGTGTTGAGACTGGATCTCATAGGCATATTATTACGCCTCAAATTAGTCAGAAACATGCAACCATGAGCTGTACTTTTAATATTAGTTTATTTTGTTATAATAAAATAATATTTATTATTAACCTGATAGATATTGCTCACCCTGCCCTAGTTTCTTCATTACTCTTAGAAATTCTTTCGCAATAATCATCATCATTAAAATCTATATATACATAAAAATGAATTGCTGTTCGTTAGTCTCGCTAAAACTCGATAACGGTTGGACCGATTTGGCTAATTTGGTCTTGAATTATTTGCGGAAGTCCAGAGAAAGTTTAAAAGGTAGATAAATATGCAAATGCTCGGAATTAAATAAAAAGAACAATTTTGTTTTTCCTTTGACGTGTCTCCCGTCGGACGGATTCCTTCTGTTTATTTTAAGTATATTTTATACAAAAGCTTAGGTAGGTCTTTTATTAATCGATTGAGGCACTACGAAGTCTGCCGAGTCAGCTAGTTATATATAAAAAGCGTACAATAGAAAATTTGCAATGAATTCATTTATTCTCACAGAACCGGTTTACACAATCATCCGTTTCATGACAAGAAAATCATTAAGAAGATACAACGCGGCGGAACTTTTACGACTTTGAAAGCTGCTCAAACGGAAGTGCAATTACGACGGCACCAAACAGAGAATAAACCAATGGATAACTTAAAATAAATCTGCTTCATTCTTTTCTTAATACTGTTTTTTTTTGTATTGGTAACTAGCTGAGTCCCGCGATGTTACACGCGGTTATTGTCGTAACGCGGGTGACGCCGCGGGGCAAAGCTAGTCTAAAAAAGTAGTCTAAGTTACTCCTTATATCATCAGCTACCTATTAATGAAAGTCCCGCCAAAATCGGTCCAGCCGTTCCAGAGATTAGCCGGAACAAACAGACAGACAGACAGACAAAAATTGTAAAAAATGTTGTTGTACGTACCGTATATATATTTATATATGCATGTAGTAAAAAGCGGTTATTTCAATATTATAAACAAACACTCCAATTTTATTTACAGGTATAGATGTAACTAAAACTTGCATTTTTTATGACCACCCTCAATAAAACGCAGAGGTCAAAACAGAGTGTCATTTTCATTCGCGACAGCGATACCAGATGGAGGGAATCTCATCTCTGTAACGTGTCTTACCTATAATTGTGTACCATAATAATGGTCCAACATTAGAGACTTCAGATATCGAAGATCTCAGCTTTATGGTTATTGGCTTTAAGGTTCAATTTAGGATGGGTTTCATAATAGTATTGTTAATGGTGGTCGGGATCCCAAGAACAAATAATATTCAACGATGATAAAACCCAAGAGTCCATATGAGCATCTTTAAAGTAAATCTAATTTATACGCTTCATGTCAAGATATAGTCTCTAGATTATGTCTCTCCCACGCCTCTGCTTCATAAGCGCTGATAATACAGATTCTAAATGAGTGATAAGGTCGCGACGTGTGCCATGACAAGGATTAAGATACTGCAACCTATGAATTAGCAAGGAAACTTTTTTTGATGCATAGCTGGTTGGACGAGCTCACAGCGAACCTGGTGTTAAGTGGTTACCGGAGCCCATAGACATCAAAAGTGTAAACGCCGCCACCTCGACACATGTGGTCTAAATCTGTTTTTACAGTACAACGGATGCGCCACCCTTCAAACCGAAATGCGTTACTGTTTCAAGAAATAAGCAAGCTGGTGGTACCTACTCGTGCGGACTCACAAGGGGCCCTACCACCAGTAGTGTCGTCGCGCCCTGAAAAAAAATAAAAATCTAGAAACCTAGTAGGGTGTCTTGTCATCCTGCATTGAAGGGTGGGACAGCTGGTGTACTGTAAAAACTAAGACTTGGAACCCATATCTCAAGATGGGCTGCGGAATTTACGTTGTTGATGTCTAAGGGCTCCTGCGACCAATTAACTCCATGACGACCGGACTTAGAGTCCACCAGTAAGTATATGCAGTCGGCGTCAATGCGCCACTTCGATAAAGCGGCACGACACGAGAACCCTCTCATCGTGGCCGCCGGTAACTACATTCCCGATCCTGCGGACAGAATGGAAAACAGTCGACGTCGCCCAAAACACGTCATCTCGGATCCTTCCGATCCACTAACGGTGCTTCTAGGTACTTCAAGCACCGATCACCGTTCTCGTCGAACCCGTCGCTTGCGACGAAGGGCTCGACGAGTAAATTAACTCTCAGACACAGCCCACTGAGTTTCTCGCCGGATCTTCTCAGTGGGTCGCGTTTCCGATCCGGTGGTAGATTCTGCGAAGCACGGCTCTTGCTAGGGTTCGTGTTAGCAACGTCATCAGGTTTGAGCCCCGTGNAACTCTCAGACACAGCCCACTGAGTTTCTCGCCGGATCTTCTCAGTGGGTCGCGTTTCCGATCCGGTGGTAGATTCTGCGAAGCACGGCTCTTGCTAGGGTTCGTGTTAGCAACGTCATCAGGTTTGAGCCCCGTGAGCTCACCTACAAAAGTTAGGGTTACGCTGATATAGCCTCTCAAGGCTCTCAGCTTAGGTAGGGAAAAAAAAAAAAAGACCAATTAACATCAGATGAGAGCTCGTCCGTCAGTCCGTACACTAGTGACAATCACGTACAAAAGTGTTACATTTATAAATATTTGAGTCAGTTTTGCGTGGGAAGCTTGTCGTCAATCCGTTTTGAATTTAAAATTGGAATTGGAGAGTTCGCTGAAAGAAATGTATGTTTTCAATTTTATTGTCTATTCTTAATTAAATTTTCGTTTGTGACAAGAGCTAAGGTATTCGCATAAAGGAAAATCGTAAAAACTCAAATATTCCACATTTTTTTTAATCACAATCGTTTGCCTTACAACTAATGAGAAAATATACAAATTAATCACAGTTTATTTAATGGAAACTCCTTGCTGAGTCAGCGTGTTATCCTCGTACGTCTCCAGTACGTGGGCCAAATGTTCATTGTCTCTTGGTTTCTTGAACTGTCTACGCTTCTGCTTGGCCTTCTTCCGTTTGGGAGCAAGCATCTTCTTTGGCCCGTGATCCTGCATGGATTTGATCCCTTGCTTCTCGAGGTACTCCTCGATCTTCGCGTCGTCCATCGCGTCCACCGCTGTTGCACGCCATAATTTCACGAATTCGTCATCTACCTGAATTTTGCAAGAGATTAATGGTTTGATTTTATTGAGTGGACGAGCTCACAGCCCACCTGGTGTTAAGTGGTTACTGGAGCCCATAGACATCTACAACAATCTAAATGCGCCACCCACCTCGAGATATAAGGTCTCAGTATAGTTACAACGGCTACCCCACCCTTCGAACCGAAACGCATTACTGCTTCACGGCGGAAACAGGCTGGGTGGTGGTACCTACCCGTGCGGACTCACAAGAGGTCCTACCACCAGTAATTACGCAAATTATAATTTTGCGGGTTTGATTTTTATTACACGATGTTATTCCTTCACCGTCGAAGTCAATCGTGAACATTTGTTGAGTACGTATTTCATTAGAAAAATTGGTACCCGCCTGCGGGATTCGAACACCGGTGCATCGATCGCTACATACGAATGCACCGGACGTCTTATCCTTAAGGCCACAACGACTTCACAATCTTTCTATCTATCTTTTGAACTTAAAATAAATTTTTGGCTTAAAACCAAGAAAATGGCAGGAGCCCATAGATAACACTATATCTGAACAATCTCTAATATATATTATGAATATGAGATAGTATACATTATGCAGGCTCACAGTGTGCTCCTTACAAATAATTAGACCACAACGTCTACTTACGTCTAATGTAGCAGTCTTATCATTGTAGAATAATATTTTCTTTTTATCAGTGTGCCTTGTTATATACAAGATCTCTTGTGCCAAATGTTTCAGTGCTCTCTCGCAGTGAGGCAGCGACTCTTGAACATCTTCCAATAATATACCTCCCAAGCCTTTGAGGTCTTGTTGCTTAAGTAACCTATAAAATTAAATTATTGTTGATACTGGTCATCGATATTAGAGAGGTTGGTCCTGATGAGTTTGTAAATTTTTAAGTTGATTGGACATTTTGAAGTCGGGGGCAAAATGACTTTCATAGATTCTATTTATTACATATAAACAAACATACACAACACGCTTAAAATAAAAGTGTATAAAAGTAAGGCAATTGAACAAGTAATTTTTTATTTATATGATTTTTGTTTGATCTTTAAATCGTTTTCTAGTTAGTACATTTGAATTATGTAAATAATGAAAATATTATACGTACCTCAGTAAAGATTTTTTATCTTTTATTTTATAAACCGGTTTGAAGTTAAACTTTCCATCCGGAGAGCATTCGATTTTAGGATTGCTCTGTAGGGCTTCTGTTTGTAGCCACTTGAAAATGTTTACAGCAGGTTATATAAGAGAAATCAATTAAAATTGAATATTATTTATAAAAGCATTTTAATCAATTTTGGTGTTGTGGTACTTATGTGCTGGGGTATAATAATACTGTAATTGATGCCATCATTTTCCTAAAGTGAATTACTCATGATTATTTTTATACATTATGTAGATACAGTTAGTGTTAATAGGGTGTCTTGTGAGCATGTAAGGGTAGGTATAACCACACTGCCTATTTATTTACTGAAGCATAAGCAATATAAAAGTGAGATTTAGAACTCATGTCTATATGCTCCAGTAACTGCTTAACACCAGGTGGTTCGTGAGCACATTAGGCTTAGTAATAAAATAAAAATTGCAATTATCATCAGCTATAAGCAGATGTGTGTGTGTTATTGTTATTATTATTGAGGTAATTTATTTATTATTTCAATATTTATTAAAAGATACCTGTTTTATTTTATTTCCGACATCCAATTGATTTGTCTCATCTAAAATCTCATCTAAAGACAGTGGATGGTCATCTCCGTCTTGATGCCTTGCTCTCATATGCCGTACAATACGCGCTAGCACTCCAAAGCGATAGGACGAGCTGCCAGTCATAGTCTTGTAACTGAAAAGGATGATGATGAATCACAGATTTAACCAATAAAATTATAATATAACAAAAAATAATATTACTAGCGTTTGCTTATTGATCTAAATTCGATCATAATCATTGACACCTCAAGGTTTAGTCATTTTAGTATTAAATTTCTCCTTTATTTGTTATTGATATAAAAAAAGTCCAGAACTGTTTTCTGATACCACAAAAGCTCTATAATAGCTACTGAATTAAATAAAAGGGAAGGTTGTCAAACAGAGAAAGAAGTGGTATCTATATGCTCTATCTAAATATTTTATCCATTGTAGCACTAAATATGATCAATTCTTTTTTATATATTTTATAAGATTTTAGTAAATACACTAAATGATAATATATTTTTCTCAAACAATATAAAGCTCGCTACATATAGCCTATATAATAAATAATATAAATTTTCGAATTCCAAATAAATGCTGTGGTTTTTCTTTTTCTTATTTTTTTTTCCAAAGGCTTTTTCTAATTTTTTTTATTCGAAAATTGTTATTGCTATAACATTTTTATCAGTATTATTTAATAGAATTGGTGATTAAAATGACCTATAAAGCATAAAAAATTATAGGAAGCAATGGTACTGATGTCATGAATAAATATTGCTGACATAGTAATTTGACCTAGTCAAAAGATAAAACTAAATGTGATTTCTAGTTTATTAATGAAAATAGCATTAGTAAATGATGCACATATTTGTTTATGCGGAACACATTAACTATGTAAATTCAATAATTATTTTGATAACAGAATGTTTTAAATTATTAATTATGTTGCCCTAGCCTTTACTTACTTACTAGCATCAAGCTTTGGTCCGGAGCTGACTGAGCTGGATGATTTCGATTTCTTTTTGCTGTCATCTTTGAATTCCGAGTCATCCCTTTTCTTTTTTTCAATGCTGAAGAAAAAAGAATAATAGTTTAATAGTTTTGTTTCCTTCTATTTTGACTGTAACCTTTCGGTGGGTTGAACTATAGCTCATGTAAAGTGTACTTTTACCAAGTATGACTATGCTGGTATTTAATTCCCATACACCTGTATACATTTTTCACAGAAAAACATTTCTAACATGTTTTCATAAATTAATTATGAAATGAAGTAACATTTTAGATAAAAATCATGTTTCAAAATGGTTGGTGACATTCACACTATGTCTAGGGGCTCAGGTAATTACTTAACAAAATGTAGCCCACATTTTGTTTTGTTTGTCAGCTTGATCAGAAATCTTTGCAAAAATTTCATTACTTTAAATTAAATGAAACATTTTCCATTGTATTCTATTTTACCTAGGGCATGCCAATCAATATAATCTTTAAAAAAATAGTGCCTTGTGCCTTGATCATATTTATCTAGAATTTTGGCTGCTATTAAATTAGGAAAGATTTATTAACATTTAAATCTTCTATTTTTCTCTGCGCAAGTGATTTGTTCACATTTCTACTCATTTAGTATTTCGAAAGTCATGTTTCCATTCATAACTTGATATAATGACTCAATAATGAATATTGCCACCAGGAAGTGAATTGATAGTAATTGTATGGGCTACGTGAGTGACAGAGAAAGTGTGCGATGGATGCCAGTATGTCTCCAATCATTGTTGTGGACTAGCGAATAGTTTAGTTAAAAATAATGTAACAGACCTCGGGGTCGCAAGTGCCTTCTTTTTAAACGCTTCCCGTTCCCGTAAGAGCGCCGGGTCCATATTTTCGTCTTTTAAACACAATCACTACAAGTATGTATTAATTTTATTAGTATTTTGTTTAATTGCTGTTGTAATGCAGTTTATTTTCCACTTCCAAATCCTGTTTCTATAATCCGATTTGAGCAATTTGACATATGACATATGACCATCTTTGACAAATGACGTATTTTAAACTTTTGCAAGTCAAAGGTTTTGTTCGTTTGTACGTAAAAATTGTACGTTGTAAAAATTGTACGTTTTCTAAAAAATTTGTCTTCAATAGTGAAGTTCAACATAAAATTTTAGATTTCTTGTTTGGTCAACGACTTAACGTTATAGTTTAAATAATATTAATATTAAAATAGAACACTTGAGTGTCCAAAAAGTGTTTACTTTAATGATATGTAAATTGTTCTTAGCTTATTAACTAATGGTACTCCTAGAAGAAGTATTGTCTTGTCTTCAGTTACATAAGTATGTTAACTCTTTTACAAATGAGACTGAAGTATAATATTTAACGACTGTGCCGATTTTTGTAAACGACAATATGTACCCACTTTCCTTGAGATGGGCAACATTCTTGTGTTATGTTTGGGCCGAGCTTTTCAGCTCTAAAAAATAGTTAATAACGCGAAAATGCTCCAATGTAAAGGTTCAGATATCCTTATTATTTTATTTCATTAAAGATGACTAAGAGATATGAGATATGAAATTGGCGTTTTGTACGGGAGGGATATAAAGTCAATTTTTTTTTGTAAAATAGTTTTAATTAATCAAAGTATGCACCGTTGTTATCTATGCGCTTTTGCCATCTCGTAAGTGGTTCATTGATCCATTTACTAAAAAAACCATGGGGGCGCGAATCAATAAATTCTTTAAAGGCAGTTTAAACTGCCGCATCGGAGTTGAATTTTTTTCCTTGTAAGAAGTTGTCCAAATTCCGGAACAAAATGGTAATCAGTTGGAGCAAGATCCGGGGATTACGGTGGATGTCGCAGACATTCCAATTGTAGCTCATCTAACTTAGTGGTTGTTTGTTGTGCAGTGTGTGGTCTTGCGTTGTCGTGAAGCAGCAGTGGCCTAGAGCGATTGACCAATCTCGGTTGCTTAGCAGCTAGTTCTTCCTTCATGTTTTGCATTTGCTGACAATAGATATCTGCCGTAATCGTTTGGCCAGATTTTAGAATGCTGTAGTGAACGAAACTGGCCCTAGTCCACCTTTTTTTTTTTTTTTTTTTTTTTTTTTTTTTTTTTTTTTTTTTTTTTTTTTTTTTTTTTTTTTTTTTTTTTTTTTTTTTTTTTTTTTT